TTGTTGGTTTACGGATTTTTCACATGAAAAAGTCCGGTCGGTTGGTAGGAAAAAAAGAAAAATTACAAGACATAAACATGTAAAAAATTAATATATATTTCAGTTTACTAGCAATATTTTTGATACGCTACTTAGTCATCATTTCTTAAATCTTAGTCCCAAACATTATTGCTCAGCTGTTTTAAACATACAATATGTGCCGTCGTCATATAATTTGGAAAAAGGGGTATCACGGACAAACGTGAAATTAAATCATCATTTCACAAACAAGAAAAACAGCTCCACGTTGCTTTTTATCGACTTTCAGGAAACATGGTCAATAATGATCTTCAAGCTCAAAAACTTGTGAAATAAAATTGCAAACACGTCGACTTTACCAGATCCGTGTCAAAAACGAAGAAGAATCGTTCACTGACATCATTTGTCATGCATTCCCGTTTTTGATATACAAATGGACGTACTTTTTATTCAATCTATGAAACAAGAAAATTCCAAATTGTTTGTGAATATCTCATACTCTTAACTTGGTGTTCGATATTTTTGTGATTTTACTTCTCGCATTTGGACCAGTCCATTTCATCTATAACATGATCAATAAATCTTACAGAATTATGACAAAAAAGGAAAACGAACTTATTGTTATGTGTTTTTTAACACAGGTTTCGTTCCGCAAAATTATTTGCGCAAACAAAATTACAAGGTCAATTATGTTTGTTTAGTTTTAGATACGTACAGGTAATCATTTGGGTTATTATGACATTTGACAATGTCATTTGTTTACAGAGTGGAGTCTATCAGTATCAACAGCAAAACCCTTAATAAATATCAGGGCCTGTTATTTCATGGAAGTATTAACTAGAGGCTCTCAAGAGCCTGTGTCACTCACCTATATATACTGTGGGTTTGGAAATCATGTAAAATAAGGGTAAAATCATAATAAATAGTATTAGATATCCTAATAATGATTGAGGCCAAGTCTGGTTTAATTTGGCCCAGTAGTTAAATTAAAAGCAGGTCATCCCATTGTAGTCTTACAATAGTAACTGAAGACCCCTTATCATTATTTAAATTAGTTTTCAAGTTGTGACCATTTGAAATTGTTTTGATACAATTTTCCCATAGACATCTATAGTAAACCCCTATGTTCTATTTTTAGCCACATGGCCATGTTGTTTGGATGGCAGGGTCATCGGATATATTTTTCAATCAAGATACCCTATTGAAAATTGTGGCTAAGCTTAATTCTATTTGGCCCAGTAGATTAAGTGGAGAAGATTTTTGTAAAAGATTACAAAAATTTAAGAAAAATTGTTAAAAATTGACTTGTAAGGGCAATAACTCCTTAAGGGGTCAATTGACAATTTTGGTCATTAAATATTGTCTTATTTGTAGATCATAATTTGCTGAACATTATTGCTGTGTACAGTTTATCTCTATCTATAATAATATTTAAGATAATAACCAAAAACTGCAAAATTTCCTTAAAATTACCGATTCAGGGGCAGCAATCCAATAACGGGTTGTCTGATTTGTCTGAAAATTTCAGAGCAGATAGATCTTAACCTGATGAACATTTTTACCCTTGTCAGATTTGCTATAAATGCTTTAGTTTCAGAGATATAAGCCAAATCTGCATTTTACCATATGTTCTATTTCTAGCTATGTCGGCCATGTTGGTTGGCAGGCGGGGTTATCAGACACATTTTTTAAACTAGATACCCTTATGATGATTGTGGCAAAGCTTGGTTAAATTTGTCTCAGTAGTTTCAGAGGAGAAGATTTTTGTAAAAGATTACAAAAATTGTTAAAAATTGACATGAAAGCAATAACTCCTTAAGGAGATCAATTGACAATTTTGGTCATGTTGACTTATTTGTAGATCTTACTTTGCTGAACATTATTGCTGTTTACAGTATATCTCTATCTATAATAATATTCATGATAATAACCAAAAACTGCAAAATTTCCTTAAAATTACCAATTCAGGGGCAGCCACCCAACAACAGGTTGTCTGATTCTTCTGAAAATTTCAGGGCAGAAAGATCTAAACCTGATGAACATTTTAGATTTGCTCTAAATAATTTAGTTTCAGATATATAAGCCAAAAACTGCATTTTACCCCTATGTTCTATTTTTAGCCATGTCAGCCATCTTGGTTGGCAGGCGAGGTCGTCAGACACATAATTTAAACTAGATACCCCAATGACGATTGTGGTCAAGTTTGATTTAATTTGGCCCAGTAGTTTCAGAGGAGTAGACTTTTGTAAAAGATAATTACCTTTTAGGCCAGGTGAGCTAAAAATATGATAAAAGTAATTGGAACACTTAAACTGTGCTACTTTTTAATTTAAAACAAATAATGTGAGATAAGATTACATTACTATAACATGCCTAATGATTTTACAATAATTTTATGAATGAACAAGAGCAACTTGACCTCTTTCAAAAAGAAACACTAATTAAACAACATAAAACCATATAAGGGATAATTCAGTAAAATTTTCAATATTAAATCAACAACTGACATGATTCAATATATTGTTGAAACATCTCAAGAACGAAATTGCAGGCATAAAAATGCACTTTTTTCACTCAGACTTTTATGTTCTTTGATAGCCAAACGGTTGTCCCCTTAAATACAAAAATACATTTACAAGAACATATGTTGAAACCTCTCAAACCCACTAATGTTTTATGACTGTTTCAATTAATGTATTGAATTAGAAAACATACATAGGAGTTTTAGAATGACTGACCAGGAATCTGCTAAAAAAAACTTTGGCTAGATCTAGGCAGAGTCTCTGATCTGGGTCACAAAGATGGCTATACGCTATAGCATGAAAGCAATTGCTTTAAAAATCACATGTTGAAGAAATAAATAGTTAAATCGGCTTCAGATTTCACTGCTATTTTTCTGCTTAATAAATTTGTTTGTCATTCTATTTTCAGAAACTACTCTACTATGCTGAAAAAGGAGTAACTTGTACATGTCAAAGAGAAAATCCTGATATCCAAAGTAAGTGTTGTCACACATCTTTTTATTTATGTTTATGATATAATATCTAAAATTAATTAAATATATACATTTGAAGCTTTTTCATTATTCTTTAAAGTTTGCACAATTTCAGACGAAGAACAGTCATACTGTTTATTAAAATATCAATAATGTGGAGAAACAAGGTTTATTTCAAAATCAAAAGTGTTCAAAGTACATCTACATGTATAACCATACAAATTTAATAATACAAATTCGATTTACACTGAATATGAAATTAAATTATACAAATGATGTTGCTGTGCAATGAATTATTTAACTGATCTTCAAGTGTGAATAAGTATGGTTAAATTTTGATCTGTTCATTCTATTGAAACTTATTTTGAAATTAAAAATATTTTGAAATACCATATTTATATCCAAGCTAATTTATGAATTTCCCTTCCTACTACATTATTCAAAACTTTTGATTTATTTCCTGTATATAGGACAAGAAAGAAAACCCTACAAACTAGGACAAGATATCTTCTATCAACATCATCAATTCACTATAGAAAATACCAGTAGAAGCTCACCATTACAAAAAGCTGTGATAACAAATGATGGACATGTGGCCTTTATCCAAGGGTCCAGTTCAATAGAGATTTATAATACAGATGGTTCACATGTTGGTACAATACCACTACAGAGTCTGCCATTTGATATTACTGTAGTCAACAACTCTACAGTAGCTGTTACACAGCCTCTCTGTAACAGTATAGACATATGGGACATAAACAATCAACAGAGAGTGAAATCAATACAATTATCTACACCATGCTGCATTGGCATCACAACTATAAACAACAAGTTAGTAGTAGGATGTAAAAGAAGATTGTTGATCATAGATCCTCAGACAGAGAAGGTGGAGAAGACCATTAATACTGGTGGTGATACTCCTTTCAGACTGTGTGGTTCTGGTGATGGTATATTTTACACATGTTTTGATAGTTATTACCTGCACCATTACAGTCACTCTAACAACAAGATTTAAAAAGTAAAGTTACCATCAACTGTCTGTGATATGACCACACTACAAGATGGCAGTGTGTATGTGTTATGTGAGGATAGATCAGTACAACATGTGTCATCTGATGGAAAGACAAATAAACAAGTTACTATACAGGGATTGAGAACACTGAGAAGGTTTCCTGGAATAAATTATAATCTGGTACAAAAGAAACTGGCCATTTCTGATGGAGACTTAATAACAGTGTTTAATGAATGCTGATGTATACTAGAATTTAAATATTAAATGACAATATTTTCTTAATTTCATCCCAATTAAGTAGTTCTTGCAAGGTATAAGAGTGAATGTGAAAGATCTTGTGAGAGGGTAAACAAACTATACACTATTTATATTTTATCTTAACTGGTAACCAAATTTGAATACCAGTATGAAAGTTTTAAGAATGATGACAAAGTCATTGAGTAAGCATGTAAACAAATATCTGGTTTTCTTTTACAAATTTCCTCATTACAGTAACCAGTATTAGCCCTTTCTAAATCACTATCTGTTTTACTGTTTCACAATATTAAGTCTGTACAATATCATAGTAAATAGCATATACAGCACTACATTGATTGGACAGGGGAAGTAGAACAACACCAAAGAAAGCATATCTAATTAAAATCCTAAAAGGCAAGTATTAAAATGACAATAGTACGAGTTGAGCATACACTATAAATTTTCAGGAATTTGCCAGATTTCAGGATTTTGATATTTTTGCCCTATATACATGTATTCTTTTAAATTCATGGACGTCTTTCAATGACATTAAATTTTTTTAATCATTTCTTTTTTTAATAAAGCAATAGACAATACCAAGGTTAAACATCATCAATTATTACAAGGTTCTAATGGCACAAAACAACTTAAAATCAACACTATTTTTAATCACTAATGGCACAAAACAACTTAAAATCAACACTATTTTTAATCACTACAATCATTTGTATTACTGACCTTATCCATCAGAGTTATTATCTGTAGTATAAGTTGATCCTGACGTAAATCATCACCATGTTTAAACATCGTCACATATTCACTACCTGTACTTGTTTTAAAAGTCAGTCTACACGGCATCAAAGCACTCTGTAAAATATTGTTTTAGTAATTACATATATCTCCCAATCTCGGTAACACTTCTTAAATTAATTACTTGTTCAACGTAAAATCTGTAGCTTGAGTAATGATGATCTCTAGGGAAAAGTAAATGAGACAGCAACTTAACAAAATAAAGGTTTAGATGTCACCATATGTTGACCTTGAAAATGGACCAGTGCATACATCTTAAGTAAGTTTAAAATTTCGTCCCCAGATAAATCAAGTGTTATTGAAAAGACTCAACAGTGGTGCTTAAATCAAAAACGTTAAAAAGACCAAATAAAGTATGAAGTTGAAGAGCATTGAGGACCAAGTATACCTTCACAACTCTGTTATACACATTTAGATTTATCCCTAATCTAGGAGCGTAAGTTTAAATATTTTCTCACCTTTAATAATGTAGCTTTTTCAACACAGATACCATTCACTTTAACATTAGGATCTAAGGGTAGAGGCAAGTCATCAAAACTGGCAAAGTTTATTTTGGTCACCTCAGGATCTTGCAGTAAGGCTCGAAGTCTTTCTATCTAAAATGTAAATACATGTATATATGTTAAAACTGTCAAAAACAGTTATAAAATAATTTCAATTATCACTGTTCATTCAAATTAATAAATACTGCTAGTTTATTTTATTATATACACCTTTTTGTATATTTGTGAATTGTTTCATCAGCTGAAAACTTTTGTAGAGTAAAAACTCACTGTGAGCAGAGCCCACAACATTATGCCCCAAATATTTGTAAATCCATGCTTTGGTATTTTTGATTCCGAGCAAAAATATAATAAAGTGCTGTGTCATGAAGGCATGATACACCCATTGCTTTTCAGCTGGTCTTTATGTTTTCAATGAATATACATGATCAACTAGAAATACTGTGAGCACGGCGCAAATAGAACTCTAACCCTAAAAGAAAGACATGCACACACAGAAGTAACCATTGACACAAAACATTTAGGTTGAACTAATTTTGTGGCCTCGATTTTGGAAGGAATAAAATTCTCTAACCGTCCAAAGTGTCAAAAATGGACAGATTTCAACAAATAAAGTTCCATATCACCGCAATTTTATATCAGAAATTTATAAAAACTAAAGGGAGCTTATTTCAACAAATATTAACAAGACACCAAAGTTTCATGAAAACTACTCCAAGCGTTTTTGAGTTATTGTTCGAAAACTGGAATATCTCCCTCTTTCATGAATTAAATTCCCTATACTCCAAAACGTTAAATCAGTAATTTCTAAAAATCGAAAGAGATCTTATGTCAATATTTATGTTAGACTCGGATCAAATTCCGGTCTTTAATCGACATTTGTTCCTCAAATCGACATCAAAATCTGATGTCACGTTCTCAAATCAGTGTCCAATATTTTATCACTCTAATCGACGTCCAATGTAACGTTATGAATTATAAAAACAACATCTGAATGATGAGAGAAGAGATGTCTATAAATTTCATTGAATCTTTTATTTTTAAATTGATCTTTGTTTATATTATCTGTATCGTTTTGTCTTTTTGTGAAGTAGCTTACAGAAACTATAACTGTTTTCTTAAATTGGTATCAAAATACACTGATACAGTCTTAACAATAGAAAGAATAAAGACGTACGGCCAATTGTTGAAAAGTATTATGATTTGGTCTTATATTTTTCAACAACTTTTAGGGTTTTAGGTTCAACCCACCATTTAATAAAGATGTGATTTCACTGCGACAAGTCCATAAAACAGACGTCGATTAGAGAGGCAAAAAATTGGACGTTGATTTGAGAACAACAAAAAGATGTCAATTAGAGGGACATCTTTTTAGCTGTTGATTTGGAATGTTATTTTATTGTGACGTCAGATTAGGATGTCTATTTGAGGAACAGATGTCGATAAGAGACCGGACATCGATCTGAGTCTTACATATATATAAACAATTCACCAAAGTTTAATGAAAATTCTTGAAACCATTTTGAGTATAGTCAGAAAACATGAAAATCACCCAATTTTAATAATAAAATCTCATAACTCACAAAGATTTAATCAGAAACTCATAAAAATCGAAAGGGAGATTACGTCAATAGGAAAATGCAATTCACCAAACTTTCATGAAAATTGGTGAAAGTTTTTTTGAGTCATTTAGGAATAAGAGGCGTGTTGACAAGGGACATAAGGCCGCAATTAAAAATATCTTTGTTTCCCCTTACCCTACCCACCATTTTGGAAGTGGGTAGGTAGGTAGGCTTTTTTTTTTTTTAGAGAAAATCCCTGAAATATATCTAACACACAGGAAAATACGGTTCTTTATTTTTTTTTATAGTTTTATTAATTCAATTGAAAATATAAAACCCCAACGAGACTGCTACCTAGTAACATTCAATGCAAAAAATATGTAGACTTGTTTTTCATTTAAGGAAATACTAAAATCCACAAACCATGATCCAAGCGAGTATGGCTATGCCTAATAAGGCTTATTCTAGAAAACTATGAATTTATTTTTAACAATAAACTTTACCATGAAACCTTGGGCGTGCCTATGTGTGGATCAGCATTCACTGGGTTAGCAGACCTTACAATGTTTGTTAATTCTTGAACACATTTTACAACGCTTTCAACACAGAGAAACAAAATGATAATGATAGTTGAAGTTCACCTACAAATTTTCCTGTAATGAAACAATATTCTTAGACACTGTCATAATTATACAAAGGAGAAAGATTCTTTAACGAAGGCATAGTATGATACAAGACATTGAAACCAATATCAAACCAACTGAAACATATCAATATCTGCACAGACACAGCTCACACCCAAAAAGTGTTTTCATTGAAAGGATTCATCAAGGGTGAAGTATTGAGGTATCTCAGAAACACATGTAGCAAAACTGATCTAAAAAAAAACCAGTTAGAAGCTCAAACGAGGATATCAAATATCTGAAATCAACGATTTTTTTTATCAAACACAAAATACAGAAAGGGAAAACTTGCTAACACATTGCCCAGCGAAACGGGAGCAACCGCTAGTAATGTTAACAAAATTCAACCCATCTATACAGAAACTAAAAATATAATAATGAAACACTGGCATCTTATTTCACAAAACCCTGAATGTGTGACCATATTTAATCATCAGCCCATTATAGCTTATAAAAGACATAAAAACTTACAAGAACTGTTATCAAAGCATTAGCTGGTATAGTCAGCTCAACTTTTCACAACACAATATGATACTGAGCTCGAAAAAAATCAACTACTATTTTATCCAAAGACAACTGGTGTATGGTCTAATATAACATACGAAATGAAACAAAATAGCATAAATAGCACGCCAATATACAACTTATTGAGTCGACCACTGATGAAGGCGAACTCAGGGATTTACCCCAAACACGGCAGAAACACCGGGCCTAACATTTAAGCTCATGTTTGAGCCCGGATGCGCAATCATAACTACTCGGCCATTCTCGCTACGCATACAATATTGTTATTGGAGGCGTAGCTAGAATGGCAGAGTAGTTACGATTGCTCGGATACATTTATTTAAAACATCATTCAATTCCAATTTCAGTATCCTTGCATACGTTGTTTACCCTTTGCTGCAAACACACGGGCGACAATGATTTCGCGGAATGTTGAAAATACGGATCATTCAAGGAAACGAAATTAAAAAACGACCTTTTGAGCGAAACGAAAAAAAAAAAACAACCATGTGATTTTCGAAAAAGATTATTTCAGTCGGCGGATTTTTAGAGGGTCGGTCGGGTAAGGGGAAACAAACTTAATTTTAATTTTGGCCCAAAGAAAGACAGCAGTATACCATAATATATCCTGTAAAGGGGCATATAAAAATCAAAGTAAGAAAATATTATAAGGTTTCCCTGACTATCTTGTGTTTTTTAATAAAAATTTTACACTGATAAAAACAATATACCTTTTTCTTCCTATTCCCACTTTCTCTGGTCACAGCCTTTACCATGCTGACTAGTCTTTCTATAAACATTTGTTGTCTCGCCAGAGTAGCTCTCTTTAAACGGCATTCCTGGCCACCCTATAATATAAATATATATTACATGAATTATTTTGTTTTTCATCATTGTATTACTGATCACTCAACACCTACCTATAATTAGAATATTTCGAATAAGTAATTAGAAACAATTTCTGACAAAATGAGGTTCATATGTCAAAAAGAAATTTCTTTTCTTTTTATTTTATTAATTTTTTTTTTCAAATCTCAGATATTTTATGTCTATTTATATTTCTATAGTGTGCTTTACATTACAGTAAATTAACTTGAACTCTGTGTTAACTCATAAAACCCTGCAAATTCAATTATCTCCCCTTTAACAAGTTAAATTGGGATTTTTTTCATTGATTGACTTTCTGGAAGGATTCTACGACTGTAATGTTTCATTGAAATTGGTCTAGATTTGAAGGAGTTGCATCTACAAGACACATTGACATACAGACAAACAGCAAGACAGACAAAGGAAAAAACTGATGGAGGGAAGCATGAATGGATGGACGGACAGACAGGAAGATTCCTATATATATCCTCCCATCATACTTTGCTTGCAGGATACATAACTAATGTAGAAGTTTTGTAAAGTTGTCCATGTTTAAAGAATTTCATATCTATATACGTAAGAAACATGTATTCTTGTTTGATAAAAAAAGGAGGTTCTTCATATGTCTTATTCATTATTTTTGCATTAAAGGACAGCTTTTAAATAGTCAATACCTAGGCATCATGTTAACCTTCGTTAATCCCATGATCTTTGATGTCATTCAATGTGAACTTTCTTTTCATCATTCATTGTCATTCCAAAAATATTTTGGTGGAAGTGAGTATAACATTATTGAGAAAATTTATCCTGCAATCAGCCAACTGTTGTACAAATAACAGGTACACAAATAATTTTTGCATTATTTGTACTTGTACTTGTACAAATAAAGTCTCCTGTTACCCCACTTCCATGGAGAGCAAGCGGTAATGTGGAAATTTCTTTTTGCGCAACAGTTCTTTTGGGATCCTCTTCGCAGTCCACGTTTAAACTATGTTGATTTCTTTGAAAAATTAGAGACAACGATTTGGATTTTAACAACTAAAGTTTCAAGCGTTAGGTGTAAATTGCAGGATGAAAACATATATATACATTGTCGGAAAATATCAAATTTATTTGTTCTTGCTACAAAACAGGAGAAAAGCTTGGCGAGCCTCGCTTTTTCGTCCTGTTTCTAAAGCTCATACAAATAAATTTTATATTTTCCGACAATGTACATATATTGTATATATGGTTTAATGTCTGTAAAATATAATGATTCTAAAAAGTTTCATAACAAGTGAGAATGGATTTTTTATATTTTGGGCTTTGTCCAAACTGTTTAGGAATAGGCCAAAAAAGAGGCCAAACACAATATTTGTTCTTGTCTCAGAACGATTACTTGTGTATAAGTGTTTGGATCTCTATGAAATTGTATAAGATTCAATACCTAAAAAGGGAGGTAGAGATTGATTTGGGGGTTATTGCCCCAACCATGGAGGAATAAGGAGTAAAAAAATAAGGATTTTCCGGTTTCCAGACAATAACTTGAATAGAAGTTTATGGTTCTCTATGAAATTGTACCACAAGGTTCCATACCAAATAAGGAAGGTTTGGATTGATTTTGGGGGTAATGGCCTTAACCGTTTAGGAATAAGGGGCCAAAAAATAATACTTTGAATAAATTGTTTATTTCTTGACCAATTTCAATGGGGTTTAATTCAAAGTTTAGAATTCTTGCGTTCTTTAATATGCTGAATCTAACCATGTATTTTAATTTCAACAAAAAATTGAATACTTTGGGTTCTTTGATATGTTGAATCTAACAAGTAGATATAAGAAGATGTGGTATGAGTGCCAATGAGACAACTCTCCATCCAAGTCAAAATTAATAAAAGTAAAAGGTATTCAAATTTTTAATTTAGGCCCCATTTATAATTTGGTCCACATTAAGGTCCAAAGGGTCCAAAATTAATCTTAAGTTTGATTTTAACAAAAATTGAATTGGTGGGGTTCTTTGATATGCTGAATCTAAACATGTATTTATTTGGTTTTTTTTATTTAAAGCCCCGTTATCAATTTGGTCCACACTGAGGTGCAAAGGGCCCAAAATTAAATTTGTTTGATTTCATCAAAAATTTAATTCTTAAGGGTTCTTTGATATGCTGAATCTAACCATGTATTTGGATTTTGGATATTGGACCATAATAGGTAAATATTTCATTAGTATAAAAATAACTAGAACTCTCAAATTTCAAATTTTTCAGTTCTTAGACCACATTCATTCTGTGTCAGAAACCTATGCTGTGTCAAGCATTTAATCACAATCCAAATTCAGAGCTGTTTCAAGCTTGAATGTTGTGTCCATACTTATATCTTATAACAAGATAGGTCAACAAAATTAACCAAATAAGTGTGGTACTAGAAATATCTCATCATGAGGGGAAAAGATTCAAGCCACAACCATAAGGTAATAGCATTTTGACAAAGCAACTTGAATCAAGTAGAGATGAGCCAATAAACTATAATGACACATACCCATCACAGAGAAGTAAAAGTACAACTTTAAATGGTTGTGCCTGTGAGAAACATTTGATGCCCTACCACATTTATGATTTATTTTATAATGTAAGACACTTTAGCTCTTATTCCTTTCAAACTAAAGTTTTACCAATTTAAAGGGGAAGGGCATAACAATTACTTAGTAAACCAGCTTGCTACTTGCCATTTGTGAAAAAACTTCTGATATAACACCCTTAGTATATGTATTTACATCCTGCATACTGTGGATTCATTTCTTTTTTGTGGGTACCAGTTTGCATGGATTGAGGAAACTTTCTTTTTCATGAACATTTGATATTGTGGATTTGCCAATGTCTGCATATGAGCATTTCAAAAAATTGTGATTAGATGAACATTTAAATTTGCGGTTCAACTGTACCCACAAAATCCACAAAAATGGTATTCTACTTATAATAATGAATTCACAGTAATTAAAGGTTTTAGCCTGAAAACAGTAGGAGAATTTTGATGGACAATTCAAACAATGTACTCAGTATGCATAACTTTATGAAATAAATGACATTTAGTTCAAGATCCTGTGTTGTTCATTTATTGTACCTATTACTTACCTTAACTAAAGCCTGGCTAAATCTTTTCATGATACATAAATACATTTCATTAACTCTCTGTTCTTTAGCAGTTGATTCATCGTTTTCACATTCCACAGAAACATACCTGGAAAACAAAGACATTGTGATAGTGGCTAAAAATACTCACTCCATGAAGATTTAATATTCAATTCACAGAATATCATCAAAAGTAGTAGGGGTGTTAATCCCAATAATTGGTCCTGAAATCTGAATATTAATAAACATTGTCTGAAGTCACACAAAATATCTATTGTAATAGAAAAATAAAGTGTAAATGAACTGTTAACACAGAGATGTGGGATATAGATCTATGAGACAGTAACCCAATAACACAAAAGTTCAAAAGACATCTCAAGTTTAATATACAATGAACATGAATAAAAATGAGTCTACAAAACAAAAAAAGTTCCATCAATATATCACAACACAATTTTGTCAATATATGACACTTAGTGTATCCATATTTATGGAAATAAACAAAGATATGTGTGCATTACAACTTTTAATCAAATTCCTTCAGATGGAATTATACTTCCATAATAAAAAAAATTATTTGTGATAAAATTTAAGTTTTTTTCCCCTATTTACAAAAATGATTTATGATGAAAATATTAAGTTCTTTGAATCAGAAACATCACTTCAAATAGGCATATATTAAACAAACTAAGAAATGTACAGTACAAATGGGGAAGCCAACGGATCATCATCATCAACGAAAGTATTACCAAAAATTAAAAATAAGATTGTTTGATTGATTGATTGATTGATGTTTAACACTCCTTTCTGCAAACTTGGCAATTTTATTTAGAGGAAGCTGGAGTCTGGAGACCTTTTGGTAGGAAAACTAGCAATCCTAGTCAATTAAGATCAGAGTTGAATGCACCTTGCTAAAAAGGGTTTAGTGATCACTGTTGATGAACTGCTTAGAAGTCTCTGCCACAGAGGTTACCTTAAAAGAGGAGAGAAAATACATCCTGTTTTTCTCTAATTTTGGTATGAAGATTACCATAAGAGATTTTACTATCAATATCTGAAAAAAGATTCTAGAATGTTCCAAGGTTGGGCGATAAATACCCCCCCGGTATTTACCGGTGCTATTTACCGGTATTTACCACCCGGTCAATACTCCTCAAGTGGTCAATACTGGCAAATACTGGACAATTGAAATTTTCATGGTTCTTTTGACAGATTTTACTATCAATGTTAGTTAAATCTTAGTTGATAGGGGAAATTATTTTAACTTTATTCATATGGCATGATTCAGTTTATAAAAAGGATTGATATTGGTATGTTTTATCAACTATTAGCATGAATAATGACTTATTCAGTTCTTATGGGTAATGATATAACATAGTTTAGGTATGGATATAAAACTGCTATATCAGTTATTTCAACATGTATAAAATATATATATTTTTTTCTTGAAAAGGTTTGATTTTAACAGGTAAATAGAATTACAGGTGACTAGATTATCAGGGCATTACCTATTGGTAAACGGACAGAAAGTCACAGGACAAAAAGTCACAGGACATAAAGTCACAAATTTGATAGGACAAAAAGTCACAGGACAAAAAGTCACAGGACAAAAAGTCACAAATAATTTGTTGACAATTGTTTGAATATATAAGAGAAAGATCTTGAAATATTTTCTTTTTATTACATATATTCATTTTTAAGTTTAGGAAATTGTTCATAAGCCTTGTTAAATGAAACTTTATTAAATTTTAATCATGCAAAGGATATATTTCTTGGCACAATGAAGCCATTTATGTACCAAGCCACTTTGACATTTTGTTTTCATAACAATTATTTGATCATTATTGATATTTATTGAATAAATGTTAATTACAAAGTTGCTTCGTATATAATAGTTCAAGAAAAAACAAAAATTTTATTTTTTAAATTAGTGTTTTCTTGTTTAAAGAAAAATAATCTCAAAACTGAATTGTGACTTTTTGTCCGTGACTTTTTGTCTGTGACTTTCTGTCCTACATTCTTACCTATTATATGGCAAGCTGGTGTCAAAAGTTTATTCAATATTACAACTGTCCCCTAATAAATGTTGACATAACAGGAAAAAGTCATAAAAGTAATTTTTGAAGACTGTTTAAAACAATTATTTTATTCCTGACTATTCAACTGCATGATAAATATCTTCTAATTTATAAAAACTAAATACAGAAAATGGAAATTTTGAAGGATCTATACTTTGGCTGCTGTTTTTCTTTTTCTTTAATTTTATTCTAATAATCACTGTCCATGATGTGTTCATGTAAAATTTCAATTTATATAAGAAAAGATAACATTAAAAAAGTCTAATGTTGACTTGAAAACTTTCATATTTTCATGACTAACAGTTATTGAATGTAGGGCAAAATATCACAGGACAGAAAGTCGCAATGCAATTTTGAAAGAACTGTTTCTTTGATTAAGAAAAGACTAATTTTTAAGACATTGTTTTATTACATTTGATGAAATTACTGTTAAGAAAACAAGCTGCCATAGTCTTTTTCTTGACTGGCTTCATGGTACCAAGAAATATCCTATGTAGGATTAATATTTTTTAATAAATCTTCATTTAACCATGTTCATTATCAATCTCATAAACATTACAATGAATTTATTTCAAGGATTTTCCCTCACATATTCAAACACTTGTTAACTAATTAATTGTGACTTTTTGTCCTTTACAATGTAGTAAATATGTGATTTTCTGTCCTGTGAATATATCTGTCCATTTACCCAGTAATTGACCGGTCTCTAAAAACACCGCAAAGGACCTCCTTTGTGCACAAAGGAGCACAAAGGACCACAAAGGAGTATGATAAGTGCACAAAGGACCTGAAATTGTTTATTAAATGGGGGGAAAGGCATTTCTCAAGAAAAAAATATTAATTTTTATTAAAATACTCGAGTTAAATCGGTATAAAGTTGAAGATTTACGAAACCGTGTTCCGTAACCGGTACGGATATGCATAAGATTACGGTCATTTTCGATAAGATGTTAGTATACCTATAATTATATATTGAAAAGTATTGAGAAAACATGAACATATAAATAAAGACTGGACATTAAACCGGAGAGAAAAAATTAAGCTAACACTGTTTGTAAAGATTTCAATTTCACAATTAATAAGTTTTGATTAATGAGGACTTGATTGCGCTTGGGATGAACAAAGCGTTATATATTCTTTACAGTTAATTATCAGCGTTCAAAGACCGTCTTTAAAAACAATAACATTGTTGAAAAAACAATTATATGTATTAATATATTTAAAAAAAAAAAAAAAAAAAACTTCAGACATATGCAAAATATACAAGTTTTCTAAATATAGATCTTACAAGCGTCGATCAAAGACGTCTTCTATTGAAGTTAAAAAGATGAGAAATATAAACCATTTTACTCAAAATTTATCAGAAATAAAATAATATAAAATAAGAGAGTGCTATCGCAAAAAGTCTAAATTTTGATATTGCGAATGTAAAAATTTTCGAAATGATATATGATTTTTTCAATTATAAATATAACCATTTATGTATGAACACATACATAGCAGAAAGTAAATTTCAGAAACTCTTTGTTAAAATAATTAATTTCATTTCAATATCCAATTTTTATTTCAAATTTTGATTATCCATTAATCAGGCTGATAAAATACAAATAAATGAATTGAGAAGATGTATATATGTCAGTAACAAGCAACCCAACGACACAAATAACCAAATGACAGCTCTACAGACTTTTCTTCATTGTGCTGTGTATACATTTTTGTTCTGATTAAGATTTGTCAAGTAAGAAAATTTCGGTAAATATTTTGTTTTTGTGCAGAATAAAATTTGATAAAAGAAAGTATATATTGAAATTTCTGAAAACTCTGAGTTAACACAACTTCATTGGCAAGTATCCCAAAAGGCCAGACAGACAATGCATATTTTCTTATAGACAATTCAGACAATGTAAAACGCAAATTAAATGGTCAGCCTTCTCAGTACTCTGACGACTGTGGTGCCACACTTTCTTTTCACACTTCAAAGCTCGGATACTAACGGAAGTGCAATGTTTCGACAACAAACATGTTTTGACTTTTTTGTTATAATGCAAGTATTCTTATACTTCACTTAAAAATATTATCATACGTAAGAAAACAAAGTGATCATATATGAGACAACAAAAAACAACAACAACACATTGCTATCCTATAAAATTTTCGAAGTTTTGGTAATGCTTTACCCTTGAAAAATTACAACAATAAAATATCAAGAATAATAATTGACATTTTTATCATTTATGTTAATATATTTACACTATTTAAAAATTCATATACACGAACTAACACTTAACCCGGATATAAAGTTGGTTCCAAACCGATACCGGTGATAACTAAAAATCGTACATTATTAAAATCGCAATTTTTATTGAAATTGATTTTTTTTTTACATTTTTCTTCATGAATTATAATATTTTTATGTTTTGAAATGAATTTCAGGTCCTTTGTGCTCATATCAAACTCCTTTGTGGTCCTTTGTGCTCCTTTGTGCACAAAGGAGGTCCTTTGCGGTATTTTTAGAGACCCGTAATTGACCAGGTAGGGACTGTATTTAATAGTAATATCTTATCAAAATTTCAATTGACCAGTATTTGCCAGTATTTACCGCCGGCCTGGTCATTACTAGTATTGACGGCTTTTTTTGCCAACCTTGGAATGTTCTCAAAATGAAAAATTTATAAAACAAAACTAGATATCATTGAGATGGGAGCCATCTCTGTGGGCCATCTGTGAATAATGTGTGGTAAAAAATTTGTATCTTTATCATTGGACATGGGGTTGTCAACTAAAACCGAAGTTTATGACCTTGACCTTTGACCTAGGAAGTTGTACATAAGTTATGACACACCCTCTGGTGTTGGTTAATATACATGTCAAGTATAAACTTTGAAATCATAACGGTTCTCAAGATATAGAGCGGACACGATCTTTACCATAGGACATGGGGTTGCCAACTAAAACCAAAGTTTTTGACCTTGACCTTTGACCTAGGAAGTTGTACATACATTATGACACACCCTCTGGTGTTGGTTAATATACATGTCATGTATAAACTTTGAAATCATAACGGTTCTCTAGATATAGAGGGGACACAATTTGTTACGGACGGACAGACAGACAGACAAACGGACGGACGGACAGACGAACAGACTAATCACTATAGGGCATTCGGCGGGGCCCTTATAAAACTACAAATTTCTTAAATGTTTTCATGATATTTTCATTGGAAATCATCCCAACAACTGTGGATAGAAGAACAACTCAAGAAAAGTTATTCTATTTACATATGTTTACCAAGATATAAAAATGGTTAATGTATGTGGTGACTTTCTTATCAAATTATGATGGAAAAACTGACCAAAAAATGGTACATTCCAGGTGTTCTTTAAAATATGTGACCATGTTAATCTAATCATAGTGCTACAAAGTTTATCACTTCCAAAAAATGTAATTCATGTAAAATATTTGCAGCCATAAGATCTTTAAATTTAAGATTTAGTTTTTGGGATGTTATATTACATCCAAATTGTCTTTTTAAAGGTGAGGCAATCTATGAAAAAAGAAATACTCAACTTATCAGGTCAATCTGAAAAATGTATTTGAGAATGTATAAATTCAATACTTTATCTAAGTCTTTCATGGAGGATAAAATTATATTTATTTGTAATGTTTTGGAATGATCTAGATCTTGAATTATAAGAAGACTTACCAATAAAAGTAGTTAGCTAATATGGAATTATCACAGGCTCTTTCTATGAGGAATGATGCAAGGTCACTCTGTTAATGATAAGAGAATAATTAAACTTTAATAGAAAGGAAAAGTGAAATACATATTTTGCTACAGAAAAACATTCAACAACACTAGCATATTATTTTAATGTCTCATTTTCTGGTTTTAATGTTTATAAATGGGCTATCAATCCATTTCTTTTGAAGTCTATAATCTATAAATTTTAAAGTATACACAAATTGATACCATTCAATTTAGTTCTTTAATTCCTAAAAACATATGCCAATCCCCGAACCCAAACCTATGAGTTAACAAACCCATTTCATTTAGTCAAGTCAAATCATTTTAGAAACTTAACAGTGAAAATGACCCTATTCAAATGAGAAAGAGGGATAAACAGTGGATCTGAGAACATGCCCAAGATATAACATGATATAATGGGAAATAATGATAAATCTATAAATATTGCTCCTCTTCCATCTGTATTAACCAGGTCTTCAAACAAAAAAGAAATCACACAGCTAAATTAACATGGTCCCTAATTTAAACTTAAATTTCAATATCATTTATCATACCGGTAATCACTGTGAATATGATTGAAGCAAGATTGATTGATTGATTGTTGCTTGTAAAATGTCCAGTGGCAAATATTTCATGCATATTCAGGAAGAAATATGGGGAAGACATGTTGAAGTCATCCATATATTTAATAAATTTAAAAAATCAATTAATATATAATATAACATTGTGTAATGTTATCAGCACTTTTGCACATTTTAAAAACATCCAGCCCAATCATATCTTTAAATTGTTTGAAATTATGATTTTTTGATTGTTGGTTTCTTAATAACCCGTGGAAATTTTTTTGTTGATGTGTTGTTCAGGTCGTTTAGCAAAGATCAATCATCAATCAATCCAGTGGGAAAAACTGTACACATATAAGAAACAAAGAACAAAATGGACCTTACTTGACTGTCAGCAAGAATGTCAAAAGATATGAATTTACCTCTTTTGATAACTTGATCTCAGGGCTTTCTTCTTGTTTAGGTGATACCCCTCCTAGTGCATCAATTATAGAATCATGTGACCCTGCTCTTGTAAGCATCGTGTGTGTCCTGGAAAAACAACATTAATTTATTTATTCATTAACAAAGTCCCATTGAAATTCTATCATACTGTCTAAATCAAAAGTAAATTTTACATACATTCTTATATTTGCACAAAAAATTTTGAAACTTAAGAAACATCTAGAATAATTGGATCATTTAGGGCATAAATATTAGTAAACATATGACCTATGTTTAAGAAGACATTTAAATATTCATTATAAAGATCAGAAAATGTATGTAACCAGAGTATATATTGACCAAGCTCATAAAAAAATATGTTGTCAGCAAATAAGATGGATTACTGTTCTCTGAAAGCAGTATACAAAAATAAAATTAAACTAAAATAGAACAGTAAGGACTCAAAAAAATTGTGAGCGATATCAGGTTTCCTAAACTTGTTAGCAATACTGACCAACATTCATCTCTCTGTTACACAGTCAAAGTATGCAGATATGAAATCCAGAAATAAAATATTTAGTATAACAGGAAGATTGTTGGTTGCTTATTGTGCAGTGGCAAGATATAACAGAAAGAATGGCAACTATGACTCAGTATGTCATTTATCTATAAATCTCTCTTCTAGCCCATGAACTTTTCTCTAATCATTTGATCTCTTGTCCACCATATGCACCACTTAATGATATTTTTATTGTAATCTTAATAATATTTATTGCCCAACACACAACACCCTATCTTACCTGTCCCTATCAGATTTATCAATAACGGACTCTCTCCTCATTGTAATCTGGTCAGTGTCATATTTATCCCCCAACACACAACACCCTATCTTACCTGTCCCTATCAGATTTATCAATAACAGACTCTCTCCTCATTGTAATCTGGTCAGTGTCATATTTATCCCCCAACACACAACACCCTATTTTACCTGTCCCTATCAGATTTATCAATAACAGACTCTCTCCTCATTGTAATCTGGTCAGAGTCATGTTTATCCCCCAACACACAACACCCTATTTTACCTGTCCCTATCAGATTTATCAATAACAGACTCTCTCCTCATTGTAATCTGGTCAGTGTCATATTTATCCCCCAACACACAACACCCTATATTACCTGTCCCTATCAGATGTATCACTAATGGTCTCTCTCCTAGCTGTAATTTGGTCAGCATCATGTTTATCCCCCAACACACAACACCCTATCTTACCTGTCCCTATCAGATGTATCACAAATGGACTCTCTCCTTGTTGTTATCTGGTCAGTGTCATGTTTATCCCCCAACACACAACACCCTATCTTACCTGTCCCTATCAGATGTATCACAAATGGACTCTCTCCTTGTTGTTATCTGGTCAGTGTCATGTTTTATCTTCTCAAAGTCCTCATATCTCAAAGCTTGTACCAGTTGAAACAAATATAAAAATAAGTCCTATAAAGATAAATCATGAATTCATAATTATAATGATAAAGATATAGAATAAACAAGTTATTTTCTGATATAAGTGACTGACATCATAATGAACATGTGTGATTAGTTTCATGTTGATAAGACCACAACTTCAGGGTATACTACCTTGACCACAAACTTGATTTTTCTGATACAAAGTATTAGATTTATTGCTGAAATAACATTAAAAAAATGTTGAATGTTAGCATTTGTATATACTGCTTGCCATGAATTGATGGCATTCTTAATGTTGAGTCCTCTGACAGCATTCCTAATATATTTAGAATAACACTGCAAAAATAACAAATCGTGACTGTTTTTATACTTTCCATATATGAATGTAAGCAAATTCTGTACATCTTACCTCATCATCAGACTGGCGTAGTCTAGACACAGCATATTTCCTTACAGTTGGATGTGTAAAAGCTGGAGATAGAAGTTCTAAAGCATCATCAGCATCCATTGGACTCCAGCGACTCATAAGTTCAATAGCTTGTTTCGCTTCCTGAGGCATCTTCCAGTTCACACATTTCAAAAATTTCGTCAGTGCCTATGAATATATTATACCTTTAATAATTGAATTTTAATCAGTAGTTCTACAATGTTTACAAATTAATGAAAAGTATACTATCGGAAAAAAGAAACAGTGCATCCTAAAAAATGTTTAAAATTCACAAACTTCAAATTTTCAATTGTTTTATGACACAATCTTGTTTAGATTATGATTTTGAAGATATCTGGTGGTACATACTCCATATGACAGATGTTATCATCATTCTTGAGCACATGCTCATTTTTCAAACTTTTGAGCACACAAAATTGATTTTTGTCTGGTTTTTTTTTTTAGAAGTGTTAAACATTTCATTAGTTTCCAGTTAACGAGGAAATTACTTTTGTTTAAATGAAGATTCCTATTTGTGTAGCAACGAACAAATGAAAATAAGCATCTCAATGCTAACAGAAATCTAAATTCTAGTGTTTTATAGAATTTTGCTAATGTGCACTACAGACATAACCAAACAAAATTCTGTTCTTTAAATCTTGTCTCATCAGATTTTTTAAGTCTACGTAGACCTATGTAGTAGCAACTAATTAATACCAAAGTACGTAACATGTACATCTAAGGAAGATGTAAGAAACCTTCATCCTCTTGCTTCGGGGAGTGAATGCTTTCCTTCATCATTTATCACCTACTCCCCGTGTACCTGATAAAGGTCAATTCAGAAAACATGTGTTGTGTACATATAAATTATAACATTTGTATTTATACAAGCTATTGTCAAAATGTAGAACACCAACAAAAGATCCTTCATATAATATTCATAATCTTTTTTTCTTATTTTCAATATGAATGTATTACCTTTTTCTGACTAGATAGATAGAATCTAAACTTCCAAACCAAATCCTGCTCTTCTGATGTCAACATTTTGGTTGGTGGAAAACCAACAATAGCCTGAAAAGAATAAAATACTTCATTAAACAAATACTCTTAAAACAAATCATCAAAAAATTAAACTAGTTATTCATATTTTCAATAAAAACTTTGATCCATAAATTGTCTTTTAAATTCTCTAAAATTAAATGTTTAATGTCCAGTATTACCTTTCATACTATAAAATATTTTACAAATATATGATGTTTTGAATAAAAAAAACACTGAATGCTTATATATGGTCACTTCAAATACACTTTTTCAAAAATTTGTATATAAAGAGATTTTATCATGTGGCTTTATGCCCTTAATTATTTGGACACAGTGAAGTTTTTAAATACAATGGATACTTACATTTAACTGATCCCTAGTCTTAGCGTCAGGTTTCATGTCCCTATCAGTTGGACCACTATGAAGACTTCTAGCTAGTTTGTGATGCTTGCTTTCCACCAAGTTTTCCTGCAAGTAAAAGAGTATATAATTCCTTTAATCAGTATGTTGCAGATCATGTTTATTTTACTGCATATAAAGAAAAAATGTCTCAAGTCATCTACTGTAATATAATACTCTAATACTATAAATATGCTCTGCCTATACAAATAGGGGGTTATAATAATGTGCTCATTGTAAGACTATTCAATTCAATATGTAAATATATTTAATAGAATATCCTGTGTTTATCATGTTTTTTCTTATCGTAAGGCCAAAAAAAATATATATGTCTGTTTAAGGTTACATTTTTTTTTAAAATAGGGTAGGTAGGTCGGTATTTTCATTTTATTTTTTGTGACATGATTTTGAGTCATGCCGTTTCGACTTGTCATGGGCCGAGTTTACCCGTATTTTTGATGATTGGATTATTTCCCTTGGAAAAAAATGGTGGCAAAGTGTTTTTTTCATCACACGAGTTGCGAATTTCCTTAAAACAGCTGTCATATTCACGATTGTGAACATTGGGATGTATCAGGCAATTGATTTATATCATTTGCAACACTAACTTCGCTTTCGACACGAGTTCAGTTTATTTTTCACTTTACGACAGAAATAAAATGACTTAGGGTCGGCGCTCAAAAGTAGGGTAGGTTGGGCAACCGTAAACAGACATATATTTTTTTTTGGCCTAAGGTCAAATTGCTGAAAGATGCCCTCCTAAAATATTAAAATCTATCATTTTGCATTAATCATAGTATCTTTGTGAAAAATACATACACCCTATTCTGCTAGGGCCCTTGTGGGTGTTTTTAAAACTTGTTGATGCAAACATCAGATATAATTCATTGACAAGATATCCTGTTAGCTGCAGAAAAAAGTAGTTTTATTGGCCTCAATACAGTTCAGTAAAGAAAGATTTTGGAAAGGATTTCTGGTAAAATTATTGGATGTAAATTTGAAAGAAAATAATTAAAGAAACTTTTTAGACAATATTTTTAAGAAACAACAACCACAGTCCTTCAATCAAATTACTATAGGGGTCAATGTACAACTAGTTCCAAACTGCCTCTGTAATTACAGATAAAAGAGCAGTAACCAGTCATTATATTCAATCAAAAGAACACTATCTGGAACATTAGATATTATGATCTATCAAACTGAATCATGGTTTCCAAAACGGTTGTTGTTCTCTTTTAATTTTGAATTTTTTGTTTATAGAAGTACAATTTTTACATACAAAATAAATTTTCCAGGGTTTACACTATTTTGCCATTTTTTTTTTTCTTTCTGGTCACTGCTTTGTCTTGAATTTGTTTTTATAGAATAAAGCAAAATTCTAAGCAATGACAGTTTTTCCAGATAACTTGTTCCTGATAAAACTGAGCTATATTCTAAATTTACAATAAGAGGCTGGCATTACCTGTTGATAGGAAGTGGACTTAAATCTTCAAACATTTCATCTAGTTGGTTTTATAAAAGGAAACATAACAGATTTTATCACAAATAATTGAATCTGAAAACCTTGCATGTACAGTAACAAGTTCATAAAATATTTCATCTTCATACATGTACCGGTAATTATAATCAATAAAAGGAATTTACACAAAGTCAGTTTTAATGACTGCTTGAGATGATTATTTTCATTAGGTAAAAAGTATGGAATCAGGAAAAAATTCATGCATAGAAAAAACAGTTATACAATGGCTTTAAGAATTATAATACTAAAAACATTTGTTGCAGTTAAAAAAAAAAGAGGCCTGAATTTGGTGTATACATTAATCCAATCCTTACCGTCAAAATTTCAGGATCAGGAACACAAACTATTTCTGCCTGAGTACGATACTGGTAAGGTTCATCACCACCCTGCAAAATATTTAGGAATAAGCAACTTAATTTATCTGAAAATAATATCTGTAGTGTTTGACCCCCTCACCTGTTTGACATGGCAGTCCAAAAGATATTCAGTGGAGTGGTTAATTCTTTTGCTCGATAATTTGCTTGAAATTGACCTGATACATTTTGTTGAATGAATTTCTCCAATATTTTTCCTATATGTATTAGTATGAGACAAACGAATTTTTTGGTAAATTTCTAACAGACAACAAGCTAACAAAACATTTGTGCATAACTGTTTAGCTAGTATGTCCCTTCTTTTTATTACAAGGACAAAGTATTATTTTTCTTTTATATATATGTTGACAGAAAATATGAAAAAAATGAAATAATTACAGCTTAAAAGTCCTGTTTCATTGGTAATAAAAGGTGTTCTACATGTATAAATAAATAGAAAAGATCCAGATGTCACATGGAAAAGGTGGATGTGTTAAATACCACAAAATAAATAGAATGAATAGACAAGCAGATAAATCTAGTAACAGAAGCATCATACTAGTACTGCCAGCAGGAAACACTAGCATATGCATATGTTCGAATAAAAGATATGTGGTATACTGTGGATTCATTTACTTTGGTGGATACCAATTTTCGTGGATTGAGGAAAACTTGTTTTTTCATGGATATTTGATTTCTTAATTTTGATAGTCTACATTCAAAGATTCGTAAAATTTCTACTTTGTTGAATATTTAATTTGATTTGATTTTTGGTGTTTTAACGCCACTTTTAAGCACTGCTTTTGGGCTATTTCGTGGCGGCCAGTTTTTATTGGTGGAGGAAGGCGGAGTGCCCGGAGAAAACCACCAACCTTCAATAGGAAAACTGACAATCTTAGTCAATTAAGATTGGAGTCGAGTGCACCCGGGGTTCGAACTCACAACCTCAGTGTTGACTGGCTAGTGATTACAGTAGTAACTACTTAGACCACTCGACCACCGAGGCCCCCTGTTGAACATTTGAATTCATGGTTTACCTATACCCACAAAATCCACGAAAATTGGTATCCAACGAATAATAATGAAATCCACAGTATTTGAACAAGACAGCAACCAATGACACTTTTCACACTAGTGTGGGTATATATTTAAGAAATAATTCATGCAATCCATAGATAAATTTTTACATAGCCTGGGCTTTTATATTTAATTTTTAATCCTAAGCCTTAGCAGCAAGAGTGAATACTGTGCTAAATATAGATATATCGAGAATTTTATCACGCTGTTGTTTCAAAGCGATAGCAGCACATCATGTCAGAATTACTTTTTTTGATTTCTGACCGATTTATTTACACAAAAACATTATTTGTTACCAATGAAACATGACTATACATTTTCATTCAGAAATTGTTTTAATGTATCACATTATGTCTCCAAATGTATTTAACTTACCATCACTAAAGAATCAAAAACAATCAGATTATCATACAAAGATATTTTTTCAAAATAACCAATAGTAGCAGTATATACATGTATAACAGGGAGACAACTGTTGACCTCACCTTCTCAAAGTAGATCACAGTATACTGCAGATCATTGTAATGGACATATGGAAACTTTATAATCAGATACATTACAGGGAGACAACTGTTGACCTCACCTTCTCAAAGTAGATCACAGTATACTGCAGATCATTGTAATGGACATATGGAAACTCTATCATCAGATACATTACAGGGAGACAACTATTGACCTCACCTTCTCAAAGTAGATCACAGTATACTGCAGATCATTGTAATGGACATATGGAAACTCTATCATCAGATACATTACAGGGAGACAACTATTGACCTCACCTTCTCAAAGTAGATCACAGTATACTGCAGATCATTGTAATTGACATATGGAAACTCTATCATCAGATACATTACAGGGAGACAACTATTGACCTCACCTTCTCAAAGTAGATCACAGTATACTGCAGATCATTGTAATGGACATATGGAAACTCTATCATCAGATACATAAAGTTAGAGTCCCGTTTCTGCTTCTCGTTGATCAGTTCTATTTCACGAAATGTAAGTCTATCCAACCAATCAACTTTCACCATGTGTCCATCTCTGTGTTTCTTACTTAACTTTAAAATAAGAAGTGAATAAAATAAACAATTATGCTATGTGTCAGGACATGTCTTCTGTAGCACTAGAAAGGAAATTAATGACAAAATTCAATTCTTTATAATAATTAATATCATTTCAAAAAAATCAACCACTGTAGACCAAACAAAAATTGTAAATAGAAAAAAAAAAATATAATAACAAAAAACATGCTACAAAATCTAAATTTCTTACTCAACATGCTAAAATAAATTTTGGAATGGTCATCCTACAACAGAGACAACTGACAAATGTTTTACGTTAGCATGTCAGGTCTCAATCATTTCTGTTTAGCTACATGTAGTCATGGTAGTTTCTTTTGATAGCTTAAACAGGGAGGGGTTAAGTTATTTACCTTTGCCAGACGACTCATTTGATCATTTGTATCCTTGGTATTACCAGGAGTGGTAGAATGGTTCTGTGGATCAGCTTCTACATTTGGCCATACTTTTAAATCTATCATACCCTTTCTAAAAGTTCTGAAAAAATTTTAAAAAATTATCACTACAGACATATCAGGTTTTTAAATATAAATATTTTACAACTATCTTACCGGTATCTTTCCAGAGGAAGTGTTTTACCTAGTAGCGGGTCCACGCAAATTAGCTTCATGCATTAAGACACCAAACTTTGAAATTCCCTTTATTTTGTAAAAAGTCTTATAACAACAACACTTTAGGGACTGCTGCAGAAAATTTATTGATCTATATGTGCCTAGGGCACCGTCATCAGGATAAAAACAATAAAGAAATTTGTGCCTAAAGTACAAAATTGGGTATGCATAAATTACGTCACAATGTAACCATGGTGAGTATGAATAGAAAGTGAAAATATACATGTATGGAAGTAAACTTGAACAAGAATGTTGAATAAAATGTGAATGTCATTGAAATTTAAATGTTTGTTGAATGAATACATGTTTGTCATCTTACAAAATGGAACTAAAATATATAATAAGTTATTGTCCGGCTGTGTACAGTTTGTGTTAAACCCAAATTTGAACGGCACTTGACTTGCAATTCCGTACCATTTCGACTGGCTTCACTTGGCCAGAGGTACTACTTCCAATCACGTTGGGAATGCTTTGAAGTGTATGACAGCTGCTGGTTTGGAAAATGTTTATTTCACAATTAAGTTATAATAAATTATGATGAAATTTAATTACACAATAGTTCATTTAAAATAAAATATGTAAGTGTCCGGTAAACAGGAAGTTGTTGAGTGATGAATCTGAAAACGCATCACACGGCACAGCTGACTTATATAAAGCCTGAAACCAAATTTCAGAAATCCTTAAGATGTAGTTCCTGAGAAAAATGCGACGAAAAATATTCATGGGACGGACGGACAGACGGATGGACGGATAGACAGAGGTAAAACAGTCTTTGATCCTTTTTCCTTTGTTTATTTGGATGGCACTAATCTTCCTTGTTTCCTTGGTTTGTAGCTGCGGGTGGCTGGGAAGGTCAGCGCTGCTGGTAACAGCGGTTCCAAAAGGAATGCAGGGGTTCATGATAAAAAATAATAAATTACAAACGAAAGTGAACCAACGCCTGGTAAATCTGTAGTAAGGTAGAGTCCCTGAAGTGGATACCTCGGGTATGCAGGGTCGTTATGATAAAGCACATAAAATGTGAAAAGTTTTATAACAACAACACTTTAGGGACTGCTGCAAAAAATTTATTGATCTACATGTTTCGGTGCCTGCTTTTATTTTCTTTAAGGCCCATCCTCAAAAATTAATTATCACCAACCTATCAGTTAATCCCCTATAATTCAAAATATCTCTAGATAAAAACACTGTTAGCACCTGAGTTCACCCCTGGTCTTTTGTGGTGTTTACCTTATTCAATATTTAGTTTTCTGTGCATTGTTTATAAACTATTGTTTATCTTCCATCTTCCTTCTTTTGTCAGTCTTTTTTTACCTACGATATTTTTTTCCATTGCTGCCTTTGCATTTTCTTGTTTTACTTAAATATTTCACGGAAATTCTTTTACAGTTTTACTTTGTATCAGTGCCATTAAATGAATGTAATATGTAAATAAAACTAAGATGCTAAGATTAATATGGTGCTGATTCAATAAATCAATCTGACATCTATCAGGATATGAATCAATATGGTTTTGTTAATTAAGAACTTACTTGTTCAAAATTTTAGAAATATAAATTCGTGAAATTTATCAATATATACAAAATAATATCTGGAGACTCCAGCTGAACATTTAAGTAATTGGTGTAATTAGTGTTATCCTACCCTCTTTTTCCAAACAGACTGATGGCTGTTCCCCCTACCGGTATAGCTTTGTTTGTACCATAGATGTCCCATATTGTCATAGCCATCATAGCATTCCTTGGTAAGTCGCTAAACTTCAATGGCAGTGTGATCCACTCATTCCAACTAAAATAAATGTATAAGTTTAAAACAAATCTTCTCACAAAGAATAATGCAAAAAAAATATTTAATACCAATCATGAATCATACCACATATCCTTATTATTATACTAATGCTTGTCAAATAATTTTCCTTCCCTTTTTTTCTTTTTTGGTCAGTGTTAACCCCCGAAAAATAATCATTTAAATATCTGTTGAATTAGTAATTGTTCATAAACTTCACATCATTAAATATTTTATCAAACAATTTTACATCAATAAGCATGATAAGAGAAAAGACTTGTATTATGTTGATCAACATAATATTTGAAACTACTGATATGAACTTTAACATATACATGATATACATGCAACTTTGCATCAATATAAAAAAAAAAATCCCTAAGGAAAAAATGGTCAGTAATTATTTATACAGAACTTACTTCCACCTGGTACTAAAAGCTTTGTATGATGTGCTAACGGCCAGTGACAAAGGTCGCCCATCTGAGTAAATCCTACAGGTCACATAAAGGTCAGAATGACCTTCCTGGTAAGCACCAGAGAACTTTAACATTGGATCATTCAGAAGTTCTTGGTAACTTGGTCTCTGTCTCTCTCCTTCCAGTGTACCACTACAAATAGTCAAGTTTATAGCAAGTAACTTTATTTCATTAACGTCATTAAATTTAACACTAGGAACCAAAACAATTACTGACAATCCAAGTGGCAGTCTTATTTCAAAAAAACAAGTTTGGTTGAATTTGGTCCAATGTTCAGAGGGGAAAATTTTGAAAAAATTTTAAGACAATGGACTACTATCCTGACTATGATGATGATGGAGGCAAAAAGGACACTAAGTGATGGCAACAGCTCACAAAGCCCAGAGCTTATACATGGGCATGATTTAAATGTTGGGTACATTTTGACAAAAGCTGACACAAAAAGAAGTTCACTTATGCATAGATAAAAGATGATGCCATAGAAACTTGTGGCAGATGACATGTAATTTTATCATTCCTGAATATCATAATATAATACATTCTAATATACCAGGTTGGCATGATAGGCTATGCTAAAATGTTGCAATTCTTTATATTCTCGTACAACAATATTTGGAAAATTATCTTTCTTATTATTGCATAAGGCTGTACAGTTGCCTATAATTGCTTACATTCACTTCATTTGAACTCTGGTCAATAGTTGTCTCATTGGCAACCATACCACATATCCTTATTTTTACATAATGATAATTTCACACCTAACTTAGCAGGCATTTTTACATTACTGTGACTTGACTTTAAGTGTTGCTCTTTACCAATTGCAGTTCATTCAAAATTCTGACCAAATTGAAATTTGTTTTATCAAACCAAACTGTTAATCTGGTCAGAAATCTTAACCAACTGCTGTAGAAAACCAGTCAAGTCATCGTAGTCCAACGTGATAAAATAAAGCATACTTACAATCCTATAAGACTTCAATTCCACTTCATTGCAAATATGAAAACTTTGCTAAAAAAAGTCTATCAATATCTTTATGGTAAAAGTCATTCGATAGATGTTAGGTAGTAATTTATAATTTTTGAAATGCAAAAAAAAATTCCAAATTTTAATTTTGGAATTAATTCGTCTTAAATGGGTTTTTTCTATGCATACTACAAAGCTTTCATCAAATTCATATCTAAAAATACTTGGTGAAACATACTTTAGGCCAACCTTAAAAATATGTTTGTTTGCAGTTTTCCGACTGTACCTTCAGACTGCAGGGTCGGTAGGTAGGAAAAATATTTTATTTTATCAGCCAGAATAAAGTTTAAACAAGCAGTTTAACACAAACCAAGTTTCTTGTCAAGAAAAAAACATTTCAAAACAACAAACACTGAAAACCAACATGAAATGAACAGGCATTTTCAGGTAAACACCTTTTTAACCAAAACTGAAACTTAACATGGTGTCATTATACAATTTATGACATAAATTTATGGTATTATGAAATACTGGAACACTTATAAACAAGGAATGACTAGAATTGTTGTAAAGAAACATATTCACTGACATATATGCATCTTTACTAGAATGTTTTCATGAGTAGAGTATTTGCATCAGAAAAATGTAGATATTAAAGATTCAAAAGACAATTTAGGAGTGTGTTAAAAAAAATCAACAATTGAATCTTCCTCAATTGAAAAAAAAGACAACTTAAAAAAAATATATTAGACATCTGACTGTTATAAAGGTTATATTTGGAAAGATATGTTGATGCCAGGCTTTAATTAAAACAAACAAAAATTTATAGACAAACTTTGGGGTGAAATCAATAGCACCCCATTAAAAGTAAATGGTCTGTACTGAAATGTTTTGACTGCATAAAAATATTGGCAGCATAGCTCCTAGCTAAGGACATATTTCAATTCAATTCACAGTTTGGGTATAATTAATATTGTAAGAGAGAGAATAATTGCAATGAGTGGGACAGCCCCCCTTATCCTAAAGGAGCATACTCATTGCAATCGAAGATAGATTTGATACAGAGAGAATATGTTTATTTCTCAAGCCAACCATTCATTTTCTCTACATCTTTGTGTAGTTTGTGTGGCTTCAAACATTTCAAATGCGTCCTTCCACCGTACAGGCGTGTTTACAGGTATCCATGAAGTCACGGAGGAGTGGTTTCATCTTTGTCGTCTTCACGACGATTTAAAGAAAATATGGCATACTTCAGGCTGCTGTCGAATTGTTGAACCACTGAAATTGGTTCCATAAAGTCAGTCTCAAAAGATTCTGTATCCGATTTGTTTGAGACAGAAACGGTTATCGTGTCGGTTTTATGGCTGCATCATCGTCAATGATATCATCGAAGACATCATTCCGTGTGCAATTCTTCCTGAATCAGTATAAACAGTTTACTATGAAACTTTTCTGTGTATTATTTGTCTTAAAATTGACAGAAGACGACAGAATAAGGTACTCCTCTATGACTTCGTGGATACCTGTAGACAATCTCCATGTGCTTTACCATTAAAGGGTCCGATGAACGGTTGACAGGAAGGGAAGAAAAACCGGTCTTCAAACATGTAATTGACCTAGACTCGAAATCAATACTGGAAACGACCCGAAATTCCGGATCGGGTCAATAGAAGTATTAAAAATAATTTCTTCAAATTAAAAGCAATAAAATGTTCACAGTCGGGCGGATTTTCGAAGGTCGGTCGGTAAACTGCAAACAAACAATATTTTAATTTAAGCCTTAAGCTTAAATATGTTAGGATGAAGTTTTAAAGGGAGATGAGATCAATACCCCCCCCCCCACCCTTTTTTCAATGGTTTGGAAATTTATTAACATCATACATTGAATGACATATTGTAACTTCATACATATTTTACTGAACATAACATGCATGACATGTTTAAATTCAAACTGATGTCTAATTCTTATGAATATAGAAGACTTTTTAAAAGAATAATTGTATGAAAGCTAAACTGGACATTTTCATATCAATTCAAAAATTACTACATATCACCTTTCAAATGACTCTTTACAAAAACAATATGTAAAGAAATTTTTAGCTTCATTTTCAAAATATCAAAGAAGTAAATTAAAGTCTTATAAGATTGTAAGTATGCTTTATTTTATCATCTTGCACTTTGATGACTCCAGTGTGGTTCTCTTCAGCAGTTGGTAAAAATTTCTGACTAGCAGTACTAGTTGAACAGTTAAGTTTGATCAAAAAAACAAATTGCAATTGAGTCAGAATTTTAAATGAACTGCAATAGGTGGAGAGCAACAGTTACAGTCAAGTCACTTAAAAAAAAAATGAAAAGTTATCTAACTTTATAACTTGCAACTTATAAGTACATATATGGTATATATCTTTAGCAATCTGGTAATACTGGGAAAGGGATTACACATGATATTGTTTCTACTTGCCAATCTCAGGTACTATATATGTCTCTGAATAATTTAATAATCAAATCTATACCTATGCTGTGCAACTTTTGTTTATTTACTTTTAATTACATGATATAGACAAAAATATATTGATTATAGTAAATGTGCTAAATATTTTTTTTTAATCTAAAATGTTTTCATTGTAAATTAAGTAATCAAATTAAGTACCGCAATCACCTTTTTTTTCAAATTTAACAGTGTTCTTTTTTATTTCAATACACAGAGAATCTAGTTCCTGCACCCAGGCAACCCTTCAAAGAAAACCCTTGAAATGTAAGATTTCCTTGATAATAGTGTGAATTTTTGTTAAAATAAAGTATGAGTAATTGAATACATTTTGATCTGAACGTTGACATCAAGATCACAACTGTAAACATAATTAAATCTATCTGTAAGCTCTGTCATCACACTTTCTGTCAAATGCAGGGGAAGTAATTGACTGATTAAAGCGGTGATGGCACAGAAACCTGTATCAAAGGGTTTGACAAGATAAAAAAGGCAGATGAATGAAAAGATATTAATAGAATTTTCCTAATCAATAAATTGATTATTTTGTGTAAAGCCTGATAGTCAGATTTGTTGATTTTTAAATAGATTTTTTTTAATGTAAAAATTTGCCCTTTCACCGTTTTTTAATTTTAAGCGTTTCAATGACCCAGACCTTTTTCAGTTCAAGGGAAACCAACTTGTTCTCAAACGTTTTAAAGAGTTTATGTTTTGTCAACTATGGGATAGCTGTCTAAGAACTTTTGACAACAAATTATGCCTCTTCACTGTGTTGAAGACAGAAGGTACAAAGAACTTATTCATGCTTTCAATGAAGATGTTTAAGCATAGCTAAATATGAGGCAGGTGTTACCTGTGAAGGAGGACAAAATCCGTAAAAAATTATACAACATTACCCTTACATTAATATAATCTGGGAACAGTATATCTAATATCAATATATATGTTCCTGATATAATTCAGTCCTAGCTGAGACAGTTGTAAAATATTAATACTTTTATTTATTTCTTATAAACTAGAATAAGTAAAATAATTTGAAGAACTATGGTGGTGCCAATTTAGGGTCTCACCAACAGGCCTCTACAATAACTTTTTTTTCAACTTGCCCAATAGGACAAGTACACATCAAAACTTACTTGTCCGAATGAAATTGTAACTTGTCCAAAAAAAAAACTTAATATTAACCTTTTTTGCATTTTAAGTTGATTCAATGAACATAAGAATAGAATTTGATTTATATCTCTTGATATCCTTTTCAAAAATATGAGTCGAGAACAACTGAATCAAGTCATGTCACAGGATTTAGGTTCTAGTTTTCATCAATGCCAAAGTCTCATCAGACTCTGCACATGAGGCACAGTCTGGTAGGCCTGTCAGTCTACACTCATTTGGTTTGTATCCTGGTTACTTTCATGTTGTTAAAATATTGATTATTATGATTAATGCCTTACAACAAACAGCTTTGTTTTTAATATATAGTGTAATTAAAATGTTTATTCAAACGCAATCAAGTATTGTTTTGTCTACATATGATCAAATATGATTCTGTGAATTTTATGGTCAATAATTTCTTCATTTTTTATTTTAAAAAATAATTTTGTTAAATAAAATTGATCATATTTATTATAAGCAACAGAAAAAGGTAGGGAAATGAGGTACTGGTTGGCTTGGTCCCGAAATGTCTCCTACGGTGCCATACTGTCTATTAAACATGGAAGGATTGGTTTCCGTGCCGGTGCCAAACTGTCTTGTTACCTTAGGTAGCACTCCACAGTTAGAAAAAAACATTAAAATTGAACCACAAAATGTTTTATCATCTTCTATTCCTGGCTTTCTAATACATTAACCTAACTGTTTGTGTTATACATGTGCATATGTATGTAATCAGTATCTTCCATAGATTTGGTTTTTAAAAGTTAAAATGGTGAAATATAATTCCTTTTTTGTGTATCCATGGCAACATTCTGCATTTATTTACCATAAAATATTACAAAAAGGGGGGTAAAAAAGTCACATATTCCCCCAAGATTTGGTTCAAACTAGAATTTCAATGCCTTTCAGTGATACCTTTTCAGAAACTGTTGATATTTATCTACCAAATGATCAAATAAAAAATGGGTGTCTTTCGCCTCATTTTTTCGTAAAATTTAATTGCAAAGTTCGTGCGACATCAAGTTGGAAAAAAACATTACAATTATTATTATAATTGCCGAACTAATATATGGTATGGATATGAAAATACATGAAAATACGGACTGTCATACAGAAAACAGCACATAATCTTGATGTTCCTATAAACCCACTATGAAGGCTATTTTAATCTTCAGCTATCCAAAAATGAATTTTATTCTACACTAGCTATCATATTTGAAAAATCCACAGGGGCCAAAATGCGAAACTACACACCTAACTGTGGAATGCTACCTTATCTACCAAGCGCATTCTTGATTTCATCTAAGACTGGTTTCCGAGAATATTACGCGTTTTATCTGTTATAAAGTATCTGTCAAAGAACCAGTTTTAAATTATCGATTGCAAGTAAACATGGTAAACATGTCAAATTAATATTTGTTTTTATCTTTTCTTGTTTTTTGTTTATTACTCAACACTTTGTTCATCAAAGTTGGATTTAATTTATTTTCTACAAAATGATTTTACTTGTCCCGTCGGACAACCTTGATCTAGCTTTTACTTGTCTGACCTTTTTTTCCTCTGGTACCGGACAATCGGACAAGCGTTATTGTCGAGCCCTGACCAATAATCATACAGTTAGCATGGTTAGAGACAAGTAGCCACAAGAAAAGAAATTTAGTGTCAAGAAATCTTAACTATTTATTTATTTTAGATAAATAAATAGATATAGAAACAAGCATTAAAGTGCCTTTTTAGATAAAGATACATGTAGGTTGTGTTATGACGTAATGTGAGTTTGAGTTATTTCCCTTGGCTACTAGCCACTTAACTTAAGTTATATTAGTGTCAGGACTTACCAAATTGAAAAATGCGGTACATCAGCCCTCAAAGTAGCTTCTGAAATGCCAATTGGCCACCAGACATGAAAATTTAGTGGCCAACTCAAAATTTCAGTGGCCAGGAAATAATTTCAGGTCGCCTACATTTTTTTTTAAAAACTAAACAACCCTTGTGAAATAAAAGTATTAAGTTTTTGTTGTGTTTATATGCTGATGAGTGTAGAAAATAGTTTGTGTAAATCAACTGTTAAAAACCACATGATTTATTTGATATTATACTCATTGACATTGTACATGTTTAAAAAAACAGTCTGCGACGTTAAGCGGTAGCCCAAAGCCCAAGTCTAGTAAAAATCTCATCAGATTTGTGCAGAAGCACTGGTGATTGCCCGATCGGTCAAGTGAACATCTGAAATCGTTTGCTAAACTGAAGCCAGTAATTTATTGAATCTATGAGAACAAGTTACAAAATTGTCGCTGACGTTGTTTCCATCCGTTTACTGACGAAATCAAGAACAGGGCTCGACCATGTGCTTTCAATAAACACAATCGATAAATGCCAATGGTTTTCTTTTTAACGGCACGTAATAGTCCAAGTTGTGACTCAGTGTGGAAATACGAAGATAGATATATATAAATCCTGTCAGTAAGTCAACGACAACAAATTGCTTACAAATGAACTACAAGTACCTGATCAGGGCAAACTTTCCGAAAATTTACGGTCGCCAGATTTTCAATATTCTAATAGCCTAAATGGCGAACAGTTATGAATTTTTGGTCGCCAATCAGCTTTTAAAGTCGCCCAGGCGACCATTTCAGTAGACTAAATTGAGGGCTGTACATCCATGTCAATTAAAAGATCCTTACAATATTGTAATGATTAATCAAGCAAGGTTAAAAGAAATTAAAATTGTTCAGAATATAACTTCTTTTAAAGTCTAGCAATCAGTTTAACAAGTTGCATTTGGCTGACTTATGAAGGACTATCTGCACCTAAACCTAACATGGCAACAAAAGGGAAGTAACTCTTGCTCAAATTGTGTCAATCCAAACCTATCTATACATGTATTTATGTAGAGTTGTCATGGTTGAATATCTTCTCTTCAAAGGTTCAAACCAAATTATCATGTGGTAAACATCGATATTGATCATATGAATGATATGCTTGATATTATTACAATGTAGATGTGGCTTCATCCTAACGTAATAGTAGTACACACTATGGTAAACATCAAATAAGAATAGCGATACATATGTTCCCAGTTTAATTACTAAAATAACATCCAATTAACAAATTTAAGGAAAATGTACTCACACCAAAATATACAGTCATTGACATTGCAAATAAGTGAACACCTGTTGAAAACTCAATCATTGTAAACTATTAACTTGAATTTTGTCTTAATTACCTTACATCTTCAATCAACAATAAATTATATTTAAATAACTTTCAATGACACAATACACATACAATTTTTTTCCAAATAAAATTAACTAATGATTCAGGTTTGTTTACATTTTGTTTGATTTTATTTTTTTAAATTAACTATATATGACATAATATGTCATTATTTTTAAAAACATACTTATTGAAGAGACAGTGACATATCCCAGGCCAGTATTTCATATTAAAGTCATGATTTATCATTTTTGTTTTACAGAAGTCCAACAGAAATTGAGGAAGATGATGATTCCTGCCCAAGTATTTGGCAGCAATGTCCTGATTCCATTTTGCTTCATATATTTTCCTTCTTGGAAGCAAAACACTTGACAGCCTCATCACAAACATGCAAGGTAAAATATGTTCTTTGGTACATGACAAGAAAGAGCATTGTATGATAAGAAACCAATTTTGACTCATCTAGGACATGTTTTACTTTTTCTGGTCAGTTTAAATTTTGACTTAGTTTTAAATTATGAACACAAGTTTTGAAGATAAATGATTGTCATAGTATTATCCAAATGAAGTTATAAAGTTGTCATAAATGGTGTTTTCAAAGAAAACGTTTTATCATAGACAAAAATACTAGCTGCAGCTGGTCTTCATTTTTTTTAATAATTTTTGATAATTTAAAAAAATATTGAGACAGGTCCATATTTCAACAGCAGAATTTCAAAATCTAAAAGTGCATTTAAGATTTTTAAAAATAAAAATAAAAATAGGGTTTAGTAAGAAATCTAATCAACAGTATATAAAAATGCATGGTGTTCAAACTGTTGTGCTACAAATATTTATCAGTATTAAGAATTTCTGTGGTTTTTACCGTCATCTTTTTCTTTCTTGATGTAGAGACAATTCCATTTTATTGAAGATAACTTTTGATTGCTTTTTGCTTTCAATAAGTTAGCATGCCTTTACCTGATTTTATGTCTAATATTCTTCATTGTGCCCTTATAACATTTTCTACTTGATATAGGATTGGAACAGAGTTACCAATGATGAAAGTTTATGGAAATCTCTATTATGTGTTAAATGGGGAGTGAAAAATCAAAAGCTGCCACCATCAAAAGAAAGCTGGAGGGCTGAATACAAACGTTTGGATTTTCACACACCCATTCATCTGAGTGAGACATTGACAGACCATGATGATGAAGTACTTCATGTCAGCTTTTCTCATGATGGGAAATTATTCTGTACGACATCAAAAGATGCTACAATCAAAGTTAGTATTCTCCTCAGGATGCAGGATTTTCTCGTGACCTTGGGCTGTTTTCTGCTCTTGGTCGGGTTGTTGTCTCTTTGACTAATTCCCTGTTTCCATTCTCTACCCTATTGTTTTCCTGTTAATGAAATATTCTTAAAAAGGTTCACAGAAAGATAATCAGAATAAACATGTTTGAAAAATTAAATGGTAACATTTTGGTATTTTGAATATGCAAAGAGATAAAAAAAAAATGGTATTAAAGTTAAAGGAGTCTATAAATGAATACTTACAATTTAGGTGTATACAACACCTCAACATTCGAGTTTGCTAGAACCCTGTTACGATGTATTTGTGCAATGAATATTTACTAAAAATTCAGACACCAGGAATCCCTATAAACCACACTTCAACAAATGATTAAAATTACATAGCTTTTTAGTTTTTAGACAGATATATGATATTTCTTGTACATTAACTGATACCAGAAATAAGATTACATGTACATGTTTGAACCCAGGAACAAGTTCTCAAATAATTTTCCCTTAGACAATTCTGCCTAGTATTTCCCTAATTCATTATAGGTTGCAATTCTATAAATATAGACAATGCAATTTCCGATAGGAACTCCTTTTACGACTAAAACTGTACCACTTTTTCAATGAAGTTTCGTAAAAAATTATATCTTAGAATGGACAGCTCACATGCACTTCTATTTTTTCAAAGGTCAAAATATAGGGCTGTGCAGCATATTTTCAACATTTATATGCCCCTAACTTCTAAGAGTTTAAACTTCTACTCAAATTCTGTACTACCCCTCCCTTCACTTTGGGTCTTCCACAGATTTCAATTTGGCTGCTATTCATGTGTACTTATACTGTAACATTCCCACGTTATGTCTCTACGAGATGAAACATAGAGATCATATCTGGGAACCAGTACGTAAACAAAACAAAATATCTATGAATATTATATACATGTATCTCCCAAAAGAGTCATGGTTTGTGAAACAGCTGTATTTACAAAGTGTAACCTATAAAGCAGAAATTTAATTTTTGAGTTATATGTAGAAACTCTGAACATATATATATTCCACACACATCTTGTTTTATTCAAGTCATGTCAAATATAGATATATTAGTGTATGTTCTGAAGTCATTTCAGTAGAATGGTTAACCATTTGTAAATCCTCTGAGGATGAATTGATAACTGCACATAAATAAAATGGGATATTTAAAATACTGTTCATAGATATACAGACATTTTCAAAATATGCTTCCAGGCTCATGATAGGATATTTCTTAAATATAAATAAGATGTGGTATGAGTGCCAATGAGACAACTATCCATCCAAGTCACAATGTGTTAAAAGTAAACAATTATAGGTCAAAGTGCTGCCTTCAACACGGAGCCTATTTAACAGATAGGTTAAAGGTAATTAGAGGATAGAATTATATATAATAATAAAATATTAAAATATCAAATCTTCATAAATGTTTTTTTTCTGCAATGCATCAGTGGTTTCTTGACAACTTGTTTAAAGAATTGTATTAATATTATTGTATTAGACAGTATCCATAAGATTCGTAAGAATGAGTTTGTTAATAATGCAGAACTTTATCAAACAACCTTTGTGTACTTAGTAATCTGTTTCATGACCTTTTTCTACAATGTTCTACATTTTTATGCCCCCGCCGTAGCGGAGGGGACATTAAGTTTTACCCTTGTCCGTCTGTACGTACGTACATACATTTTTGTAATTGCGTCCGTACGTCCCAAAATTGGTTTCCATTTTCTAACTTAAGTTTGCCTCAACCAAATATTATGAAACTTATACACAATGCCTATAACCACAAAACACAGATCAGGTTTGAATTTTGGTGGCATCACTTTTACCGTTCTAGAGTTATGCCCCTTTACAAATGGAAAAATTGCTGAATTTTTCGATTCCGTTCTCTAACTATAGTTTGCCTCAACCAAATGTTATGAAACTTATACACAATGCTTATTACCAGAAAAAACACAGATCAAGTTTGAATTTTGGTGGCGTCACTTTTACCATTCTAGAGTTATGCCCCTTTACAAATGGAAAAATTGCTGAATTTTTCGTTACCGTTCTCTTACTTTAGTTTGCCTCAACCAAATGTTATGAAACTTATACACAATGCTGATTACCACAAAATACAGATCAAGTTTGAATTGTGGTGGCGTCACTATTACCATTCTAGAGTTATGCCCCTTTGCAAATGGAAAAATTCCTGAAATATTTGTTTCTGTTCTCTAACTTTAGTTTGCCTCAACCGAATGTTATGAAACTTATGCACAATGCTTATTACCACAAAACTCAGATCAAGTACAAATTTGGGTAGCGTCACTTTTACACTTCTTGAGTTATATCCCTTTATAACGTTACATGCAAGCAGGGGCATCATTTGTGTCCCATGGACACATTCCCCATTTATTTGTACATGTATATGCAGAGTAAATTGTACAGAAAAAGGGTATTCATGTTGAGCTTTTTATTTCCGTTTTTTTATAGGTTTGGAATGTAGGTGATCCAACAATGATAAAACACAGTAAAAATTTCAGAGATTTGTTGTCATGGGACTTCACACAATTTTCCTGTTTTAACCAGATTGACACATTATTACTCGTTTCTAGTGTAAAAACAACAGATTTTATGGACAGAAGAGGATATGTTGCTATTATTTCTCTTCCACATGGTAGGTATCTAGTATTCTTTAATCCAGTCTTAAACTTTTTTAACCACATTCTCTAAAGTCCTCATGTGAATTTAAAATATGCATGGCCACAATCAATTTTTGTGTGTTAAGTTTAAAATTGTATCTAATTTTCATACCAACATGACTATTTGAACTGAAATAGAACATTGGTGTGAAATGAACAAAAAGTTCAACCAAAAAATCATGCAAAGGTGGAATTTTTTCCAACTTTAAAAAAATGATGTATCAGTGCTCTAATTTTAGAATATTTGTTTATGGATGCACCATAATAGATAATACAGATGATGACTCCTAACTGTTTTAACTGTAATTGTTTTCTATAGATTTTTTTATTATTAATTTTTTTTTCAAAGAATTATATTTGTAATCTCATATTATTTCACCACATTTTTAATTTCCATATCAGATTTCCGTATAATCCGTGTTGTATCCATGGACCCATCACAGTTATTTGGATCTTGGTTGGACAATAGCACATTCCTTGGAGGCTGTTTGGAGATCAGTCTTGATAGATTTACTACTACTGTACAGATAGAATCATTTGATGTAAGTCTTACAGTGATGTCTTTTAGGACAAACTCATGGTAACTCAAGCGAATAACAACTGTACACTGGTATTCAAAAGTCAAAATCAGTAGCAACTTTACAGGGATAAAAAAATGTCCTTAATTCTAGCTGGTTCTTAATTTTTAAGTGCACAGATTTGAAGCTTTAACCTGAAAAAATAATATTTATTAAAAAAATGGCTCCATGGTATGGTAGTAGTATGCTCTCATCTGAAGTGTTTTATTTCATTGGTTAAAACATTGGCAGGATCAAACCAAATGTTGTACTGCACTAAGTAAAAACATAGAATGTTTGACTCAATGTCTAGATAGGGTGACCTGTCTTCATGTGGACTGTTACCTTGTGAGTAAACAGCCTGCATGATCTCATAGTAGCTTGCTAGCCTCGATTGAGGGAGGTCCTGGGTTATACCCCTGGCCGGGTCAAACCAAAATTGAAAAAATTGGTATTTGCTGCTTCTCCACTATTAAAGCACACAACATTTAGGAGTAAGAGCAAAGACTGGTCGGCTCAGTATCAGAATAATGTGTCTAGGTAGAGTGACATCTTCCTGCAGACTGTTACCGTGTAAACTAGCAAGATAAAGATCTGACTCTGTGTCCGTCTAATACAAAGCAAGGTTTATTGTCGAGCCTTCGACTTTTGTCGAAAAAGCGAGACATAGCGATCCTACATTCCGGCGGCGGCGGTGGTGTCCACAAATATTCACTCTGTGGTTAAAGTTTTTGAAATTTTAATAACTTTCTTAAACAATCCAGGATTTCTACCAAACTTGGACAGAAGCTTGTTTGTGATCATAAGATTATATTCAAAAGTAAATTTTGTAAAAAAAAAAAACATTTTTTCCGTATTTTACTGATAAATGGACTTAGTTTTTCTGCCAGTTAACATTACATTCACTCTGTGGTTAAAGTTTTTAAAATTTTAACAACTTTCTTACACTATCCTGGATTTGTACCACACTTGGACAGAAGCTTGTTTATGATCAAAAGCTAGTATCTAGAAGGAAATTTTGATAAAATTTTGTTCCATTTTTTCCGTATTTTACTTATAAATGGACTTAGTTTTTCTTCCAGTCAACATTACATACAGTCTGCAGTTTAAGTTTTTAAAACATTTATTAGATTCATAAATTATCCTGGATTTTTACCAAACTTGGACAGAAGCTACTTACAATCAAAAGATAGTATAGAGAGGAATATTTTTATTTTTTTTTTTCCTTCATTTTTGTTGAGCCTGCGATTAACAGCAAAAGTAGGCGAGACACTGGGTTCCGCGGAACCCTTACGAATTTATTCATATCACATTATCATGTTCTTGTTCTGACTGCATTTAATTTACCACTAAACGTTAAACAGCCTTCCATCATCATCATTTAGGTCAAGTGCAAAGCAGGTTTCCTATTGATATCATATGTAACATGTTATCTTCCTGAATATGCATGCATAATTTGCCACAAGACATTAAGCAGCCATTAATCATTCATTAAAAGAAGTTATCAAACTCCTCATATCCTTAAATTAACCAAAACTTTCCTAAATTTTAATAGTTTTTGCGTAAGTGAAAGTGATCCCTTTAACAAACCAAAAAGGTTTAAGCAATAGTTTAAAATGTTTTAAGTTGATTCAAATCATGTTTAAATTTTTATTTCATATCTATAGGTTCCAGATGGTGCTATTGAGATAAAAGGTGAAGAAAGTGAAAATCTCCCTGAAGTTGAAGAAGGGACAGGGAGGAATCTGTTTACATTTTGTAGTGAGACTGCTAGTTTAATTAAATTTCTGACAGTAGCTCATATTCCTGTTAATGGTGACAAAGGGCCACAACTCTACTGTGATAAATGTGCTAGTCAAGAAAGAGACTCAAATCCAAGAAAAATTCCTAAACGAGACCAAACACTCTTTACTTCCGACATAGAAACTCATTCTGTTCAATCACCTTGTGATTTAGATGAGAATGAAACAGACAAAAATGAGAATGCTTCATGTTCGTACAGTTCAACTAGTGCTATAAAGGAGAACAATTCCCTGTATCGGAATCATATATCATTGTGTAATGAATGTCAAAATGGAAATGTTAGTCGTAACTTAATTTTTGTAACGGGAGAATTTGCTGTGGCATTACATCAATTAGGATTTAAAAATGTTTCTCCTGCAGTATTAGATCTACCCATGAGTCCCTCAGATGAATCAGTACAGGAAGGTGAAAGTCACATGGTGGTCAATTTTAGTAACAATGATATAACACTTAGGCCTATTAGAATATCAGACAAACCAGACAACTTATTAGATTTATTTGGACATGTCACAGGTCTTACTTTGTCAAATGATCACAGGTATGATTTATTTGGACATTGCATTGTTAAATGTTAATTTTTAGCAATTTCACAGTATTTAGCTTATATCTCAAAAACAGTAAGAGCATATCTCACATGATAAAACTTATCAGTAGATGAAGGTCTATCTCCTATATGTGGAATTTTCAGAAAAATCAGACAACCAATTGTAGAGTTTTTGCCCCTGAAATGCAAATTTTGAGCAAATTTTGAAGTTTTTGATTGATTATAATCTATAAAACTTAAATAGATAGAGAGAAACTTTAAGTAAAGTAAAAGGTAAAAATGACCAGAACAATAAGATCTATTTGATCATTATGACTGAAATAATAAATTATATAGCAATAACAGTCCCTGGACTCGCCTTCAAGAATCCTTGGTGAGACAGAATCCTGATGTACTCTTGAAATATGCAAATATTAATATACGTACATGAACTTCAAGATATTTTCTTGTTTCATGTAAAAACACAAAATTTCATTTTTCAATACTTTTCAAAAACTATAACACAACTTTCAAACAGAAACAGAAATTTTCACCTGTTTTTTTTTGGCAAAGTGTTACCTAATTTAAAGGCCTTTAAGTACATATAAGAACCTAAAATGAAGCCGAAATTCATTAAAATTTTTTGAAATGATACAGTTGAGCGGTAGACAATTTTCTTGCCAATTCAAATACAGTCAACATGTACAAAAAAAAAATAAACTGTTGATTTTTTCTTGCAATTTCGATATAAAATTCCTGAAAAATAACATAGTTGATTGCACATTTTTAAGCAAGAACTACATTGTATAAATTACTTGTTTTTTATATGCTGCAGTTCCCACTTCCCTATTGTTGAGGGCAAAAATACTTTGGAAGAAAAAAAAGTTATCAAGGTGACAGGGTCAGGGATGGGGTAATCGTAATCTGTAATCGTAATCGATTGTAATTGATTACATTTTTTCCAGTAATCGATAGTAATCTGTAAATGAAGACATTTTCGATTACATGTAATCGTAATTTAATCGATTACAGCAAAAATTATGATGTAATCATCGATTACTTTTCGATTACATTTCGATTACTTTAGTTAAATAGTTTGATGAAATATAACCTATATTAAATGAAAATATGTATATGTTTTCATCACTTTATAGTACAGATAAAATAGAATGTATTAAAATGACATAAGAGTTTATCAACTGCCTTATTTCTATCTTTTGTCTCAAGCTGCAATATGATCAACCAGATCCCCTACCAAATTTTACTTTATAACAAATGGATTTATGTGCTTGTCAATAATTCAAACCTTTTATATTAAAATAAGAAAATAGATTTAAAATAAGAAATGAGTCTTAATTTAAGTTCTGTACTACATTAAAGTAGTAAGCTTATTTGTATTAAAATTCCTTAAAGCATAATTTTCAATAAGAGTTGAAATTTTAGCATAGAATAGATACACAATTGATTCCTTATAATGTTATGATATAAAAATTAAGAAAGTACACAAAATCCTTACAACAATGAAACAATGGCTATGCATTGAAATTCTTTTTCAGAAATAGATATGTGTATCCCATTTTGACACTATAAATATATTGTTTATAAATTGAATAGAGAATAAAAAAATCTAAACAAACTTCTTGCTTTACTAATCAGATGATCAAAGACTTCTAATCAATAAGATGCAGACTTTGTTTTCATTTCAATTATGTCTAATTAAGAAGGAGATTTACATTATTTTGCCCCAGGTTATAAATTGTACTCCATTGGCAGTTTAATAACCTGTAATTAGGGTGGTTATCCAAACAAAAGGATTAATTCAGGCATGTCATTATAATTATAAATTTCGATCTTTAAAATTAGCTGAACTAATTAATTATTCTACTATTTTTACATATTTTTTTTTCAGAGGAAAATTCCAACATTGTAATTAACTATGTTAAAATATACCTGTTTTTAATTAGTAAAAAACAAAAAGCTAACTTAAGTCAGTTTGAAAGCAAAATTTATGAAAAAATCTACAATATAAATAAGTGTTTGATGCAATGCGATGTCATCTCTCATTCATGTTGAAAGCCAAAATTTCAAGAATTTTTGAATATTTGTGATCCTCAGTAAGAGAATCCATCTAGAAAACAACTGTCAACTTAAAATTTGGAAACAATGCTTTAAATGTTGTTTTTGGTAAAGTTCTAAATTTCCACTATACAAAGTTGAGCAACATAATTGTGTTTAACTTACTTTATTATTTTTTTATAATTTTGTAGCATGTAATTGACAGTAATCAAAAAGTAATGTAATTACTTTTGATAAAGTAATCGATTGCAATCGATTACATACAAATATCAGAGTAATTGATTATTAATCGATTACACAAAAATCCTTCATGTAATCGATTATTAATCGATTACATTTGTCAGTAATCGTGCCCATCCCTGGACAGGGTATACCTAATGTTTAATCTTTGCTTTACTCATAGAAGTAATGCTTACAATATACAATTTACTTCTTTTGTTGTAGGTATTTGTTCCTGAATTGTAGACCATGGATTGGTAAGGTTGATAGAACTGACCCATGGGCAACCCCTGACCTGTCACCTTCAATAGAGATCAGAGTTATTGACCTGTGTACACTGCAGGACACTGGACGACGATATCAAGGCCATAAAGGATACTCCCCATCAACAATGTGTTGTTTTGTTTTTCTAGATGTTAGTCCAGATTATGTTGGAAGGTATGTCTTTTTCTTTTAATTTTCTTGTTCCTAAAGCTTGCTTGGACTAGGAATTTTTCAGTATTGGGGGGGGGGGGGGGGGGGGGGGGGGAGGATGTTACTTCTGTGTACACTACTAGCTAGCTACTTATTTTTATTTTTATATTTTATAAAATCTCGACCTGAATATGAAAAAGGAGATGAGGAGTAAACATCAATGAGACAGAAACCAAAAGATATACATGTAGAAGGCAATATACATTGTATAGTATTCAACAAATGTCAAATATATATCAGTACAACACTGTGTTAATATACATGTGGATTCTTTCTTTAATATTTGTAGGATATCAATTTTTGTAGATTGGTCGAGAAAGGGAAAACAAATTTAAATTTTACATGTTTAGTGACTTTAATAGGAGCAAATTATAATACCACAAAATTAGGTACCCTCGAAATATCAAATTTTTCTATAACCACAAAAACTGATACCAACCAAAATAAATTAATTGATAGTAGTAATAAGAACATGAACACTCTATTTTCTATTTTTCAGTGGAAGTGAAGATGCTAAAGGTTACTTATGGGACAAACATTATAGTGTAAATCTGGCTACATTTGAACATTCATTTGGTGTTGTCAACGCTGTAGGCTTCAATCCTGCAAACCAAGAATATTTAGTAACTGTTAGTGATGATTGTACCATCAAAATATGGAGGTCTAAAGCTTTGATGAAAGACTTTGGTCGAGTCTGATAAATGGAAATAAAGCTCTGATTAAAGATTTTTGTTGAATTGGGTAATGAAGGACAAAGCCCTGTCAGATAAGACTTGTTGAATCTGATTCAATTAAACAAAATTTAAGCTTTGAAGAATGACCTTGGTCAAGTCTGATTTAATGAAGTGGAGATTCAAAGCTTTGATGAAAGACTGTTGTTGAGTCTTATGATGTTGTATTGTTATAGTGCTATATAGTGCTATAAATCAGTGCAAGAAGTTAATTTTACACTAACAAAATTGCTTACATGTGAATACATAAAATGTATAGAAGAGTAACCCATAGGAAGAAAAGAAGGTTGCTGCTGCTACATTATTTGTCAAGAGCTGCAAATTATGCTGATGTTACTTTCAAATTATAGATTTTTACTGTCTATCAGTTTTAAATTTAAGATCTCCTGTCTATATTATAATTTTTGTATTTCAGATTTTTGAACTTACAAAAATGATTTAAATTTGGAAACAACTTTATGTTTATGACTGCAACATTTATTAAATGTCATATCATAGATTAAATACTGATCCAATAATTAACTAGTTTATGATTAAGATAAATATAGGTTATCGATGGTTTTCAAACAAGATGGTGTTTCTCAGCTACAATTTCATCGAAGGGCGATAGCCCTGAGATGAGATGTGGCCGAGAAACATCCTAGAGTTTGAAAGACCGTTGATATAAAAAAAAGGAGTGGTATAATTGCCACTGTTTATCGCTATTTTGCCTATGACATCGTTGATGTTTGCATTGACAATGTCAGGTGTGCCCTTAGTTTCTGACGATAATTTTCTATCTCAAGCGAGTAGCATGATATGAAAAATTATCATAAAAAAAGATAAAAGGAAAAATACACAAAATAGTGATAATAGATGATCAAAGAGAAGGAGATTGGTCAACTTTTCTATCTATTCAAGACATTTTAATAACATTTGAGTATAATCAATATAAAAGTACAGGTTAATTCCAAAACATAAAAGCTAAATCAGTGACTGTCATAAACAACTGCAACTACATTGGACAAACCAAAATTGAACACATTTTGTACAATAAGAAATAATGTACATTTCTAGTAGCATTCATCATACAAATATAAGCTTTGAAGAGAGCAGATTTTTTACATAATTTTAGTTTCCGACACCAAATACAAAATGATGCATTATGTACAAAAGTAAAATCATGCTGTTAAGAAATCTAAATGCTTGTTTTGTATGAAATTGTTAGCCTGAAAATTGTGACCATTATCCATTATCTTGAAATATAATCAAGACTTTTGTTGCAAGGAAGCAAAAACTAAAAGACTAAGTCAGCTACATTTTTAATGAAATCAGAAATGGCTACTGTTTCATTTAGAGATAACTTTTTTTCTTATGATTCCAAATCACAAAAGCAAGATTTTTCTTAACACCTTGCAATTGTAGATGTATACCGGTAATGTCCATCATTGTTTGAAGAATTTTTCTGTAGTATTTTTCTTTGTGCCACGTTTGTTTGAATAGGGGGGAATCTGAAGTTAGAAACTTAAAAACATATTAACATTGCAACTACTTATACAGACAGTTAGGTAGGTATTAAAGGCTCTTGTTGAATACTATGTTGCCTTCTAAATGACTTTTGATTATATTTGTTGTTGGGTTCTTGTCTTTTATTAAAATTTGAAAAATTATGTTGCGATGATTGTTATGGGATATTAATAGACCATGCATGCTTATGTTACTGTTAATTAAAAAACAATGCACATGTTTTAATTTTAACTAAAAAAAAATAATGTATGGAAAAAATTACGTTTTGTTTTGTTTGTATTGACGAAGTATTATGTCAAAACTTGTAAATGAAAACATCTTGTTGATGTAGTAATACTGCATGTTATATTAAAATTGTTAATATACAAAATATACTGTGATAATGACATGTTATATTGCATGTTAAATGCAATCAATTGTTACATATTAGATCAATCTGATTATAATATGAATACTGTGTCAAAGCTTTGCTTACAAGGATCTGACAAAGCTTTGATGTACTTTTAAAGACCTTTCGTGTTTCCCTGGTCTTGTCAAAATAATACACACTTTCAAAAATTTGAAGGTAAAAATTTCATTAGCTGATGAACCTATTACCAGAACAGAAAGTAGAAGGGCATGCTATCAGATCCTTGTTGGCCAAGCTTGGACACATGATCTGAATTTTAATAATATTGCTTATTAGATGTGTATGGAGAAGCAACATAACTGACGTTTATACTTAACTTAAAATCAGATTTATCAGACATATATACTGTAGAAACATTAATTTTTCGTGGGGTTAAAATTTCGTGGTTTTGTCTCTGTATAAGATTTCATGGGGATTTAATTTCGTGGTTTCAAATAAATGGAAGTGATGATTATATGTAGGTTAAATTTTCGTGGGGGTTTTAATTTCATGGATATATTCTTTCCACGAAATAAACGAAATTAAGTCCTCCACGAAAATTTCTGGTTTTACAGTATGTATAGCATTGAATATTTGAATGGAACATATTTGACTTCTAAATTATCTCTTGTTAAGCTGGGGAAAAACTCAAATGTAACACATTGCCCATTACTAATGCATTAAACATAAGTCAGATAATTTGGTATGGAGAACCAGCACCTAATGTGAGATAGTATGGCAACCCATGGGTGGATGCCTACCTATGCAACAAATGTCTTTCAACAGATAATGTATAATAACTTAAAGACAACAACACACATAGTTGCAAGATTTTATTAATGTATATGTATTTATAGGGCTTACATGGTTATATGAATAAAATGAAAGTGAAAGTGATTGAAATAGTTCAACTTTCCTGATTGAATAAAACTCACAAATGAAATCTTCATAGAATAACATTTTTTTGTTCATTGAATGGATCTTCACCTGATTAGGTTTTAATGTCCTCCCAGCCTTTGTATGTGACATAATCTGCTAATTGATGGAGTATAAAAGCTGTAGCTGTTTCCCCAAGTAGTGACAAGTTATAAATTGTTTGGTTCTCCTTCTTGATCATCTCTTCTTGGAGGAGTTGTCAAAATTTATATATTAGCATCAGACTGACCAGTTCAAAACAGTCTGTTATTTTTTTGTCATAAGCCTATAGAGCCATTTGGGGTTACAAGTGAAACCATGAATTAAGAGTTTAACTTACTCTTTTAATTATCTCAGTGGTTGGTTTTCATGTGCCTGATTTAAGTTTTGGCTACCCTTTAATTCGTAATTCTATTTACAATCACTCAAATACAAATCTTGAGCAGTGGTTTTAATGTTTGTGTTTTTTTATATCAGCTGTAAAGGCAGTTTATGAAGATTATTGTATATTCTGCAGCCTTTAGGTTCCCCTAATTGTTCCCCTTGCTTAAAGATTGTGATTTTTTTTGGAATATATCTAGAGTGCATGTATGAAATGTATTCATCTTAGCATGATCCATGTTGGTATGGTGTGAAGAGGCTATATGTTTGGTGAAAGACGTAGACCTATAAATACATTAATTATGTGCAGCAACTATGTGTATTGTTGTTTTTAAGATATTATTTATATATGTCTTGTAAGTCCAATATTTAAGTTTTATAAGTTTTATGACTTCTAACACATCTTTATTAAAACGTGTTTCAGTGTACTTATTATTATACTGAGTGAGTGACATTTGTCTGAGTATCTAAGTATCTTGAATCTACAATTGTACCAAAGTAATCTCTAAAAAACAAATGAATAAATAAAAAATTTAAATGTATTGTACTTTGTTATTAGTATTACAAATTTACTATTAACTACCAGGAAACTGTCTATATAGGAAGGACCATAGACATACATTTCAAAAGTTTATCGGTTACTAAATATAATCAATTACTACATATATATGTATATAGATTAAGAAGATGAAGGACAATGGTTAATGAAACAAGAAAAAAAAAGCTTAAAATGTTTGAAAGAGTTTTCAGAATAAACCAAACAGTAAACATGTAACCTTATGAAGGTTTTTGTCTTGCATGCGACAAAAAAGTTGCAGAATGTGAGACATACTAGTATGCTAACGATTGTGAATCAATCTAAAAACCTCACTATGAAAGTTTGGTAGAGTTTTCAGCATAAAGCAAATTATAAACATACCTTATGAAGAGAATTTGGGGTAAAGATTGCAAGAAAATGCAATCAAAACCCTATTGTCACTGGCTTGACAGCACTAACTTCAAGACCTCTTCGTTACCTTTAGGAGTTCAAACAACATAGTGCAGTGACGTGAACATTCTTAAGATCCTATACATATCCAAGTCAAATAATTTATTAATAATATATAACCAGATATGCAAGCTACATGGTGTATGGGTCAAACTGTTAAACAAATATGTTCAACTATAATTATGGACAATGGACACAAGGAAGATATCTTCAATTCAAATGGTCAATACAATTCATCGTGTAATTTAAATTCACATTGCAAAATGAAAGCAATCTTCACTCATTAGTCTCCACAAACTTTGATTTTGCCGTGATGGGAAAACAACTGTCATATTCCTGACTTGGTACAGGCATTTCCTTATGTAGAAAATGGAGAATTAAACCTAGTTTTATAGCTAGCTAAACCTCTCACTTGTATGATAGTCGCATAAAATTCCATTATAATGACAACAATGTGTGAACAAAACAAACAGATATAATAGGTAAAAATGTCAAAAAATTGGGGTACAGCAGTCAACATTATGTTATAATCTTAATCACTATAAAAACAAACAACTATGTCAACAAAGAAAAACAAAATGGCATATAGACAAAGCACATAAGCAAAAATGAAAGACAAGAATACAAAAAAATGACCATAGCACAATAACACAATGGGGAGATACATAAATACCGAGCCACGCCAAAAGGATATTACCAAAAATGGACTAAACAGTAAAGGTTAATAATATAAAAAGACAAATAAAAGAACACTATAACACATCATTAAGATGATAAACAACGTCAGTACCTAAAATCTATATTTCAAGACCATCATATTTGTGAAGTTGATACGGAATATTTATCAACAAGGTCTTGGTATCTTTCGATTAACTTTTTTAGAAAAAGGACGAGACATTCTTTTGACATAACCCTGGTTCATGAACTTTCTGCTTAGACACTGGTGACGTTTTACAAAGTCTAGAGTAGCAGCTGCAAGTTCTTGAATACCGAATGAGTTGGGAAATGTATATTCCATATGCAGGTGAAGTTGGTATATTGATGTTAAGGTGCGGGAAATTGATATTTTCAAAATTAAAATCGTCTCGTTTGTCATAGATTTGTATAAAGCTTTATATTTGAGAAGGTAGAAGACGTGGATACCCAATACCATGTATACAAATGCATTATGTTCCTAAATTTGTGTCTGGCATATGTTTCATGTTATTGACTTCATTTTACTAGTTCTTAACTGCTAATAAAAATCTTTAGATTGCTTTCATATACCTTCTCAAAAAAAAAGTATTTTTTTCCTCACTTATTAACAATAGGATAACTATATTTGGAACATAAAATGATAGCAAGGTCTATACATGCATGATTTACATAAACTTGATCTTTCGTGGGCAAGTCCATTTCTTAGATATTATAAGCAATTGGTCAACTATCTTTGCTGTATAAAATGATTGTAAAAGAACCGACAATGTCATGGCAAAAAATAAATAAACTGTTTACACAGAGATATGTCTCTCCTGTTGGCAGACATTCGAAAAAAGACAATCTGATGGACAGCAATATTGTTATTCAAAGTTGCTGACCTAGGGGGTAGGGCCTCGAAATAGTAGTCAAACTGATATGTACTGATAGTAATGCAACTTCATAGAAAGCATCATTGATCTACATGCATCACAAGTAGTTCTTATCAAACTGACCTAAGCAGAAAACTTAACATTGAAAAAAGCTAATTAATTCAAAGTCACTACACCTAGGGGGCAGGACCTCGAAATAGTCGTCAAACTGATATTTACTGATTGTAATGCAACTATATAGAAAACATCATTGATCTATCACAATTAGTTCCTATCAAACTGACTTAAGCAGAAAACTCAATTTAACCTTAAAAAAATTGCTAATTAATTCAAAGTCACTGGACTATGCCGTAGGGGCAGGGCCTCAAAACAGTAATCAAACTGATATGTACTGATTGTAATGCAACTTTATAGAAAATATCATATATCTATCACAAGTGGATCCCATCAAACTAACTAAAGCAGAAAACTAATACAAGAGAAACTTGATAATTTTTTTAAAGTCACTAGACCATTACCTAGGGGGCAGGGCCTCGAAATAGTCGTCAAACTGATATTTACTGATAGTAATGCAACTTTATTGAAAATATCATTTATCTATCACAAGTAGTTCTTATCAAACTGAAGCAGAAAACTTAACAATTGTTGACCCATCCACCAATGCCGCCAGAAAAGCAACACATACATGTATGTCTCGATTTTCGCGACTTTCGTCACAGGTAAGCAAAAACGACCAAAAGACAAGCAAAAGTATACAAAACTAAAACTTAGCAACTCCAACCTCATAAATCCGGGGGTGATCTCAGGTGCTAAAAAAAGGTCAGCATATCCTGCTCCACATGTGTGAAGTGTACATGTCCATCTGGCAAGGTTCATCTGACCTTGACCTCAATTTCATGGTTCATTGATTAATGTTAAGTTTCCATAATTATATTTGTTTTTCAGAAACTATTACTAGTACCTATAATATAACTATTTTTGGTGTATGGAATGATTTTAAAGTGTACATGTCTTGCAGGTTTCATATAACCTAGACCTTATTTCCTTAATTTATTGTTAGCTTTGTTTCTAAGAGGTCAATGAAATTTGGTGTATGGAATGATTTTAAGGTCTACATGTTTGTGTGGCAGGTTCAGGTGACCTTGATCTCATTTTCACGGTCCATTTATCAACATTTAAGTTTTCTTCTTTCCATATCTCAGATAATATAAGCAATGGTTCATCTATATTTGATGGAGTGATTGTAAGATAAAGATGTTCTTCTGGAAGGGTTAAAAAAAAAGTAAAATTTTCTAATTATATAGTTGTTTTTATCAAGAAATATTCATAGAAGATAACTGAAATTTGGTATGCAATTTCTTTAGCATCACTGCAATTCTGTTTCAAGAATACGGCCAACTGTCCTAGTCATGCTTTTGTGATGTTGCAATTTCTACTATGTTCAGATGTTAATCATATGACGATTGTCTTATACAAAAGTTAACATAGCAGACCATTTATATTGGACATTTTTGTATTGCCCTCTTATTGAAGTTACAGTAAATGCATTATGTCACAGATTTTTATTAAAATATAGCTGTGTGATGTTAAAACTTGAACTGAAAATCGACAAAATAGGTTACTTATTATCTCTGAAATATTATTCAATGAATTCTATCGAAATAGATGTAAATTTGTATACAATTCATATAAAATTGTCTCATAATCATCAAATCTCCAAAACTAACGAAAAGATTTTTTTCTTTAAATTTGATATGTTGTTGAAACATAAAATTCTGTTTTATCAATTTAAAAATATCATAGGTTCACTGACTTCTACTTTGATGTATTAGCACATTTGTTACCTAGCTGGTAGTGAAAAGCTTAAAAAGAAGAAGTTTTACAGCTTTATGATGTGACAATGATACACTTATTTTAAAATTATGGGGTATTTTTTTACCTAGAACACTAGTTTGACTGGTGACCCAATTATTATTTTCAATGGAAATTTATAGGGCAAAAGTATATGGATTTTTAAAAAAAAATCTATGTACAATGGGTGTAGAGAAAGGAGTTTTAAAGATAATTTTGACATTCAATTCAAATGTTGAACTTATTAAGGAACTCATATTTGATAAAATTTTAGTAAGTTTAACAGATAAAAGCATTTTTTTAGATTTTCTGTTTGAGTTCAACATGCCAAAGTTGTATGCACAATATTACTCAAATCAGTAATATGGCCCATTTACTATTCCTTGACCTTATAGATGAGAACTGTGTGGCATATAAAGAAATATGAACTATTTATATTAACATGCTGGCTCATAACTTGACAGTTAGAAGGGATACATGTCACCTCACCCTGTTTGAGTGACCAGTATTTGCCTTTTTTCCTCAATATCATGTGTCACGCAGAAGAAGCAGCAAATGCAAATTTTAAAGTCTACGGTTTGACCTGGTCCTGTTCAATATCTATCAATTTCCATTGATCAAAGAGTTCATTTGAACATACAACCTATCTCTTCTGCATATTCTACTAAAATATGTCACAATCTTAGCCAATATTATAGGCTTTTCTAGCTGATAATATCTGTAACACTTACAATTCATCTAACAATGTTTATTTTAAACAAATAACAGTTTATTATTACATAAATGATAATCACAATGCAATACATCAATTGTCAACAATATCTGGATTGGTAACTAATAAATATTCCATTAAACTATATTTAATAACAAACTATCAAAACATTTGATAAAAAATAAGACTTTAACAATTGTTATATTTTAGCACCAAACAATTCAGCCAGCCACATATAAAAATTGTCAATGTAATTGCAATTGATTAAAAAATATATATTTTCGCTATATATGCTATATGAAAGAGTCATGGAAATATATATCTAAAAATATGTCTGGACTATGGTTTATAATATTGCAACAATAAATAAAATTTTAAAGAATAGGGGGAGGGACGATGGATTTTATGATACATTTCAATACTCTATAATAAGATTAATCTAAAAGAGAAGATGGGACTGGGGAGTATGTGACCTTGACTAAACATTTAACAACAGTGACTCAATAAAAAAGACATTTTATAGCAATGATAACAAGGCTGATTTAATATTGTTTTAAATTTTCCAATAATATTTTAGGAAGAATTTTCTTTAAACACTTTTGCTCCTGGCCTCTTATGTAAAACTTAGTTTTGCGCCGACTCTGATGTATATTTTTGAAATACTACAGAGGTTCCCCTGAACTTTACTGGAAGAAACTGAAAAGGACCTGTAAAAAAACAAACTTTGCAATTTTTTTTATAATGCTATATAGTTAGCAAAATTAGATAAAGAGAAAATTTGAAAGTTGACATTAAATAATATCAAGTGAACTACACAATGATTGCAGCAAATATACACTTCTTCATTTTTCAATAAATCATCTAGAAGTCATAATGTGCATACTTATAGCTGCACATCAGACATATACAGTTGTTGATACTACTATTTCTACAACAAGGGTGTTTAATGACCTAGACTACCAATGAAGGTTTTGCCAGGTTGGTTCTTAATGCTATTTTTGTCTATCAAGATACTGATAAAATGTTCTTTGTAAATATTAGAAAATGTAGAAGGAAATTATAATAATTTTAACTAATAATTTAAGTTTATGATCAAAAAGAAATGTGGCAGTTTACACATGTTGACATGAAGAACTGAATGTATAAAATATATACAGGATATACATGATACAGTTACTGGTGCTATTCATAAGAATTCAAAAATGAATGCATTATGCTTTTATAAATGTACAAGCGATAAGAACAGATGAACATAACTATAAATAAAGCTCACAATATAATTGCTTTTAATTGGCAGCAGGTCAAGAAATTTCATGAATATCAAGTGTTTAATAATTACAACAATAATGCAGACTTTAATTCAGCAGTTTTGGTATTCTATTTAAATTTACTAATTATTCACTGCGTAAAATATAATGTTGCTTTTCAATCAAACCTCTTAAACTAAATAAAGTGATAAAAAAAAATAAGAAAATGTGGTATGATTGCCAATGAGACAACTATCCATTATAAAGACAAAGGACAAAGATGTGAATAATTACATGTCACTGTCTAGCCTTCAATATTGAACAAAACCCATAGCACTCTTTAATAATATAGAGGAAGTTGGATGTTGAAAAAATTCACACAATAAAGCATTAAATTTTCCATTTAAAATTTTATGGTTCACCAGGTTGCAATCTTTAGAGCCTTCCTCACCTCCTTTATATGTTTCATTTTGGTATAGCCTCTAGTTAATAAATTTAATTAATTTTAGGGATTCTCATTTCTTTCTCTTTTTAAAGTGCTCGTCTGTAATATAAGAATCAGGCAATTTAGAAGAATTTCAAAACATGGCCGAAAAAACCTGCCGACCTAACTATCTTATATTGAAGTTAACCTCATCCTTAGTTAGAAATGGTAGGTGTTTGGTTTCTGCGTGTCTTGTAGTTTGAGAAATCTCGAGATAACTTTTGATTAGATTGATTGCAAATTACAGAGTAAGCTCCCCTTAATTGTTAATTTCTAATGCATTTCAACCAAATCATATCTTGAAATACCAGAACAGGAAAAGGAAACAAATGTTATATTCGTGCACCATTATAATTTTTGAACTTAATCAATGTAAATTTGAGCATGTTTTTGTTTTTAAGGTTTTCACCACTGTCTGATTCTTAGGCAGATTGGCACTTTTAAAACCTAATAATTCAAAGAATAAAGTTAATAAATTTCCAGTCTACTACCCAATCTGAACTTCTACAAATGAGTAGCAGATAACAAGTATGAATAAAAGATGGGATATGTGTACCATCAAACAAAAAAGACTTTTTCAAGTATTGCTAAAAAAAAAAAGTTCTGCAAAATCATGGAATATATACATCTTTTTGTAGTTTTTATGGATTCAAGGTTACAAAAATATTTGCCATACAAGATTGGTACATCTCTATAGTTGATCGCTGAACGGTAACCAACTAATATAACAACAGGATTTGGGTATTTGGCAAGAAAATAGCAACCTAATAAAACAAATGCCTAGAAAAGACATCTAGAGGTCAACGTACAGATTTTTTTTAGTTAATTTGATGCTGATTGGTGTATACCCAATACAGAAATGAGAACTCTTTTTAAAAAAGCTTTTAACAAACAATTCAGATAAAAGAAAATCCAACAACCCAAATTTGTATTACATTTTTTATTGAGGCTTGAAACCTTCACCATATCTACCTCTTTGTTGCACAGCTGAAAGTAACAAGCAAAAAAGCAAAAAAGAATAAAGCTTTTCTATTGACTGTATAAAGTGTAAAGGTTAGTCAGTGTCCTATGTCATTTTTTTTTTATTTTCAATATTTTTTCTTTCCAAAACAGTGGGAGAGGGTCAATTGACCAAGCTCCTATGCCTGTGACATTATGTAGCTAATAAGAACAATTTTTTTAAATATGGTGAATGGTTCCCTACTCAAAATGTCTACCGGTACATGATAGTCTGTATCAACACTTCTGTAGTGAATGTTGACAAGATCCAGGTTTAATAAATAAGTAAAATGGAAAACAAAGTGCTACCTTTTTACCCTATTTTACAAAAAGAGGAGACACTTAACACACTACTTTTCAGTTTGGTCTCAGGAATTTCCAATTTCATTTTTTTTCTAAAAGAGGAGATCTTAAACACATATACTTTTTTGTTTGGCCTTAAAATTTTCCAATGTCTTTAATTTCAGTTTCTTGTGATATATCTTTGGAATTCCTTTTCATTGACCAATAGTTTTGAATTCTTTTGATATCTGTACTGTTATATGGTTCCCAGGAAATGACTTCTCCCTTTTTACTGTCACCAGTTTTACTTAATGATATCACAGAACTTCCAGTTGATAACAATACCTCAACATCGTTTCCCATGTGTGCCGATGGCGTCACTTTCAAAACTGTGATCACCTCACCATACTGATATGAATTTCTCTGACCTATATTAACAATTAGTATATCACCATAGTTACGACCAACCCACAAAGTGTCACCAACATTTACAATAGAGCATACTTTTATGCACTCATCTATTTCTTGGTGACTTCCACCAGACAAAGAAGATGATACTCGAATTTTTGGTCTGACATCAGTCTTTGGCAAGCTACTACAGCTTGATGATCGAGATCCTGGTCTTGGACTTCGTGGTGGGATGATAGGTGGTTTACGATGAGGTCGCAGTGGCACTGGTGGTGGTGTTTCACCCAGTTTAACAGGGTCGGCTTTGATAGTTGGTGTTCTTCTTGGTATTGGTGGTGGTTCACTTTTGTCAGCTTTATCATCAGATACAATCCATGTGCACTCATTAAGTTCGTTGTCATTTTCAAAGTCTCCTGATTCCATAGTTTTTTCACCTTGATCACTATTATTTTCATCCTGAACGTCATTAAAATTTGCATTTAGATTGAAGTAACCTGCATTAGGTCTCTTACTTCCACAACTATCCACTGACTTTAATACTGATGATACCATATCTATAGACTCAGAACTTCCGGTCAAGCTAATGCCAGATATATATTCAGAAACTACAAATCCAGTAGGGGAATAATCGTCCATGACAAAAATGTATGTCGGTAATCTTAGGTCTACGTCAAATTCAATTACAATAGCACTATCATTTATCAAACACCACACTCTATCATCATAATAGACAAGTGATTTAACCATTCTGGTCGTATGTAATGCTGCATTTTTAACCAGTCTTTGGACAGGTACGTGGTCCTCCACCATACAAGTGGAATTACTAACAACACATATACTGCCACCACAACCAATCCATATCTCATTTCTTGATTGTCCACTTGGTGGAATGTAAGCCATACATGTAGCTGGAGAATTTCCAATTGTCAATGTTTTTGTAGTCCTCCATCCACACAGAGCTTCACTTGTGTGTGTTTGTCCACGGAGATTTCGTATTGTTACAGTCTTATTAACTGGTTCAAACACCATCACTTTTCCTGTATCAAGGGTAACATACACTTTTTTGTCCTCCTGAAAAATTTTCATAAAGTTTATAAACAACACTAAATGCTAATACAGATTTCAAGAGTATCCTGATCTCCTATTTTCTATTTGTATGTTTGTTGTGTAATTTATTCAATCTGATTAAATTACAAATCCTGCGTCCACGATTTGCTTACAAGGATCTGACAACACTCCGTCCTACTTTGTGTTCTGATAAATTTTATATCAGCCAATGAAATTTCTGCCTCCAAATCTATGAAATTGTGTACCATTACGACCAATCCTGAGGATCTCGGAAGGTAAAATGGCGTGTTTTCAGATCCTCACCAGCGAAGCATGGTCACATGATCTGTATTTTAATCAGATTGAATAAATTATAGGACAAAAATACAAGTAGAAAACAGGAGTTAAATATACTCTTGAAATCTGAAATCAGATTGATAATTCATTATGAGTATGTTAATGGAAACTAATTGGCTGTTACAGAACCTAAACGACTAAAGAAAATGTCATTGATTTTAGACCAAAGTGAAAATAATGTTTCAATATCCACAGAAATAAAATAATTTCTTTGTTTATTGGGGTCTTTTTCTTTCACATTTGTTTATATTTGCCTTTATTTTTATACATCTATAGGTAAACCCTCACAACTGTGTATGCTCAGTTATATCTGTTTGATTTTTTATTTTTGTACTATAAAGCAGCAGACTTTATAAGTTGATAAAAAATAAATCTGATCCTCCGTTGTCTCTTTCAGTAAAGTAAATAGTTATAATCTAAAATATGACATCATTTGCTTAGAACATTGTAAGCCAACCACAGCATTTTTGTTTTGTGTACACTTTTGACAATAATATCCAAAATGCACGAGATTCCGAAATGGTGAATTTAGTATAACATTTGTATGATACTTGGACTTTTTATGATGTAATCTTTGTGTCATGGCAATAAAATGAAAAATTAATTATTGGTTCACCTGTGAGTCTTGTTTTATGAACTGAATACTTGTTGCTATGGCATAAGGTGTTGCAAAAGTACATAAAGGTTTCTTCTCCTTCTTGACAAAGCACTGATGACTGTATGTCTCAATCTTATAGCCCTGCATAATAAAAAACAATATGCATAATATAAACAATAATAAGACATGTTAAGGATGTACTCAGGTCAGGTTTGGGAATTTTTGTCAGCTGTTCGAACTTCTTGTTTTTTTTCCTATGATACAGGGTAAAATATTTTGCCCTATAACATCCATTTTTCTTTTCATATAAGACTTCAATAGCTCATAAAAGGTCATGTACCAAAATTAAAGCAGATTCTAGATTTCTTTTCTTTCAATTTGAGACCCAAATAATATCAATGCAAATATAAGGTGAAGTCCGAGTCAGCCTTTGCCCGCCATTTTTCAAAAATAAATATCTCGAAAAGGAGCTACATAAGCTATCAATATTTTAAGCTTATTTTGTTCCTTAACTAATGCTCTTCTGACTTATAGTATCAATTCTAAATTCTATATTTTTTTAATTTTACCTAAGTACATGCTCAAGTCTCCAAGATTGTTGTGAAAACTTAATGATGCAGTAAATCATCTCCTGCCTCCAAAAAAAAACCGAATTCAAATGTCAAGGATTGACAATAAAGTCTTATTTTGTGTTTTCAAAAATTGCTTCCAGCTTAAATTTCCAAATCTCAATTCACATGTGGCATGAGATCTGTAGTAAACAAGCATTTTCATCTATATCAAGGAAATGAGGAATGAACACCAATGGCATTCACTATTTGAAACATTGGTTTACCTTGACAACAATGTGGCAAAGCCATTCGATGAAAATAAAAAATAAACGCAAGATGTGATCAATAGATCACAAATACCCCCATCTGTAGCAACTAAGAGATCATGATATTGTTGCATGTGTACTAAGTTTCAAGTTGATGTAACCACAAATAACCTTATACCAAAACTTAAACATATTACATTTTCATGTTCACTGAACCATGAAATTTGGGTCAAAACCCTAATTTGTCATATATATTTAACAGTTCACTTCATACAATAAACATGTGCACTAAGTGCACATAATGGCCCCACCTCACTTATTAGATTCACAAGGTGAGGTACAACCAATTTTCAGGCTACTGGGTATTATCACTATGAGGACTTTAATCTTTTACCCAAAGATCTCTAAAATTCAATTTCAGTATTTTTTTCCTTTTTTCATACATGTTACTTAGCTCAAGAAAGACTCCATGGAAAACTTGCTAAAGTACATATTATTCAAATATATTCATATAAGGCTTTAACTGCCACAAAACTGTCACCAAGTAGATAACATGACCTTTTTACCATGGAAACTTTATACTTCAGTACCTATCCAGATAACTCTCTTTCTCTACTGCCAGATTGATGTTGTCAACAGGCAGATCACATGACCTTGTAACCTTAGAAACCTACCTCAGTACCTATCCAGATATCTTTGTCTACCTGACACATACAGGTCACTCTGCTGCCTGGTAGACTATCACCTGGTGGAACACAACCATTATTATCTTTTGTAGTATATTTATCAAGTGTAGTATACTTTCTACCATCTTCACATCCTTCCCACAACCATATAGTTTCCGCTTTTCTAGACTGTAATTAAATTAATAAATAATGGAAAATATATTAGAACTCCCAAAATTCAGCCATGAAATCAAGTGCTTTATATAAATTTCACATATTGTTCAATTTTCCTAAATCAAAATTAAAATAAAGTTCATATTATTAAGAAATAAAAACCATTCAATTTTAATATTGTTGTCTGTTAAATAATTGGTTGTCATTTATATTTATTTCAAAATGTAAAAAGATTCAAACATCTTCATTTTTATAATTTTCTGTCTTTGACATTGTATTTAAGATCCAATACTTAAAATGAAAACTGAATATGTATGGAGGACTAAAAAGACAAAAATTGGAGGAAAGTAATATTTAACTGTTGACTGCTGCAAGATTTATGTCAAATGTCAAATATTACATGTATTCTCAGAGCAAAACATAGTAATGCCTTAAGAATATATCCACCTCATAAAATAACAGTCCAAAAGAAGACATTTCACACTACTGAGACAGGTTATTCGGAGCAAACCAGTTTTTTGTTCCTACAGTACTATAAAATTGTATGTGCATATTTGAGAAACTGAAAGTATTTTTTCAGTCTATGGTTGACACTGAGCTGGAGAACAAACACACGACTTCCTGAAATCTAAGCAAGCATACTACCACAAAAATACTGAAGTAGTTGTAAGAAATTATATACTTACATCAGAAGTGAATGACATGCAGTCAATTGGTCCATCCTTCAGTAAACATGGTAATTTAAAAGTCTTCTTTAATGAAATAAACTGAATGGATCTCATCCACAAATCTGAAACAATATCTTCAGCGGAAGGCCTTTTGTCAGCTGACCTGGTCCAACAATCTCTCATTAATTGCTCTACAGATGGGAATCCTGGGTCAACATTGTAATCCTATAGAAAAAATACATCACATACTGTTCAATCATCTAATTGTAAATTTATGTTTTGTTAGCAATTTTTATTTGAAGAAGGGATGTGGGTTAATATTCAGGATACAAGATTTCCACAAAATATGTTATATATTTATTAATAGAACGTAACCACATGTATTTGTTTTGGTAAAACATGTGTGTTTATTTACAGCAACAGGTGTTTTAGAATACCTATAATGTTTACAATGGTTTTCCATTGGATGAATTTGTCGCACTGCAGGTGTAATTCTCTGAATTAAAACAGGTATTCTATGTATCGTATGATTTTGGCTCGTGTTTCTTGTGCTTGCTATTTCATATAAATTAAATGTAATTTTGTTATTATTTGAAGTTCTGCCTTACCTTGAGTAGCATACTCCGTACTACTGCCTTGCCTGTACATGTATTAACCCATCCACCATCACCAAGACGGTCTATTATTCTTATGTGGAAAGTAATGGTTTATTTATAATGCTTTATTTAAGTTGTATTTCTTATTTTGTAGATTGATGTATATTTGTATGTTTAAATGGATGGCTGTGATCAAGCCTGTATGACTGTTTGGTACCTATTTAGTAACGACTGAGAATAAGCCGTAGTGTGCTACGAACTATTTTTGAGTCATATTATACATTGGTTAATAAAAAAGTATGCTACCTTCACAAGGAGAGCTCATTTCTGATACATGTGTTGAGTTTTATTGTATAAATAATTTAAGTCTGGCGAATTAGAACATAATAAACATTACTTGCTAGATGGCTGAAGTTTAATGACAAAAACTGCATGCTCATTGAAACTAAAATGATTATAAGGTTTGTTATTAATAAACATACATATTATAGTTGAGTGTCCTACTACATCAACACACTAATAGAAACACATTAGTGTAGCCAAAATTTATTAAAACTAGCCTATTGATGCTAAAATATCTGCAAAATCTCTCTTCTGACATCACTTTCTAGTCAGAGTCGTATTGTGTCAACATACTTGCCGTATATTGACTTACTTAGAGTCTTTCTTCTGAGGATTAAAAATTGTGCTTCATAATGGTGACATACCCTATATCATTTTCTTTTCATCTAGCCAAAAAAGCCCAAAAATATACCTTCTCCTTTTTGATTCATTACCCGACATGACATAAATTCTAAGCAGTTTCTACCAGAAAATACTCCCTACTTATCAAAAAATTTACAATCACACTGGATTTCAGCAAAACTTTCTGATAATCTTCTCCACTTAATTCCATCCTTGTATAATTTTTTTCCTCAACCAAAATCTTTGCCATATATTTATACAGGGGATGCATTTGTGAACTCAGTTTTTATAATATTTTAGTGTTATTGTTTGTGTACCAACCTTTAGACATGGTCTTTTTGACTGAGTTTTCATTGCTGTAGAAATTTGTGCAAGGTTTTTGTATTCTTCAAATGGTCTCCTTCCTGACAACGCTTCATATATCACCATGGAAAAGGAAAATATGTCCACCTGTTAATGACAAATAAAATGAATAGTTTGTCTGCTGAAAATTGATTGATTGATAACTGTTTAACTTCCAGCAAAAAATACTACATACATCTTCTAGATAATACTATTTTAATATCACATAAATATACCTGTTTTGTAAGAGGCAGCCATTCAGAGTCAGATAAACCGTGCTGGTTCACAAGGTAACACTATACAGGAAGACATATCACCCTGACCAGCACAGCCCACAAGGTAATATACCACACCAAGACATATTACATTTACCGGACACATTGTTCTGACTCTGTCTTGGCTCTTATTCCTACATTCTGTATGCTTGTTGGATAATGCAGCAAATATTAATTTAAAGTCCTTGGTTTGATCCATACAAGGATAAAACACATGACCTCACACACTTCAGGGGAACATGTTATTACGAGTTCACTGATATGATTCACTTTCACACTAAAGCATATAAGAACTAATTCCATGAATAGAAGTTAAATTACTTTTTTAATTGAGGACATAGCTGTATTTCCTTCTAATCATAATTTCCATAAACACATATTAATTAAAATAATTGTGGAAAAATCTAAGGTTACTGCAGACAACAATACACTGTTAGTGGTTAGTTAATGAGTTGAAAACAATATGTAAACAAATATGTTAATTTTTTCTTTTGGTAATTAGAGCAATGAAATACAGTTCTATGGATTCTACAACAGAAATTCATTCAGGCCACACTTAAAAATATTTTGGTTTACCCAAACCCTACCCAAAGGTTGAGACAGTGGGTAGGTAGGTAGGCATTTTCTTTTTATTTCAGCAAAGAGAAATTGAAGTGTCAGTTGTTTTTTAGTCTTCATGTCTATCTGATTAAAAAAAAAACTTTTTCACATCAGGACAATAAAAGATTTTGAGTAGGCAGCTATTTTCTGGGTAGGTAGGGTTAAGGCAAACAAACATATTCTTTTTTTATGGTCTCATGCTGAAACATCTATTGGATTTTAATGGCAGATCTTTGATTGTTTATGTTTAATTTATACACAATTTTTATAGATTCTAAACATTTTAGAGCTTGCCATATTTTATAGCCACCTGTTTATTGTTGAAGACTGTTAGTTGCCATCTAGATGTGTTTTGGTTATTTTTGTCTTTGGGTTGCTGCATTATTAACATATCCCACATCTTCTTTTAATCATAACATTCTTTAAAATAATATCCATTATTATACATCAGATTTGATACATGTTGAGGCATTTGAAGATTTCTTTTTTTCCCCCCTTATATTTACGGTATTGAATAAATAAACAAGCATTCTGAGAGTATTGCAGGGCAATACATAGTCCTCTACCAGTTAAAAATTCATTGTACTGGAACAAAATGCTAACTTGATCTATAACTTGTTATGGTGTAAACTTTATAACGAATATCAAGTCAATATCTTCAAGCATGACAAAAAAAAGTGTTGAAAACTGATTATTTAAGTGAATTTTCTAAGTCCATTGAGGACCATAACTCTGCACAAAATCTTCAGACCGGAACAAAATTAGAACTTGATCTGTAACTTGTCATGATAAAACTATATACCAATTATCAAATCAATATCTTCCAGCATAACGAAAAAAAGTGTGGAAAACTGATTATTTAAGGGAATTTTCTAAGTCCAAGGACCATAACTCTGCACAAAATCATCAGACCGGAACAAAATTCAAACCTGATCTGTAACTTGTCATGATAAAACAATAAACCAAATATCAAATCAATATCTTCAAGCACGAAGAAAAAAAGTGTGGAAAACTGATTTGCCGGACTGACAGATGGACAGACAGACGGAGTGCAAACCTAAAGTTCCCTTCGACTTTGTCGGTAGGGGACTATTAAAGACATTAAAGATACACTAAAGGATTAAATCTTTAAAACAATCCCCCAGAAAAGACTGCTTTAGATTGGAAGCAAAGAAATATACTAGTACAGTAAAACTTCATTGTCTAGCATAGATAAAGAGATGGATATAACATGTACATATTATTTCATTATAATCTTGATTCTATATTTCAGGTTTTGTAAATTTCGTCATAGCCATGGCCTCATGTACTTTAAGAAGTTGTACGTACCTTTTCATCATAAGCTTGCCCCTCAATTATTTCTGGTGCCTGGTACCCTGGTGTTCCTACTAGTCCAACCGTACCTCCAGAAGAACAAAATCTAGATATACCATAGTCAGACAGTTTAACATTGACAGGAGAATTCAATTCAAGGGAGAAAACTAATATATTGTCAGATTTTAAATCCCTGTATATAATTCCATGTTTGTGTAGGTAACCAAGGCCACTTGCAATCTGAAATGGGAGTAAAAGTGGTACATTAATATCACAAAAGCTTTTTTCATGTAGAGTTTATAAAAAAATAACTATCAAAATTATTCACAATGCAAGGACGCATCATTTTGCTTTTAAGAGAACAAATATAAGCTTTGTGTCAAAAAATGTATTAGATACTACAGTAAATATTCACATGTATTTTTTGAGATTGTTCATGAGAATACTTGTGTGACTGTCCCAAGTTAGCAAACTCATTTGTTGTATGTTTTTATGCCCTACCTACAATAGTAGGGGGATATTGCTTTTTGGTCTGCGTGTACATTGGTTTGTCTATCAGTCCATCTGTCAGTCCATTGTCTAGTTTATCAGTCCATCTGTCAGTCCATTATCAGGTAGTTAACATTAACGGTTACATTTGCTTGAAACTTTATATGACATATATATGTTATGATCTGAACCATATAAAATATATGCCTAATAAGGGTTTTAACCAGACAGAGTGATTCATTGGAAATGTGAGTGTAAGGGGGCATGGTGTCCAAGTTAGATATATTCCTAAGTTAAAGCCAGTTATTAACTTTCTGTTAGTAACAAGTCCATAAATCATTGCAAAGTCCTTTTGAGCATCAGTGTCCAAGAGGCTGCGAGACACAAAGTAAATTTAGATCTTGATAAACATACCTGAAACAACATTTTATATGTAACTTCTTTTTCAAACACAGCAGGGAAGATTTTATCCTTGTCTCTGTATTTGTTGAATGGTTCCCTGTTTACTATGGCCTTATCAATACTTGTCCTGAAGTTACCCAGGGGAGCAAACTCAAGACACATCAACAGACTTGGTCTGATTGATATACCAAGAAAGGAAACAATATATGGATAGTTTAGTTTACTGGTAACCAGCACTTCTTGTCTCATCTCCATAAAAGCTCTCCATGCCTGAAAATTGTAATTACTGTAAATTTAGAAATTATTGCATTCATTTATTATTGCGATTTTTGAAGAATGGACAAAAAAGCAAGATTAATTATTGCGATTTCAGGAAAATCTGCAAATAGATATATATATATATATATCAGGTATCAGAATGCATGTTCTTATTATTGTGATACACAACCAGTCGCATAATTTGCAATAAAAATAACCTCACAGTAAGTTTTGAATTAAGAGTATCATATACTTTATTTAAACTAATATCTTGCCTTTAATGCCCTTTATGGTCCCTAATACTCATATTTGCCTTCAAGGTAGGAAAGAAGTGATTCCGTTTAATTTGATATATGAACCATAGCAGCAGAGCAGACATACTGTTGAAGGCCATACCTTTACATATAGTTGCTTACTTCTATGTCATTTGGTTTCTGGTGGAAAGTTGTCTCATTGGCAATCATATCACATCTTCTAATTTATATATTCTAGATGTGCAGTAATACTAATTTTTCCCACCCTCTTAGATGTTCTCGATGTAACGATCAATGATTAATAAAATTACTGTCATATTTAATATGTGTTGTTCCCATGCATATTTAGATGACTTACTTTGATACTATTAGCTTCATCAACATCAATGGTATAAGCAGAATAATTTTTGTAAATGTCATCTTGTTCTGCCTGATCTTCAGCTTTGTCACCTCCCGTGTGATAACTACTGTCTAGACTACTCAATTGGAAGCTGGCATATGGTGCTCCATGATATAATTTCACTGCCACATCGATGCCACCATAGTGTCCTTTAAGAACTTTACCTGCGACACCAATACCTAGCAGATTGTCCTCTTCCACAGATAATTTTGAAATGTCTATTATAAACTTTTTTGGAATTTCATGCATGAGTAATTCTGGGACTAACTGCACCAGAGGTATTTTTAAATTTTTTGGACATGTGATAGTATCAGATGACATGATAAGCCTAGCACAGTGCTCTACTGAGAAATGATCAAGACCTTTAGGTAATGAATGGGATGAGTCATAACAATCTGGACACATGGCATATCTCTGAACTCTAGGCTGACCGTATTCATCCCACTCCATTAAACCTAAGAAAAATAAAAGTTATAATTCTCTGAATACTTAATTAACTGTAATTTCCCTTCTACTGATGATACTTTTTTTTAATTAAGAAAATACATAAATGTCCTTCAAATCTGTGACTTGACCACACATCAGATAACAAAAAGATTTGGAAATAATAACAATAAATATCCCTTTCTAGGATCCTTGTCAAAAATATAACTCATTGTAAGTCTCTTTTCTGTATATCGTGTGTGACGAGGTTTTTTTTTAACGACCTTGACTACCCATGGGGTTTTGCACGGTCTGCCTGGACAATGTGGAATGTTTCCCCAATGCTTGAGGGGAACATTCTCTTCTTTTTTAATGAGTTTAATTAGTGATGGCATAATTATTCTAATATATATGTACATGCACTACATCAATTTTCGTCTTCCTTCTGTTTGCTTATAAGAATGGTTGGGCATTCCATCAGAATTATTTGTCCAAATTTACTAAGAAATATCCTTTTTGTTTAATTGTTTATATCCATACTGTTTTTTACAATGATATTTCAACAAATTATGACAGCATTTGTAAAGATTACCTTGCTCATCATAGTTTTTGTTATTACCGCACATCAATGTTCTAATCAAAAGGGTATGAGCTATTCCTGGATGTTCATAGCTTCTCCATGACTTAAACACTTTAACAATAAAATGTTGTTCTTTTGCTTTAGGTTTTGTGTGCACGGAGGAGGGATTTTGTGTCAAGTATTAATATCATCTTCTTTTCAATCTCATATAATACAAAATTTGTGTTTTTAACAGGTTTAATACAAACCTGGGTAATGATCATTGAGCAAGTCATCGATCTCATCCACAACAATCCCCATGATTGAGTAATCTCCCTTTGTTGATTGTACAGTTATCAAAACACCTCTGTGTGGAGCCATGCCATGGCCTTGTGGAACAACTGTCGCCTCCACAAGTAAACAACCAGAATCATGTCCTAGATACAAACCATCTTCCCAATAGATCATATCTTTCTTTGTGATCTGTAATCCGCTGTTAAATTAAATAGTATTACTGAACAAAGATGCAGCTACAATTAAATACAAGAGTGCACACGCTGAAATGTCTCGCCTTCTTTACTAATCATTGATATTATGTTGATAGTCCTAAATATAAAGCTTTATTACAACTGTCACATAAACTTAACATTAACCAAGTAAACTAAACATTGACCAATGAACCATGAAAATGAGGTCAAGGTCAGATGAACCATGCTAGGCAGGCATGTACAGCTAACAATTCTTCCATACAACAAATATAGTTGACCTATTGCTTATAGTTTAAGAAAAACAGACGAAAACACAAAAACTTAACACTGAGCAATGAACCTTGAAAATGAGGTCAAGGTCAAATAAAACCTGCGTGACTGACATATAGATCATAAAATATTTCCATACACCAAATATAGTTGAACTATTGCATATAGTATTAGAAAAAAAAACCAAAACTCAAAAACTTAACTTTGACCACTGAACCATGAAAATGAGGTCAAGGTAAGATGACACCTGCCAGCTAGACATGTACACCTTACAATCATTCCATACACCAAATATAGCTGACCTATTGCATGCAGTATTAGAAAGAAAGACCAAAACTCAAAAACTTAACTTTGACCACTGAACCATGAAAATGAGGTCAAGGTCAGATGACACCTGCCAGCTAGACATGTACACCTTACAATCATTCCATACACCAAATATAGTAGACCTATTGCATACAGTATAAGAAAAACAGACCAAAACACAAAAACTTAACTATAACCACTGAACCATGAAAATGAGGTCAAGGTCAGATGACACCTGCCAGTTGGACATGTACACCTTACAGTCCTTCCATACACCGAATATACTAGACCTATTGCTTATAGTATCTGAGATATGGACTTGACCACGAAAACTTAACCTTGTTCACTGATCCATGAAATGAGGTCGAGGTCAAGTGAAAACTGTCTGACGGGCATGAGGACCTTGCAAGGTACGCACATACCAAATATAGTTATCCTATTACTTATAATAAGAGAGAATTTAACATTACAAAAAATCTGAACTTTTTTTTCAAGTAGTCACTGAACCATGAAAATGAGGTCAAGGACATTGGACATGTGACTGACGGAAACTTCGTAACATGAGGCATCCATATACAAAGTATGAAGCATCCAGGTCTTCCATCTTCTAAAATATAAAGCTTTTAAGAAGTTAGCTAACGCCGCCGCCGCCGCCGTAGCCGCCGCCGCCGCCGCCGGATCGCTATCCCTATGTCGAGATTTCTGCGACAAAAGTCGCAGGCTCGACAAAAATCATCTTTACCGTAAAGAAAATTTCTCTTTGCTATTAATGTTCTACTTTTAACCTGTCTAGAACAGTGAGCTTTTTTCAAAATTTTATGAAGACCATATGGTATAAATTACCTATATGAACAATAAAATTCATGTTAATATTTATTTGGTACTTGAATGTGCTCAATTTTTTCAAAGTATGCAGTCTATTCATTATTTTTTATAGGAAAAAATCAAATTGATGGTCTCTTTTGACAATAAAACCTTGGTGAATATTAATATTATTTGAAAATCTTTACCATTTCAACTTTGCACAAAACAAAAATATCAATTATCTTGTCTCAAATTACCTCATTATGTAATATTTCAAACTTCAGGCTTAAAAGATCATCTTTGTTAAATTTATTCAAATTTTCTTATTGACATATTGTATATTACATTTTCCTATTGTTGAAGACTTTATGTTTACATCTAGATGTCTTTTGTTTTTTATGCCATTGGGTTGCAGTGTCGTTGACATATTTCCAAAAAAAAAAATTTTTAATTTATATTTTAATTTGTTTTTAATGTTTGTGCAAAAGTTAATATTTTGAATATTTTCAACTGGTTTTCAGATCAGCCAATACAAAATTATATAGAACTAATCAACAAGTACCAACAAAATAATTTACTTTTATGTTTTTCTATATGAATAACAAATTTCATGAAACTTTTTAACAACCAAATACATACCTGGATGATGAGCTCTGTCTCTCCAACATTTTTTGGAACTTTGCAGGTGTAAAAGATGAAGTAAGAGATTTATTTAGAATCCAGTCTGATGTTAGTAGTTCTATTCTATACATCAACCGTGACAAAAGTCGACTCCAGAATCCAGAGGGAATGAATGCCATCTTGTAAAGTCTGATAACCTTTAACCCTAGTTCATCAGATCGGTTCAGGTCAATGGCAGGGTACTTGGATAGCTGGGAGGGTATAAATAATCTACAAAAAAGAACCATTCGCTGATGAAAGATTAATAAATATTCAATGAAATAATTACTCTGAAGTTTAAGTGAAAAAAATATATTTAAAATTCATCTGAAAAAGAGTTTGTGCCCATTTCGACCTGATGTTTTTCACTCAACGAAGGTCATGACCTGCTTTTTCACTTTTAGAAGTTGACAGGCATGGGGTACTGAACAGGAAAAAGTTTTCTTAGTGCGAAAATAATTCTTCATTGACTCAATATAATACTATTAAATACATTTGTTTCATTAAAACTTACTTCCCACCAAAATCTACACTGAGAGCAATTTCAAATCGTTCCATTAACTGTATATATTGGTCTACGTAATCATCAGGAAAGCGTGGATCATCACTGAATATCCTTCTTACTTCAACCTTGCTTATTTTTCCGCCTCTAACATTAGGATCATGTACCTATATAATAGCAAAAGATAAAGTCATGTGAACAGGTGATTCCATAAAATGTAATTAGGATGATGAGAAAGCTTTTCAGGAGATGCTTCATTTGTGTGCATTAAATATTGAGAATCTTCAACATCTTACAGTACAGACCTGCCAACTTTCCCGATTTATGGGGGATATCCCCCATGAGAGGGGATATCCCCATGAGAGGTGTTGACCTGAAATTTGAAATTCTTTATTACATAAACTGAACACCTCAAAACAGGCATTCGAATGAGTTAAAAGGGTTTTTAAGCACATACATACTCACTCAAACAATATAGTTGTAGATTAAGAACATTTATGACAATATAAGAGGAGCGTAGGACCTCTTGCGCTTAAAATCCCCCATGGAGATTTTGAAAAGTTGGCAGGTATGACAGTAATGCAAGATTGATTGATGCAATTTCTACTTTGCTATGAAAGAGATATAAAAATCATTTCAACTGATTAAAGATAGCTCATTGATAAAACAACAAATAGAGTCATACTATGAGTCATATTTTTCTTCTGGAAGTTGATAATGCAGATAGAAAATTGCACACAATTGAAACGTTCAATATAAACAAATATAAATGAATTCTGGATTCATGATACAGATTCCTTCTATTTATCAAAATGGCAGTAAATCAATATTTTTTTTAATTCATGTACTTGTATGACTCATAATCGTTTTACTCCTGTAAATAAGCATGAAATTATAGTTTAGTTACAATTTAGTGTTTAATCTTGAACTTGTCAAATAGAGACACTTGTAGGCATCCATAATGTGTAATGTATAAAAGCAGGTTCAACTTTGCAAAACTCTTCTTTAAACGAAATTGAATAAATATTTCTAATTTTTAAAGATCAATTGTCTATATAAAGTCTCTGCTGAAAATTAATTAAACTGAGAAGCATTTCATCTGAACTTGATAAAAATCCCCCCCTTTCAAGATCAGTTATCTGCACAGGTAAAACTGACCACCGATCGTTATCCTGATATCACTAAGGGCATTACATCAGTACATTGTAGCACCCTAGGGATTTACATACTATACCTTGTGGCAGTTTTATTACCAGAAAAGAGTAGGAATTAGTGATGGATAACTTACAGGATCCTAGAGATTATCATACCATACTGAGTGGCAGTTTTATTACAGAGATAGCCTTGCAATTTTAAAGAATTAGTGATGGATAACCAAACGTATCTAATTTCTGACAAAATGGCGTTAATATGGAGTTGAAAAGGCAACTGATCTTGGAAAATTTTATATTCAGCTTGACAGAAATTGATAATTTCATTACAGTCATTTGAATTTCAATTCATTTATGGCTGTTTCCCTGTTAAGTAAACAGCAAATCAGGGGCAGATCCAGCCATTTTTAAAAAGGGGGTTCCAACCCAGGATAAAGGGGGGGTAGGGGGGGGGGGGTGTTCCAACCATATGTCCCCATTCAAAAGCATTGATCGTCAATAAAAAGGGGGCTTCCAACCCCAGGAACCCCCACCCCCTGGATCAGCCACTGGCAAATTCTATGTAAAAACTGTAATTTTAGCATACCATATATTTTTTTAATGAACATCTGTACTAAGTTATTATTAGATTTGACTACAACTTCATGTAATCTACTTCTACCAAAACTTTAACTTGATATAGGACAGATGAATAGACAGAACTGAAAAGAGGTAATCAAAATCATAAGTTGAAGAAGATCGATCATAACCATGTAACAGAGTTAACAACTATCAAGAAAGGACTTAAATAAAAAACATCACACACCCCTTAAAAACAATTGGTGATCTCAGGTTCTCAAGAGTCAGGTAAGCAGTTACTGCTCCACATGTGACAAAATATGAAAACCAGATCATATTTTACACCATATAATTTTATTTGTTTTCAAAACAAAATATTGAAACGTTTATATCTTCCTAAAATTAAAGGAACAGTTTTAACTTGTGAGGATTAAAAAAATAATACATTGCTGTCAGAGATTTGACCATCATTAATCCATATAGGATCTATATAATTTACTTACTACATGTAGTAGGACTTTAGACAGGACATCACACAACCATGTTGGATCAAGAAAGTACAAATTATTTAATCCTTTCAACTGATCATTGAAATGCAGGATTGTTCCATTTTCTGTTAAAAACTTTGTCACTGAAATAAATATAGAAACAAATTTTTAAACTGAACAAGCATTCTGAGAGTATTGCATGGCAATACATAGTCCCCTACCGGGTAAAAATCATTTTACTGGAACAAAATGCTAACTTGTTCTATAACTTGTCATGGTGTAAACAAAAAGTAAATATCATGTCAATATGTTCAAGCATGACTAAAAACAGTGTGGAAAACTGATTATATGAATGAAAAAAACATTAGATATGATTAAAAGTTCTCTAAAATTAGATATGATGTTATACAGTGTATATCTATTTTAAAATCATAATCAAATATAATTAATAGTTCCAAATATTTTTTCCATTTGTCACAAACTAATATAGATTTGTAACTTATCTATAAAATGTCAACAACTTTTATCTAAACAATGTAATGTATTGAAATATATACATTAATAAAAATAGATTATTATCTAATTAAAGGATTTCTCTTCATAATTTTTTTTATATATATAGCATTCAGAAAATTAGTTTATACTAAATAACAAACAAACCTGCAAAAAATTCTTCAAATAATTTAACAAAGAATGTCTTTTAAAAAATGAGTTATCTCCCTTTGTACAGAAATATGGTTTAACATAGTACTCTAACATTAGATATGGTCCAGAGTTATGGTCCATAACTCTGGACTAATTCATCAGACCGGAACAAAATTTGAACTTGATCTATAACTTGTCATGATAAAACTATATACCAAATATCAAATCAATATCTTTAAAAACGAAAAAAAAAAGTGTGGAAAGCTGATTTGCCGGACTGACGGATGGACAGACGGACGGACGGAGTGCAAACCTAAAGTCCCCTTCGATTTCGTTGGTAGGGGACTAATAACACCTAATATATGTATACCTTGTTTTGATTGGTTGATAGCTTGTGTCTTTTTCATGCATTTTCTATTATCAAAAGATTCTGAGAAAGTTTCAATAGATTCTAATAAGGGGTAAAGCAGAAGTTGCAGATACTAAATAAGTTACCTCATTATCATTATTCAAAGCTTATTTTTCTTTTGTTAACATGATATGCTACTTACAGATATGAAAATATTGCATGTCCATGAAACACATAACAAACTACCCATAAATCATTATCTATAAGGATATCATACCTTGACGAATTTCTTCAGCAGAATCAAGATCATTGTTTGGTACTTTGTTTATAATTTCAAGGAACTCTTCATGTTCTAAAAACGGTTGTCTGTGTTCATTCAATTTAGTTTTCAAAACTTCCTGCATGGCTGTCTCTAAATAAAGGTAACTCTTTGGTATACTCCTACCCAGCAGTTTGTTAGGTCTGTTGTTTGGATCTGGTACCCTTGTTGCAAGGTCATACAGCTTTTCTTTCAGTTCTGATATACCTGGCAAAGAAAAGATTAAAAAAATATTGTATTTAAGTGTATTTACAATTATTTTAAACTGGCAAATGTTCTTATAGACCTACATATCTTTTGGTTTTTCTGTGTGGTTGGGTTGTTTCTTTTTTATGGTTACCCCAGATCTCCTTTTATTCATAACAAAATTTTCCCATGAGATATGACAACATTTATTGTCAATAAGCCAGATATCAGCTTTACAATAAAGGTGTATTAAACTAAACAAAATTTACCTCTTGTCCTGATTGCACAATCATGAGGAAGAAAATTAACCAAAAACAAGATTTTGTTAAAATATGCATGAAGAATTTACATATTCCTTATTTTAGACTTTTCCAAAAGTTTTCGAGTACACATTGACATTCCTACTAAAACCTGAAAAAGGCTGTATTATAACAGTTGACAAGAATGTATGAGATTACATGTTTTTGCTTTTAAAGACATGGACCTACATGTAAGGTGCCCACCGTGGGATGAGAAAAATGTGTATAAACATTTGACGAAGCGTGCAAATGCTTGACAAATGGTAACTATCATGTCAACAGATTTTTTCTAAAGTTATGTAATGAACAAATCGTTGTTTGAAAAGTTTCAGACAGAACAAGAATGCATGCTTTGTTATGCTAAGCATACCACCACTAGTAATTCAAAGTATAAGAAAACAGGAAATAGATGTCGGAAAAATATGAAAAGGGCAAACATATTAAAAATCATCACTGTTGAGTGTTTACCAAACATGAAGTCATTCTGTTCAGTAATATTGGAGAAATGTGGCATGAAATTTTTTTAAGGAATCATTCATCATACTGAAAAATACAAAGTATCGGCAAACAGGAAGTAGGTTAAGGTACCTGACAAATCCCAAAGACACATTACAACTCTCACAGTGAAGCTGCTGACTAAATATGAAGTCATTCCGTTCAGTAGTTTATCAAAAAAGTGAGACGAAAATATTTCTAGAAAGGACGGATGGACAAACAGAACAGAAAGCTGAACAGAGGGATGGACAGAACAGGTGATTGCAATATACCCCCAAATTTTAGAGATGGGTTTTATAAGAGAAATATACCTTCTTTTGTTGTACAAGACACTGGTATAAAACTGTCAGTATCTAGTCTAGATGATAAACCACTGGCCCGGTCTCCTTCTGGTCCATAACGGTCCAGTAATAACTGTTTTATCCTTAAGACATCTTGTTGTTTGGTTGGTAAGGTGTTTCTGTCTAAGAATGTGGCAACCAACAAGATACTGGCATTTGGCATTCTTGCCTAATAATACATTATAGAAACAAGTAAAAAGACTTATGTTCTATCTGGAATAAGTACATATTTTCAACTGTTAGGTCTTAATAATACAAAGACATCTCCATTCAAAACAATTAATTAATGTTGTCTGAATGACTACATGATGGTATATTCAATTCTGTAGTTTTTTCTTCCATCGGGCATAATTTGATTTAGATGCTAGCAAAATACATACATATCTATGTCACCTCTAAATCTTACATTCAAGTGTTACTTATATCTGAATACTATGCAGGTGCTTGTCAATATGATCTTATTCTCTAACAATAAAATGTCTTCAAATGATTGTATCATTATCCAAAAATTGCAAAGGCAGTGAGGAATCTGAATGCATGTGCTGTTGTGCTAAGCATACCCCTCTCGTAATTCAAAGTAAAGAAAACAGAAAGTAGGTGTCTGACAGATCCGAAAAGTACACACACATTACAGCTCTTCAATGTTGAGCTGCTGACCAACTATGAAGTCATTCTGGACAGTAGTTTCTGAAAAAACTGTTTCTACGATAACAAGAGATCATACCCTCTACCTTAATTTCTCTCCAGAAATACTAAATATTACATGTGCACTGTACATTTCTTGATAACATGAATAATTTGTATACTGAAAACTAAAGACATACTTTCTGATTTCATCTCAGACAGGTATATATTCATCAGAATACTATGGAGATGCTGGCCATTTCTATCTAATTCTTTTGTCAGCGTCTTACCATGTCTTAACATAAAAAACTTCTACTCATTTAGTCTCTGGTGGAGAGTAGTCTCATTGGCAATCAGACCACATCTTCTTACTTTTATATTATGCTCAATGAAATTTAAAACAATTACCTGAATACTGTAAAGATACTGGCCGATTTTGTCCAGTTCCTTCTCTAAGGACCATAAATCCCACACTAACATGTAAAGTGAGTTTGGCGTGTAGAAACAATGATGGGTAGCTGCCACTGTAGGATCACCACTCATATCCCATAGAGAAAACTTTATGGTGGGATAGTCCTGGTGCTAAAGATAAACAACATTATTTACTTTTGCTTTGCTTTATTCTATTTTGCAACAATACAGAAGATGATCAATTTTATTTTAAACACACTTAAGTAGACAAGATGTAACTAGCTACAGATTAAATTGAACTGAACATGATTTTTTTTTTATAAATTATCTTCATTTTTGAAGTTTTAAAGAAATAGTTAATCACCAGTCTTTCATTGGTTGCAATTACCCAACTTTCTGAATATCAAACATTGGGTATTGACAAAATAGGCTACATCTTTGGGTTTGCAGGAAACCCTTTATCTTTTCATTTTGTTTTAGTGGTAAAATTGTGATTATTGACTCATGACACAATGGAAAAAGTCAGTGTTAAATTATTTAAAACTTTGTAAAATAACATAGATGCTTTACAATTATGAAGATGAAGGCACCTTCCAATTGGCTTTATAAACCAAATATTATTATCAAAACAGTCTATGGAAAAAAGCCAAATCTTTGGTACTGGCATGAATTAAACAATATATTTTGTCATGACATTTACAGTGATTAAAATTATGCAATTTTTATTAAAACTAAAGCTGCCATTCCCTCAGGCAAAATTTCTTAGACAGTTTTGGCTACTCCAGTTTTCTTTTTTATGCTTCCAAAACATCTGAATTTTTTGACATTCCAAAACTTTGTTTTTTTTGCATACCTGATGATGGTTATAGCAGAAACATGTATATTGGGCAGGGAAATCATACCATATTATTTTCTTTTATCTGATAGTTCTAAAGTAAAAGTATTTTAAACAAAAATAAATGATGTCTGATATAGATGAAAGACGTATTTTTCATTTACATTTGCTAATATGTTTTCTCTACACACCAATTTTAAGACACAGCAAATAAACAGTAATTTCTTTTAAGCCTAATGTGTACAACCTTGAAGAGTTTTAATAGAGTCCCCTTTGGTGGAAGTTCAATGTCATGTCGTTGTACACCAAGTAAATGGTGACTACCCAATGTTTGACCTTTCAACAATCCAGCAAGAGTTGTCTTTCCTTTGTCCTAAAGAAAATAAACAAGATATACATTTGTTAAGGGCTTTTCTTTAAAAACATGCATGGTATCCAGGGAAAGGCACCTTCAAAATCAGAGGCAAATTTAGAATTTCACTTTCATTTTTACTGTACCTGATACCCACCCATAGTTGAGATTTCAAAGTGCCTTCCCTGGGTCCTATGTGCATTTTAATGGTAAAGGCCTATCAAATGAGGCTTTGAATATTTAAGAATAAATTACACAATTTATTGGTAACTTTGTTTTACACAATGTTTTGTTATGGCATTGTTCGTTCGTGTGTGAATGATTTTTTTCTGTTCATTTCTAAAGAGGAAAACCTTTCTTTCATTAAATGTAGATTTAATGTATTGCCTTGATTATCAAACTAAAGTATAATTCAGGCAAAAATGATGACTGTCAAACTAACCAAGATTACTTTTCACAAACTGTCAACCTAAAATTGCATAATTTTTTCCTTATTTTCCTACCTTCTTTCCCAGAATGACAAGTTTCATTTTGTAATACTTCTCAGATTGTCTCAGATCATTTCTCAAACTTAAGATTATTTGTTTTGATCTCTGTTGCTGATCTGTGAAATAAAAACAATTGATTGTCACAAATATTTCTTTATAAAAACCTTCATGAAACATTGTGGGGAAATCGTTTTAAAACATCTAATATGTTTACAGGTTATATCTGATAGATTAAGTAGTTTTAGCAGAGCAAGATTAAATAATATCAGGAGTTATTCTTAGTTAATAAATGTAACAAAAAAAATATTAATTTCAATTGTTTCGAGTTTTATATAAGAGATATTTAATACAGTGAATGTCTATAAAGTACTGATTTGACTTGACAATGTATTTCTCATTTGTATTTCCTCTAGTTTTCTATAAATACGTAAATGCTTTTGTCAGTAATGTACCTGCTGAAAATATTTGACAGAAATGAGTTAAGGACAAACAGACACACAGATGGAAGAGGTAAACCAGTATACCCACACCTTTGCAGCGAGGGTATAATTATGATCATACATTGATATAACATTCTACTTATTAGACACAGTGTTTCTGCACTGATTGACTAGAACCATGTTTGACTGAGGTCATGACCTTATTTTTGTACTTGGATATGGATCTTTTTAGAGACTGCATGGTCTGTAATGGTATAAATGCCTTAAGGTGGTACATAACACTACAGGAAGATAACTCTATAAAAATCAGCTGAGCGTTTTAATCATGTTCTATTCATGTTAAGGAAATATGAAGCTTCTCAATGATCAAAATTAGTGTTTGTCAAACTGCTATTTTTCTGATAAAGTGTGTGGTTCAAGTTTTTTGAAATTTTTATATTTTTGTCAAAGGGTCAAAGTAAATATTTTGTCAAAATTTTATGAAAATTAAACGAGCTAAATAAATTTTAGTCAAGGTGTTTGGTACCACCTTAAAATACATAAAATCTTACCACAATCTGTGTCAATCAGCTTCTTCATATCAGTAATATTGACACCATCCATTTTAATCATACATGTGACCTTCAATTTGCCCAATTCCTTTGGTAATGTCTTTATGGCAGGATTACTGCAAACAATAACATTGTAAAGTTTTCACAGAAAACACAATTCATATCTATATTTTACATGGTTTCAAAAGACGTTGAAAGAACTATGGAAATTTAGAACAAATATGAAAATTTTATTAGTAATACCACATGAGGTAAACGGCGTCCAACAATTACTATCTTATTATTTTTTAAAGTTATGAGATCTTGATTATACTTTAAAGTTGATAACAGTTTATTGTGGATTCATTTATTTTCGTGGGTACCAATTTTTGTGGATGGAGGAAAATTGTACTTTTGTAGATATTGGATTTTGTTGTTTTGCCAAAGTTTGCACAAATCAGCATTAAGAAAATTTGTACCGCGTTGAACATTTAAATTCATGGTTAACTTATACTCACGAATTCAAGAAAATTGATATCCCACAAATAATAATAAAAACACGGTAGACCTGTGTTTTTGACTAATTTAATGACTAAAGACTGACGAGACTGACATTTAAACTTTCAACTGACAGAAACCTTTTATCCCCTGATGCTGTAAAAATGTGACACATAAAAGATACACTAACAAATTGTTGGACTACATGTTAATTTACATATCCCAAGTCAAGAAACTTGTCAGTGAAATTTATTTTCTCTGTAGGATATTTTGGTGTGCTTCACAGATATTTGTCAAATGTACTTGCAGTGTTTCGGCTCAGGGGGATTTAGAGCTCTATATATTTGTTAGACATTTGTTTCCTGATGAAGACCACATGATGACCTCTAGATCACATGACTTCTAGGTTTCTTTGTGTCATTAGGTTGCTGTCTCATTAACAAAAAGCCCATGTTATTCAAATAGATTACTGTACTTACTGTGATATGTCTAAATGATGTAATGAGACTAGATGTGAAACACTCGAATGAACTTGATTCAGGTTGTTATGGCTGAGGTCAAGGTCATGTAAACAATTTCCTAAGAAAGGTGGGAAAGAATAGTTATCTTCCTCTACATGTCGATCTTCTTTCTTTTTGTTTAATACTGCTGAAATTCTTCTGCAAATACACAAAGTACAGATAAAGTCCGAAAACTGGAAAAACCCCCCTTTTTTAATTAATTAAACCCCATAACTTGTAAACTTAAAATCTGAAATTTATAAAAATTGAAAGGGAGCTTACGTCAATAGATATAAATTCACCAAAATTCAGGAAAACGGCTCAAAACATTTTTGAGTTATTGTCCGAAAACTGGAAAATCACCCCTTTTTGTAATGAATAAAACCCCATAACTCTAAAACGTAAAATCTAAAATTTATAATAATCGAAAGGGAGCTCATGTCAATATATATAAACAATGCACCAAAGTTTCTTGCAAATTGGTGAAAGTATTTTTAAGTTATTGTCCGAAAACTGGAAAATCCCCATTTTTGTAATGAATAAAACCCCAAAACTCGGAAACGTAAAATCTAAAATTTATGAAAAACGAAAGGGAGCTCACGTCAATAGATATAAACAATTCACCAAAGTTTCATTCAAATTGGTTAAAGTGTTTTTGAGTTAATGTCCGACATGTTGACGACGGACGGACGGACAGAGGTATACCATAACACGTCCCGTAAACGGGCGTATAAAAAGAACGGATTCTTTATCTATTTTATTTAGAGCCATGTTATATGTTCTTTTTAAATTTATGTCCTCTTAGCCTTATACGTTATATTAAAACTTTTATTCAGTGGTTATGACTTTCACTTTTCCGTATGTACTGTGATCTTAAAAGCTATTTTCCTACAAGCTAAATTGTTTTATAGAGTAATTTCTGTTATTTATACAAGAAATGGTCAGTATTATCAGCATGCTTACAAAACATGCATTAACTAACTTTTATTATAAATACCAAGAAATCTTCGTTTTATTTATGTTTGATATGATAATCAAATGGGTCATGCAAATTCAACAACATCAATTTAAAAATAACAAAAAAGCATACATTGTTGTGCTAAGCATACCCCCACTCCTAAAAGGAGAGTTCAGGGATAGTTTTTGTCTTAATGTGGAGACTGAACCAAGTTTTATCACATGACATTTTTCTATTCACACTCCTAGTTTTTAACACAGGCATATAAGCGAATTTAACGATTTAAATAGATCTCCATTTAAAAATAGTTGTAAGGTGACATCGCCCATATGAAGATGTTTTCATGCAGACAATGTTGTATTGATCCAATACAGCTTAGATTTCTGACGTTATCACTTGACATTTGTGGGTATAATGAAATCAGATAAGGTAAAACAGACCATCTCGGAACTAAAGTATTCAAATTATCAGAAAACAGGAAAAAGGTGTTTGACAGATCCAAAAAGCGCTCGCAAGTTACAACTCACAACAGTTCGACTGCTACCAAAATATGAAGTCATCCTGTTCAGAAGTAGTGTCTGATAAAAAGTATGACAGTGTTTGACGAAAAAAATTCTAAGTTCATTCAACATTTTGAAAAATTCAAAGTATCGGCAAACAGGATATAGGTGTGTAACAGATCCCAAAACTGTTCCCTCATCAATGTAAGCTGCTGACAACTATATGAAGTCATTCTTTTCAGTAGTACCTGAGAAAATGTGATGCAAATATTTGTTGGACAAACAGACAGAAGAACGAATGGCCGAACAAGGTGAATGCTAATAGCCCCCACTGTTTAAGAGGGGTATGATAATTACCAATCAAAGCTCTCCATTTAACAGCATACAACACCTGTTTAACTATGTCACAATTCAATCAAGTGAAAATAAAATTAAAAATATAACCATAGAAACAGAATCATGCTAATGAACACCAATACAAAAGTTGTTAAATATTTTCATTTTATTGATGTTATCATGTAAACCCAATATTAACCATAGCTTGTTTAATAATAAATTTATGGAACAAATATTTTTTGTACTAGACTCTCTTCAATTTTTAAACCTGGTAATTAGATTCAGATATATAGCAAAATATATTTCATTTGATGAAAAAGTGTAACAATTTAAGGAAATATGATTAAACTTTAATAAATTTAGCTTGGCTTATATACACCGTAATTGGAAAAATGTGATAAAAATAATCTACTGAAAAGAGTTTATATTGTGTAGTTTTATAAAGGAAAAAAATGGAGCCCAAACATGTGAAGTTAAACAGATAATGAATCAGTAAAAAGTCATGCATGTCTTTGTTATTGTTCTCAGGTCATTCTTTTCTAAAGATTGTATTAGCTGCAAACAGTTTATGCTTTTTATGCAGGTCAAGTTTACTAGCATAAAGTTACTTTTTCAATAAAATATCTCAAAATTTTCCTGTTAAAATTTCAATAATACCAAATTAGAATCTGAACAATGATTTTGTACTTTGAAGTCAAGTATTTATCATTCCCAAAAATGCTAAAATCAACATTGCCATAGCGATAAGCTTTTGCAAAGTTTAACACAATTGTCAAGCTAAATAAAATAAGTACTGTTGTACATAGGTAGTTTTTTAATCATGTATTATAATGATAAACAATGTATTCATGATTACACATTTGTGAAAATGTTTTCATTCATTTGAAGAAAAAGCCTTTTTTCATGAAGGAATTTCCTTCAAATCTGAAAGTCTCTTCAGTTAAATAGTTATAAGGTATTCCTTTGTATGCAGTACCAGTGTGTTGCAATGATGAGTAAGGACTAAAAGTCTCTTCAGTTAAATAGTTATAAGATATTCCTTTGTATGCAGTACCAGTTTGTTGCAATGATGAGCAAGAAGAATATAAATGGTTATTTTAAAAAAAAATCTAGATACGAATATATAGTCTCAGCTTTATAATCCACTTTAAAGAAACCTTAGGTAGTTTTTATTTTTCATGTAACCAAATATTGATTGAACATTAACACGTAAAAAGTGTTTTAGTGAACATATGTCTCCCAGTCAGTATGGAAACCTAAAATGTATTGCACTGCAAGAGTCTTGTCATGCTTATTGAGAATATATACGGTTTTGGTCACTAATATGTCCTAAAAAATCAAATATTTTACCCTGAGGTCAACATTCTAGGTCTGAGGTCAATGGATGCAGGACATTGTCTTTAGATAATGCAAACACACATGGTAAAACTAAAATGCTACTTCAATGGATAAAAAAGTAATGACATACAAGAAAATTTCCACAAAAGATGAATTATTTGACCCAAAGGTCGACGGTCAAGATCACATTATGCTATGGATCCTGTGGTAATACTACTTCATATTACATATCATGGGTCTATGTCAAGAGGTAAAATAGTTTTGGTCCAGACAAAAAAACCAAGAACCAGAAGAACCAGGAGAAAAACCAGATGAAGGAGAAGAAACAAAATAACTTTTTTAAAGAGGAGACATTACAAGTATTAAAAGCCAATTGCAACTGATTTTTACAGTTTTTTCTTATGTTGTGCTGTTAAAGTACTGTCCCAGGTTAAGGGGAGGGTTGAGCACTTACAAACATGTTTAACCCTGCCACATTCTGTATGTGCCTGTCCAAAGTCTGGATCTGGTAGTACAGTGGTTGTTGATGGTTCATGTCTGTCATATTTGTTTTACAATAATTTTTTTTGTTATAAATTAGGCTGTTAGTTTTCTGGTTTGAATTGTCTCATATTTTTCATGTCGGAGCCTTTTATAGCAGGCTATACAATATTGGGTTTTATTGAAGCCCACACATTGACCTATAATTGCTTACTACTACTTCATTTTAACTCTGGTGGATAGTTGTCTCATTGGCGATTATACCACATCTCCTCATTTTTATTTTAAACATTTAAAATCTTCATACAATAACTGCAAAATATATCATACCTTATTGTAATTTTTAAAGTCAAATTCAAACTTTTAGAAATACAGGGATATCATACAACATTCAAACAAAATGATAGAAATCATTAAAAAAACACTAAATGAAGTACCATTCATTATCACTGAAACAAATGTTCTTTATGTAACCACTAAGTGGATGGTTTCTATGGTTACTGATAAACTGATATTATGATTATTTAACAACAGTGCATAAATGTAAAGCTTGACAACTATGTGTAAAACAGATGCATTTTTATTAAGCACATAATAACATTGTTTTGACCTGAGAACTTTTATTCTGGTCTTAGATAATTAAGATAGAACTGTGTGACTTACTCATTAAACAGAAAGTGTTTCAAACTGAAAAATAACATACTTACTCATAAAACATACTAGAAAACAAATACTTTTTAGAATACTAAGCTTCTATGAGAAAGATGGACTGAATAAAATCCCATATCCAAAAAGGCATGCATTTTTTGTGAAATCATTTTATAATGAACGCAATGCCTTGTTTTACTACCAGCATTGGCTATCTAAATTAAGATCTTGTAAATGAATATGATAAATGGTCCCACTAATCATAGCAGTTGAATTTGACTGAAGACAAAATGAAACAAACATGAATGGTCTATAACTAGTATAAGTGAGGTCCAAAAAAAATATGGACTTAATAACAAGGTCCAGTGTAATTTGCTAATATAAGCAACTCAAATAAATAAATTTTATGGGCAAAAATAATATATTACAGAAACAACTCTTTTATTGCTATTCCTCATCTATAGTTGAGTAAAGGTTGCATTTTACCAATTTTCAGGTATTACTTCTAAATAACACTAAAACTTCAAAACACCATGGAACAGTTATTACCTATTAGTAGGTTTTGGTCCCAAACAATTATGTGATAATTCCATTAAATAAAGTTGTGAGCACTCCCAATGATCTGGATCAGGAAGTCTAGATATCTTATTGTAGTTAGCATACAGCTCAACTAAACAACCTGTAAAACAAGATAAAAAATATCTGACTTACACAACACACTTATAAACTCATAACTGCTTTCTCTTAAGATCATTTGTTCTCTTTTGTCTACTAATTATCTACTCAAGAAGTACCATTTGTGAGTTTTTTTATCTAAATATTGAAGAGACCTTTAAATTGTTCAAGTGACAGTCTGGTTTAGTTTGACATTGAATTTCAAATATATGTTAAGCCACAAGATTCAGCTAAGATCTGTGCCACCCTTGATGCTTAATTTGGTTATCAGAATTTAAAATGGAAAAAATAGTATACCACGATTTTAACTGAATTTGCACTAAAGTTTATATAAATCTCACTCCACTGGGTAGCAAATACAAATGGCATCTATTGTTTGAATTTTACATACCCATAACCTTTCCAAAGCATCCCTCTTTTTTTGTCGGGTTTGTGTTACTAAATTTAGTTTTCTGTATTGTGTATTGTCGACCTTTGTTTGTTTTTCATCTTTTTAATCTTGACCGTGATACTTCCTTTCTGGGATTAAAAACATTAATTTGAATAAACCAAATTCATTGCCCTCTAACATTCTTTTAATGGGGAGAGATACTCGATTACTTTTTTTTATAAGTTTCAGATTCTGTAACAATATCATTACAATTTGTTTCCTTCTCCTTTAAATATAATTGGCATTACCTAATTTGACAACACTTTCGTTGATTTCCTCCAGTTTGTTATTATTCAACCGTAACGTTCTCAATGTGCCACACCAATACTGTTCCAAACTGACAGGACATCTATCTAACTCATTATGGGAAAGATTTAACATAGCCTGTAAATCAATTGTAATACACTTTACTGTCGATTCATTTATTTTTCATGGGTACCAATTTTCAAGGGTTAAGGAAAAATAGGGGTTTTTTTGTGGATATTTGATTTCATGGTTTTACTAATGTCTGCATTGAAAATTTGTACTCCATTGAACATTTGAATTTGTGGTTCATATATACCCACGTAATCCATGAAAATTGGTATCCAACAAATAATAATGAATCCACAGCAATTTATAATAATTTTAGTTTATAAGTAGTTATGTATAAAACTTACAATTTCTTTATTCATAGTCTAAATATCTTCCATTTTGTTAACTTCAACAATTTTTTTTACCCTTAGAATAATATGAAACATAATTCAACTGTCTGAATTGTAAGCCAATAAGATAATAAAGATCAGGTGTGTGGGCTACATTTTTTTTGTGTGCGTATTTCTTCATGAGGCCAATCAAGAAGATACATCCAAGTTTTATACTGGCGCCAAGTAAAGATGTGACTTACCATATTACAGTCCCAAGCATTAGGAAAGGATACCAGTCTATTGTGACTAACATCTAGAGTAGATAATCCAGAACATTTTCTGATATATTCGTGTGGTAACATTTCTAGCTTGTTTTGGGATACATTCAAGTAGTGCAAATTTGGACACTGAACAAAACTTGAACTATCTAAAATGAAAAATAAAATAAAATGCTCCGCAGGGCGCAGCTTGATACGACCGCAGAGGTCGAACCCTGAACAGTTGGGGCAAGTATGGACACAACATTCAAGCTTGATACAGCTTTGCATTTGGATTGTGATTGAATATTTGACACAGCATAGGTTTCTGACACAGAATGAATGTGGTCTAAGAACTTAAAAATTTTAAATTGGACATTCACCTATTATGGTCCAATATCCAAAATCTAAATACATGGTTAGTTCAGCATATCAAAGAACCCCAAGAATTCAATTTTTGATGAAATCAAACAAAGTTTAATTTTGGACCCTTTTGACCTCAATGTGGACAAAGTTGATAACGTGGCCCAAAAATCAAAAATCTAAATACATGGTTAGATTCAACATATCAAAGAACCCCATATATTCAATTTTTGTTGAAATCAAACAAAGTTTAATTTTGGACCCCGATTTGGACCAACTTGAAAACTGGGCCCATAATCAAAAATCTAAATACATGTTTAGATTCAGCATATCAAAGAACCCTAAGAATTCAATTTTTGTTAAAATCAAACTAAGTTTAATTTTGGACCCTTTGGACCTTAATGTAGACCAATTTGAAAACAGAACCAAAAATTAAGAATCTAAATACATGGTTAGATTCGGCATATCAAAGAACCCCAATAATTCAATTTTTGATGAAATCAAACCAAGTTTAATTTTGGACCCTTTGGACCTCAATGTGGACCAATTTAAAAACGGGGCCCAAAATCCAAAAACTAAATACACGGTTAGATTCAGCATATTAAAGAAACCCAAGAATTCAAGAATAAAACCCCATTGAAATTGGTCAAGAAATAAGCAATTTATACGAAGTATCTTCTTTTGCACAATACTGTGCAATTAAATATTTCTTGCTATTGCGCAATACTGTACAATTGACAATTTCTTGCTATTGCCCAATATTGTGCTATTGGATATTTCTTGCTATTGCGCAATACTGTGCAATTGAAGATTTCTTGCTATTGCGCAATACTGTGCAATTGAAGATTTCTTGCTATTGTGCACTACTGCGCAATTGAAAATTTCTTGCTATTGCACAATACTTATTATATAATAATTTACACATCCTGTTTGGTGTGTATCTCCTACCATATCATTATTATTTGCTTTTAAATATAAATCAGAAATAACCAACTTAAAATGGAAAATTTTAAAAGAAAAAAAAAGGAAAAAAAAAAAAATCCCCCCCCCCAAATTTTTTGAACCCCCTTATGATTCATCACCCCCAAACTCAATCCCAGCCTTCCCTTTGTGGTATGGTACCTTGCAGTACAATTTCAGAGAGATCCATACACTTGAACACAAGTTATTGTCTGGAAACTAGAAAAATGCTTATTTTTGGCCCCTTTTTGGTCCCCAATTCCTAAACGTTTAAGGCAATTACCCCCAAACTCAATTCCAGCTTTCCCTTTGTGATATGGAACCTTGTAGTACAATTTCAGAAAGATCCATACACTTACACACAAGTTATTGTTATGAAACTAGAAAAATGCTTGTTTTTTGCCCCTTTTTTGGCCCCTAATTCCTAAAATTTTGAGGCAATTACCCCCAAAATCAATCCCAGCATTCCTTTTGTGATATGGAACCTTGTGGTACAATGTCAGAGAGATCCATACACTAACACACAAGTTATGTCTGGAAGTTACAAAAATGCTTATTTTTGGCCCCTTTTTGGCCCCTAATTCCTTTACTGTTGGTACCATAACCCCCAAAATCAATCCCAACCTTCCTTTTGTGGTATTGAACCTTGTGGTAAAATTTCATAGAGATCCATTCACTTAAACTAAAGTTAGAGTGCGAAAACCAATGTGTCTTCGGACGACGCCGGACGACGCCAACGTCATACCAATATACGACCACAAAAATTTTTTTGCGGTCGTATAAAAATTGCTAAGTCTCACATTTGTATGAAAAGCAAATATATAATTATATTCTGTAAGTATAATTATTAGCCCATGTATACATGACAATTTCAAGGTCTCCTTCTTTTTTTTTTTGTTCTGGAATCTCCTCATCCATGGTCATTTTCAGTGTGAGCAAAAAAAAATCTCACACCACTGTGAATTTATTTATTTTCGTGGGTACCATTTTTGTAGATTGAAGAAAAAAATTGTATTTTTGTGGAACATTGAATTCATGGATTTGCCAAAGTTTCCATACAAGCATACAGGAAGTTCATACTTCGTTAAACATTAAAATTTGTGGTAGTCTCAAGTTCTCAACCAACGAAATCCACGAAAATTGGTATCCAATGAATAAAAATGAATCAATAGAATTAGATATTTCAATTTATAAATAGCGACATCCCTTTCTTATAATTAACTCTACTGGTGGAGCATATCTATTAGATACTATTGATGGACCATATCTATTAGATATTATTGATAGAGCATATTTATTAGATATTATTGGTGGAGCATATTTATTAGATATTTTAACTTATCACTAGACATCCCTTACCTGTGGTCTGTGAAGTAACAACTGGATACTGTGAATGAAGTGTCTTTAGTAGATATTTCAGATTATTATTAGAAAGATTTAAAGTGACTAGAGATTGTAACTGAAATACTTCGTGGCAAATGTCTTCTAACTTGTTATCTCCCAGCTGGATTTCCGATAAACTGAAAATATAATAAGATAAGTATATGGAATATGCTGTTTCACCACTATTCCAGGTACGGGGAGGGTTGGGCACCCGCAAACATGTTCATATTTGTTTTTCGTTTATCATTTTGTACATTAGTCAGTTTTCTTGTTAATACATTTGTCATTTCAGGGCCATTTATAGCTTGCTATGCGGTATGGGTTTTGCTAATTCTTGAAAACCGTACAGTGACCTATATCTGCTTACTTCTATCTCATTTGGTGTCTGATGGAGAGTTGTCTCATTGGCAATCATACCACATCTTCTTATTTTTATATTGCCTTCAGGTGATACCAAACACCTTGACTAAAATTAATTTGGCTCGTTTAATTTTCATAAAATTTTGACAAAATATTTACTTTGACCCTTAGACAAAAATATAAGAATTTCAAAAAAATTGAACCACATACTTTATCGGAAAAAATTCATTGGATATATAGCAGTTTGACAAACACTAATTTTGATCATTGAGAAGCTTAATATTTCCTTAACAATAGAACGTGATTAAAACGTTCAGCTGATTTTTACAGAGTTATCTCCCTGTAGTGTTATGTACCACCCTAAGAACTAAGCTCATTGTCTTTTTCAACCAGGAGAAAATTCACAATGACTGAGCTCACATTACTCTGTTGGAAGTTTTTGGGGCAGTTAACCTAGGCTCAGGTTGTTCTTAGCCAACAAACTGGCACAGACTAGTCCAGAATTATTGTTTTCTTCATAATTTTTAAACATTAAAAATAGCTATCTTCATCGACCATAATGGCCTTATTGGTGCTACTGAAACAAAGTACAGTTGTTTACTTTACTTAACTATATCCAAAACAGGTTGTAAACAATTGTGATTATAGATCATTGATGGTTTTTCAAACCTGAAGGTGTTTCTCAGCTACAATTGTCTCCCTGAGATGAGATGTGGCCGAGAAACATCCTCAAGTTTGAAAGACCATTGATAATCTGTTTATCCCTATTGCCTACGACTTGGTTGATGTTTACATTGACAACGGCACATGCACCCTTAGTTTCTAGCTATAATTTTCTATCTCAAGCGAGTAAAATGATATGAAAAATTATCACAGAAAAAGATCAAAGGAAAAATACACCAAATAGCGATAAATTCAGTTCTCATACAACATGTACAGGTAACAACTGACTGGGAAAAAAATTGTGTCAATAAATTAGACCAGATGTAAACTTTGAAATGACAATAGTAATGTCAAGAGGGTTAAAGTTATTTTTTTTTTAATTCAAGTGGATAAATTTCCTCTTCAAATGAGGAACTGATATATGTAGGAGTTACAAAAAACAACATGCAACATATTTTGGCATTGCACAAGGTCATACTTTTCCCAGACTGCTTATGGCTTCTTTCACCTAAATTCAATAGAGGTGTACTGACTGATTTTGAAGCCTTTGAAAACATGGGCTATCCATTGGTTGAAAATTGGCCTTTAACCAGCTTTCAGTAACTGGGAATGCCCTTAGATCACTACTTTGTTAGTCTATTTTTCATATTTAGTATATATGAAAATAATGAGTAATACCCTTTTCAACTGATTTTAGGAGTTTGTTTTATATTACTCTTACACCACTGTCTCAGGTTAGGGAGAGGGTTGAACCATTCAGTGACTGGAAGAATGTTTAACCACACTACATTCTTTAATTGTATGCCTTTACCAAGCCAGAAGCTGGTAATCCAGTAGTTATTGCTGGTTTCTGTCAGCCTAATTGTTTTTTGTTAAATGTTATTAGATTTTTTATAAAACCTTTGGTTTTCCCTTTGAAATATTGCTAAAATATTTTACCTAATTGCAGTTGAAATTTCCCCTACAAACTCATCAACTGGTTAAACATTTTAGCTCATTGCTTCAGTGAAAGGTTAACAGAATACTAAAACTAAATATTTTTTTTTTGTTCTTTAAAACTTTTTACAAATATGTTGGGGAAATGAAGGCATGAGAGCAAATACAATGCAGTTTCCAATATAATTAATATTTCCAAGGGGCATAACTCATTCAAAAATATTTTATCGGCACTGATTTTCTGACTTGTCCAAAACATTGCTGATATAAAACTTTGATATAAGTTTCATAAAAATCTGACAAGAATTGTACACATGAGAGTGCAAACAATGAAATTTTCCATATTATTAATATTTTCAAGAGGCATAACTCTTAAAAATAATTGATTCGCACTGATTTTCGAACTTGTCCAATACATTGCTGATATAAACCTATGATATAAGTTTCTTAAAAATCTGACAAGAATTGTACACATGCCAGTGCTAACAATGAAATTTTCCATATAATAAGTATTTCCAAGAGGCATATCTCTTTTATCTTAGCAAAAATTGTACAAGTGAGAGGGCTAACAAGAACCGACAGACAGATGCAGGGACAGACCGACGCCTGTTATTTCTATGTTCCTGCGGGGGACAATATCCTTTCACTTATGTCAGGGGCTAACCAGTTGATCAATTTGGAGAGGTGTCCATTCAAACTAAAATTTGGTAAAAACATTTAAAAAATATGTATGGTGATAGGACAAAGCCTTTTCAAAATATGCACAATAACATAGCTTAAAATAAAGTTACAAGTGACCAACTTTTTGTTGAAGGCTGCTATAGTCCACAAAACGCATACTAAGTTATTAACACCAAATCATAAGAATACTGTCACCATTGCTTACCCTGAATTAGTATGACTTGTACTTATATTCTACAACTTTCATTGTAGGCAGGACAATAAACAATACTGTGGATTCATTATTAGTCGTTGGATACCAATTTTCGTGGGATTTCGTGCGTACAGGTGAACCTCAAATTAAAAAGTTCAACAAAGTACAAATTTTCCATTGTCTTGCAGACGGGCAAAACCACGAAATTATATATCCATGAAAATGTAAGTTTTCCTCAATCCACGAAAATTGGTACCCACGAAAATATTTGAATCCACAGATACTTTGATAATCTATATTCAACATCCTTTGGAAAGTCAATTCTTGGTGGCAGATGATGAAACTGTGTATATATTGTTATCTAAAATGACATAAGCCTTTCTACTGAAACTATCAAGATTGTGCTGCAGATGAATATTTATGTTGAGTATATCTCAAAGAAGCAGCAATCGAACAACAGGAAACAAGACCAACAGATGAAGCCCTTTCATTACTTGCCAGTAAAAAGCTAAGTTTGGTCAAATGTACCTTCTTTACTTTAAATCTTATGTATGTCTATAAACTTCTTAATATACCTACCTATCACACAGTATCTGACCCTCAGGTGAAGATAATTTGACTAGTTTGTTACGGGCAAGATTCAAATGAACTAAGTTAGGCAAGCACCATGGTATTTCTGGAGGCAATGTTGACAAGTTGTTCTCATTAAGGTCCAGCTCAACAATTGTATTATGTACCCCAGCCACCCAATCATAATTAAAACCACCTAGACTTAGATGTCTATACTTGGCTACGTGCTGAAACATATAAAAAGAGGATTATAAACATGTGAACATTTGTCTCTGGAAAGTGTTTCATACATCAAAAAAATGTTACACAGAATAAAAAGAAACTTAACTTCCTGTTTTGCAAGGACGTTCAATGCATTTAGCTTACATATCATGTAAACTAGACAAGGAGGATAAAATTGTTACACAGGTACTTATAAAAACATGTCTGTTCATTTTGATAATTTAAATGCTTCTGTAATTTGTTATTAAGGATCACACAGAATACTTTCTAGCAATGTGGGACTGTTTTCAATTACAAGACTTAAAATCTTAATCTTAACCTCCAAGTCCTGTAAATTTGTTTATTTTTGTGCAGTTGAAATTTAACAATTTTAAGTTTTATTCATACTGTTTTTCTTGTTTCAGATTCTGGTCAGCTTAAAAGAACAAATTTATTCAAAGGAACATTTTTTAATTTAATCTGCCTCTCTAAATGAGTAAAAATAAAAGCAATGTAGACATTTCTACATTCATAATATGTACTTTGGTGATTGTTTTTCTCCGTTGATCTTTGTTTTCCATACTCAATAATTATATAATTTGTCCATCAGTCTGGTGAATGGTGACAATTTCATTTACTATAATTTAGAAGCGATATAATTTTTGTAAAAAGAGTATTTTGATGGTCAATTTCAGAGAATAACATACCAGATTTTTAAGAAAAGACAAATTACCATCAAGAATGGAAATGTCATATGCAAGGTATATCAATGGAAAATTTGGAAATTAGTATTCTCCATTACTATATGATGATAACTTATGTTATGATTTTCAAATTATCAATTATAGTTTGTTTTTAATTTCCAAATGGCACATTTCCTCTTTCAAGAATCAACACCTTGCAACTCTTTAACTTTCATACTTCTCTTGATTTAAATAAAGAAAAACAATAAATTATGCTTCAATACTAAAGCTCTCAAGAAAGAACCCCAGTAAACATGGCTTTTTAAACAGTTCATGAGTTATTCCCCTTGCCTATAAAAATAATCATGCATTTCTTCTTTTGAATAATGACCAGATTGCATGAGGTTTCTCAATTTTCAAGCTTTGTATACATACAGGAATATGAGGGTCACATTTAAATCTTATATTTTCTTAGGAGTGATTTTTTATAAATCATTTTTCCTGAGAGGAAAGAATAAAAAATAATTTCTCCAATATATCCCTCCTAGGAACAGTATATCTAACGGGAAAAGAATCTGATAGGCTTTTCAGTTTAAAATTGATAAAATCTTGAACTTTACGAGACTTCGTGAAAGGAGTAGGTCCACTAAGACCCCTTTTTGGCCCCAAAATATAGCAGTTTTACAAAATTGTTAAAATGTTAACTTTAGCTATTTATTGGAAAGAAGAATACTTCTGTTACATAAATATGGGATGTTTTTGACAATACAATGCACATGTATCGGGTACTAGCATCGTTAAGTCATGCTAAATAACTGAAATCTTCACAATTTGAGCATTTGAGCGAATTTTTAGACGGTTTCCGTCTTAAATGGTAGTGGCCGCATTTGTGTTCATTCTTAATATTTAAATGTAAGTTGCATTTGATGATAATACATAACATATATAAAGATTGAGGATGAACACGGATGCGGCCACTTTCATTTTTGACAAAAACCATCTTAAAAGGGACATATTATGGCATATTTGGTAGATTTTTAATATTTAAGCTTGAATTTGAGCGTCTTTCATGACTAAATCAGTCCAAATCTTTCACATAAACTAATTGAATCTAATAAAGTAAACACTTAAGTGTTTAAAAAGTGTCCAAAATCTTTCATCAGATAAACTTGAAGTTTGAGGCCAAAATCGGCCCTTACCGGACCTACTCCTTTATGGATTTTGGTAGTGTCTGTCTGAAAAACTATCGGAACTGCTCAATAAATTAACCACATAATTCCTAACTTTCAACAAATACAATGAATTGATAAGTTTTATCATAAAGTAGATATATTTTGTCATATAAAATGACCAATATAAGTGTGATTTATTTGATGTGAAGTGTTTTATAACGGTTTGTGAAATTCAATGTTACTGGGAATGCCATCAGCGCCATTTTTTTATTACCCCGTTTGCATTCTGTACCCTTCTGTGATGAAATGAAATGTGACTATGACAAATTTGAAGTGACAGATTACAGGTTCGATACACTGGCACCACTTATTACTTAGTTTGAATGACATTTTATTGATATTATTAGAAATTATTAAGATAATATCGAGTACGTATTTTACACAGGTCCGTTTCCGTATCGTGTCATTTATTAACTATGACCTGACAATAAAATAGGCTATAACTAGGTAGTGTCAAGTCCCGTCAATATATATGTTCCTAATCCCTCCTTTTCTGATCCATAATAACAGTTGTGAAAAAATGTTTTCCGCATAGACTAATGACATGATTTCATTTTAAATAGGTACTTTCAATTTGAAATTTGAATATTAATGATATTCATGCTGATTATATTTCCCACTTAAACATCCCTTATACATTTAAAAACTGCATATCATTTTACGCATTTATCAGATTTCCAATAACCAAGTTTTTACTTTTTTTATCACAAATTACATAATATAAAGATAAAAAGTTAAGTACATAGTACATGTATTTTGACATTGACCTTGTTGACACGAATAAAATAATCTACATTTTATCAAAAAGGAAGTCTTGTGATCAAAATATGAAAATTAAATTTTACAACATTTTCTTTTACTTGCAAATATGGGTGTGTGTAGACAATAAGTTTTTTCTCATAATATTATAAAAATTGAAAAAATATTTCCCAAAAAAATTTGAACAGAATTAGCTTTACTTTAAATAAAATCATACACAATGTAGAATTAACTACTTTCAAGAAATCAAGCCCAGGCGCGGATCCAGAGCTCAACGCGGGGGGGTTTGAGAAGCATTTTTGAACATTATAGAAGTTTTCTTAATTGTTATACAAAACCTTATGTTTTTTTCAATAATTGGCACACTTTTTGTTCATCCGTCATATGGTTACTCAAAATTGAATTTTTAGATTTGTTTAATTATTTAATTTCCAGATAAAAATACTTCAATAAACATGAAAATTGAAAATTGGCAAACATTGAATGTACAAAGTTATCCTAAAAGGTCTATTGTTGATAATTTCATCCTGATGTTATGGGCTCTAGCATACTGATCGATCACTGCACTTTTGACAATTCCGTGCTGATATGAATATGCATTAAAGCAAGGCCATTGAGTCTCTCGCTTGTCATGGTTGATCGCAAATAGGTCTTTAAGAGTTTGAAAGAGCTGAAAGTCTTGTAATTCTCTTAATAAGGCTGTTTGGTGGTATTCTGTGTTTCCGTGAAATTTACATTCACCATTTACCTTTACCGAATTCTGAAAATGTCCGAGGTTGTGGTCAGCAGCGGACAAAACGCAAAATTTGCAGTAAATTACGTCGGTGAAGTTAAATAGACAATCCATGGGTAATAGTGCAGCCACGCATATTTGAAGCATCTTTTAAACCCGTACATTTCTCGTTTAGGAAAAGGAAAAAAACTATGATAAGTGGTTGCCAGTTTTCAATTAGAATGCTATACATATCAGCACTAGGTACAGATGTGGAAATAAAGTTTGCAATATCCTTAGATTCAGCAGGTGTCGCAGCAGTTGCAGAATTTAAAAAAAATAATAAAAAAAAACTTATGGATATTATAGAGTGAGAATGTATTTTTCTTCAAATCAAGCTATCAGAAAACTTCGTTTTAATTATTAAACCAACAAAGTAATAAAATATAGGATAGCAGCCTTGGATGGTCTAAATTAAATCCTTTGATCCTCAAATTATTTTCTCCAAGGCCGATGTAATTATGACATGTGTGTATTTAACGGAGTGTAGCGACAACGTGTCACCCAATTAAGTGCTCACTGAATATACAATTTTTAATAAAGATAACATTAAAAAAAAGAAATGATTAAGTGACTGTATGCTTTTTGCTCACAAAAAAAATTTCTAGATTTTCAAGCAGGGGGGTTTCCCGAACCCCCCCCCCCAAACCCCCCTAAATCCGCTAGTGAAGCCCATCCTAGTTCAATGTGTATTTCTTAAACAAATTGAACAAGCATTTAATTGACTATATATATAAATTATGGTGTTAGCCCTGTATAACCACAGGTTATCTGATGGAGAACGTTTGTCGTAAAGTTGTCACATATTTAGACATATACATATGTAAGAAAATCACATGTCTGCATTAATTTAAACCTCTTTGAACTCATTAAAATTTTTAATTGGCATTTCACAGCATTTAAGAAAAATAAAGAAAACCACAGTTTGCTTTCAAAAATATTCACCCCTTCTGGTACCTTGTAAATATTCATCTAGTATTTCATTTAACATTAGACAATAAACTTACATGGAAACAGATTCAAAAAAAAATTTCTACTTTCAGTTTCATAAATGAGACAATAGTTAGTGAGGTCACTTCAAGTTAAAGAATAAATAATTTTAAAAAGAGTAATGTCTATCTATACCTTAAATTTCATCCTTTTATATAGAACAATTAGTTTTCTATTCAAAATAGTGTATGAGTAACATTTATCACATTTTATTTAGTCCTTGTATTTCTGGATGTATTTCTGCTTCTTGCTAGCTTACTCATAAACATTGTCTCGCCTTGCATTTTGTCTCAGACTCCCAATTTAATCTGAAGATAATGATCTGTATCTGACAAATACATGGAGGTATTAGTCAGATTTAAATTTAAAACTCCACATCTATTTCTTTCAAATACAATTTTTTGGCAGGTTACATACAATGTGGTAGGAACTTCTGGTACTCCCTTAAGTAAGAGCAGCTAAAAGTAGTAAAATCAAGCTTACAATCTGTGCAATTTTGGAAAAAATTAACTGTTTTATGTTTTCAATACACAACAAAATCATTGGAAAACAGCTTTCCCCCCCCAAATTGCACCGATTGGAAGTTGATTTTACTCCTTTTAGTCGCTCTTAATTGACGAAGTACCAGAATGTCCTACCACAGAGTAGGTAATCTGTAGAAAAATTATATACTCCAGCGTCAAAAGTCGGTAATATGAAAATGGTCTATTATAATGACATCATCATACCCCTGCCTCCTGATCCTCATCACAGAAGTCTTCGTCCCTGAAACTGATACAAGACTCCAGAATTCTGCCAGCTATCTCTGGGAATTCTCTACAAATTTTGTCTGTCAGGTTTGCTCCCATGTCATATAAAAATTTAGCCACATCATAATGACCACCTAAAAATAAATACAACATAAACTTAGTCACCAAATAATGACCACAAAAACTTAAAGGTACATTACAAGCTTTATCAGGATTAAAACAATAAACTGTTGACACAGAGATATGCCTCGCCTGTCTGCATAAAATTCAGAAAAAGACAATCTGATGGACAGCAACATTGCTTATTAATTCAGTCGCTGGACCATGAACTAGTGGGCAGGGCCTGAAAATGGGCGACAAACTGAGATGTTAAGACAGTAATATAACTTTATAGAAAATATCCTTGTCTATTGTAAGGAGTTCCTATCAATCTAACTTAAGCAGAAAACTTAACATTGAAAATTGCTAATAAATTCAAAGTCACTGGACCATGTCCTAGGGAGCAGGGCCTCAAACTAGTTGTCAAAATGATGTGTACTGATAGTAATGCAACTTTACATAAAATATAATTGATCTATCACAAGTAGTTCTTATCAAACTAACTTAAGCAATAAACTTAACATTGAAAATTGCTAATTTATCTAAAGTCACTGGACCATGTCCTAGGGGGCAGGGCCTCAAAACAGACGTCAAACTAATATATACTGATAGTAATGTGACTTCATACAAAATATCATTGATCTATCACAAGTAGATCCTATCAAACTAACTTAAGCAGAAAACTTTATATTGAAAATTGCTAATTAATTCAAAGTCACTGGACCATGACCTAGGGGGCAGGGCCTCAAAATAGTCATCAAACTAATGTATACTGATAGTAATGAGACTTCATACAAAATATCATTGATCTATCACAAGTAGATCCTATCAAACTAACTTAAGCAGAAAACTTAACATTGAAAATTGCTAATTCAGTCACTGTCCTAAGGGGCAGGGCCTCAAAATAGTTGTCAAATTGATAATGTACTGATAGTTATGCAACTTTCTATTAAATATCAATGATCTATCACAAGTATTTCCTATCAAACTAACTTAAGCAGAAAACTTAACAATTGTTGACGCCAGGCGAGACAAAAAGTACATTATAAAGTTTGTGATGCACATACATACTAATGGACAGGACAAAAACAATATGTGTTAAAACATATGTGGCGTTCAATTTCTTTATGGAAACCTCTTTGTTTTGAAAATACACTTTGAAAACTCTTAAAATGATAATAAACTATTGAAAAAAATTTAATTTTCTACTTGATTACTAACACAATTGATTGTTTTTTTTTTTGGCAAACAATTGAATTCATTATCATACAAATTATTTTCTATGACATAAGATAGGAAACACTTTAATGGGTGTGTACCTAAATAGTCTATAACAGTAAATAGTTAAAGGATGTACAGTCACCTTAATAGTTGTTAAACTTCTACGTCAGTTAGTCTTTGGTCGAGACTTGTCTCATTGACAATCATACCGGAAATCATGCTGTGGCCTTTTATAGCCGACCATACGGTATGGGATTTTCTTATTGTTGAAGGCTGTACAGTTGCCTATAATTGCTTACATCCATTTCATTTGAACTTTGTTGGATAGTTGTCTCATTGGCAATCATACCACATCTCCTTTTTTTTATTTACCACATCCTCTTATTTCTTATATCTTACAGAAAACAAAAAGACAAACCTGAACAAGCAGCATACAGGGGTGTACCATTTTCACAATCTTCTAATGAACTGACAAACAGCTTTGGATGGTTGATATCCATGGAAGGACTGAGCCACATTTTTACAATCTCAAGATTACCTCCCCTACAAGCCGCAAACAGCAGGCAACTCCTTACACCATCATCTTTTACCATTTCTGAAAGTTAGAATAAAACATTCGCATTGATATAAATTTTTACTTGCTTCCCTATATCAAGCATAATTTCAGTAAATTATTATTTTTAGGAAATTTTCAGTTGCTAAATAAAACTCCATCAAGTATTGAGTTTCATCATAGACTGTCTTTTTAAAAATCATTCCATTCATTTTTAATTTCAAAATACAATGTATTAGCTCTACAATTTCTATTCACATCATCATTGCATCTGAAAAAAATGACATACCAGACACTACAAAGTTTGTGCCATCTGTTCTATTTAAGGTAGCAACTATTTAATTGGTCCCCTTTCCAGGAAGTTTTACAGTTAAAAGACATAAATCTATAGAAATTCAAATTTCTGTCGATCTGAAACTGTTACTTTGGAGTATGGTCATTGGTTGGTTTACTTTACCCATTTAGCATGGCATCAAAATCCACACTACGGTAGCTACCAATTGATTTTTATGGGGGGGGGGGGGGGGGGGCTAGGATGAAAAATGTTGTCCTGCCTTTTTTTTTTTTAGTTGTAATCTCTGTCCTGCCTTTCTATTTTTCACTCTATTCGGTCCTGCCTTTTTTTAATTAGTTTATCCTGACTTTTTTTACATGAATTGTCATCCTGCCTTTTTTTTTTGCCAAGTTGCTCATCCTGCCTTTTATTTTACTCAAAACTCCTGTCCTGCCTTTTTTTCAAATTTCATCCTAGCCCCCCCCCCATAAAAATCAAATGGTAGCTTCCTAATTAAGGACCAATTACCACCAATGAGAAGTTATCGTCATGAGGTGTGCTATGCAGCAGCAGACATGTTGCATAAATGAGGTATTCAAGCTGTTTTCTTCAGAAATATTTTTATTCGTAAACACTTGTGTTTTGTTTAATTCTATCAAGACAGGTAAATAATTACCTTAGCTTTCTGTTTTTTAAAAGCTTCTATGCATGATTCCCGTGCAGGGATAGAATTCATTAGTCATTACTACTCCTAGGGTGGTTTTTAAGGACCTTAACTACCCATGAGGTTCTCGCACCGCCAGTTAGTCATCAATGTATATAACAATCAAAGTAGGAACAGCTTGCTTTAGATTATGAATTACAATGTACTTTCATTCGAAATTTTAAAACAAGTGTAACAAACCCTTGGCTGGGATTGGCTTCACTGTTGGTCCTTTTTAGTTTTATCTGACAGCTCTTTAACAATTATTTTTAGGTTTAGCACATTCAAATATTTTGGCTTCAAGCATCACTGAAGAGACATTAGTGGTCGAAATGAACATCTGGTGCATTAAAATTGGTACCTTTACTGTTATTATTATTTTCAAAATAAAATATTTGCTCCTTTCCAATATATTATATAGTTTTGATTTCAAGTGACATAAATTCTTGATAATTTCAGATTTACAGAAGGAATAAGAGCCTCTGTATTTACAGGCAGAATGTCAATGTGTTGAGTTCATTTGAAATTTCTTCTCTTTTTGCTACACAACAGGAAAATGACAATAATGGTCAGATTCATTGGAAGTTTTTCACATTTGGTGAAAAAATTCAAAAGTGTTGGTCACTGGTCCTTGTACCCATAAAATAACACACAAAAATCAAACTAGTGACAGACCTTTTTTTCCTTCAAACATAGAGCATTAAGAGTCTGAGTCTAATTGGTGCTCGAAAAATTTGTGGTAACTCTAACATATGTTACAAGATGTTTTTAAATGGAGTCGGTTAAAAGATATTTTAGAAATTTGTGAGTTTCTGAGGAAAACTTATACTAGGTCAGATAAAACAGAGTAAAGAATGTATATCAGGAATTTTAGAATGTGTTATATATGTTATATGTCTTTTACAGCAAACTGTAAAGGCAAGAAATAGGTAATTAATAAAAGTAGGCAAAGAACTTTTGAAATTTAGTTTCATGCAAAACAAATGTTACCCCTGTTGTTTGTAATGAAATTATTAAAAAGTTCGTAAATAGTAAATATCTCTGTTCAATTATTTTTTTTAAATTATTTTCGCAGACAGAAAATAAATTATATCTACGTACAGCAATCATATTTCATTTTAACTTGAGGAACTTTCTTGCCATTGTAACATGAACTGAAGAAAGCAAAGTTTAATGCATGATTTGTAATGAAACAACTATTACATTGTACTTTTAAATCACTAACTAACAATATTTGAAGCTTATCTAAAAGTTTAGAAAAACTCAGTGTGTTGTTATATATTCTAATGTAATTGCAAGCTGACAGTGCAAGATTAAAATATATGTACAATAGAGTTCCCAAGCTTGTAGTTAAATATTATTTGAGTCAGATCACACATCTGCATTATAAAATCAAAAGTAACTAGTAAGTATGAGTGAATAACATATATTGGTATCCTTATATAAAAAGAAGTCCACAGTTTATTTACACTGAAAATACTGAATTTACCCTTTTTTATAATGTTGATTTTAAAAATCATAACTTCAAAACTATTTTTGACCCTACAATAACATTTAAAAAAAAATCTTAAACCTTAACTTTTCTGTATATAAACTCAAGAATGGTGAAAGTAATGCCACCCAAATTTGATCTTGAACTGTGTTTTGTGGTAATATTGAGTATTGTGTATAAGTTTCATAACATTTGGTCAAGGCAAACTGAAGTTAGAGAATGGAAATAATTTTCAGGACATTTCTCAGGTCCTAGAAAAACTTTTAGGTCAGTAAATACTATTATGATTACTTGTTAAAAACAATACACTTTTCATTGTCTAAGTTCATTAAATATTACAACAACAACATGGACGTGACATAGAGCACCTTTTGTTTGAAAAGAAGCTATAATTATCGAATTGTACTTGATTATAGATAACCAAATTATTTCTAATTTTGCTACATGAATTTGTTTATTGACATAAAAGATAACACAGGGTAAAATAGATGTTAATTTGATTATTTATTTAAATATGAACTAAACCTCGATGCAATAAACTGTTAACACAGAGATATGTCTCACCTATTTATTATTTTGATAATGCAAGTGTTGAAATTAAAATAACAATACCTTAACATGTAAGTTATGCAAATATTCAAAGTCAATGAACCATGACTAAAGGTACAGGGCTAAACAATCTCCATGGAAATGAGATGTGCCAATGCTAATACAAGTGCATACCAAATACCATTGACTTTTCATAAGTCGTTCCCTTTAAAGAAACCTAAACCAAAAACATTAACTTGTAAACCAATCAAAAGTTTTAAAGTAAATATACCATGACTGAAGGGGCGGGGCCAAATAATCTCCATGGAAATGAGATATGCCAATGCTTATAGAACAGCATACCAAATATCATTGACCTACCACTAGTGGTTCCCCATAAACTATCTAATCACAAACTAATACATGAAAACTAAGCAAAATTTTCAAGTCAATAGACCATGACTGAAGGGGCGGAGCCAAATAATCTCCATGGAAATGAGATATGCCAATGCTTATACAACTGCATACCAAATATCATTGACCTACCACTAGTGGTTCCCCATAAACTGACTTAATCACAAACTAATACATGAAAACTAAAAAAAGTTTCAAAGTCAATAAACCATGACTGAGAGGGCAGGGCCAAATAATCTCCATGGTAATGAGAGTTGCCAATGCTAATTCAACTGCATACCAAATATCATTGACCTACCACTAGTGGTTCACCATAAACTAGACCTAATCATAAACTAATACATTGTTGACGCCGCCGCCATCGGCGCCTGAAACAGCATACCTATGTCTCGCTTTTTGACTCCGTCAAGGAGAGACAAAAAGGGGGAAGGTCTGTAAAACAAGATAATCAGTTTTTTATTACTAATGATCATTAAAAACGAGGAGTATATTTTACCAAACTTTTGGTGACCTTTCCAATCATGTAATAAACAGAATTGTACTTTTGGATAAAAATATTCCTTGGTTAAAATCATAACAGAGATCTGAAGCAAGATTAAATCTGAACCATTTAACCAAGGATTTAACAAAGGGTTAAATTTAACCACAGGATTAAATACGAAAAATAACCTAGGGTTAAATTTTAACCAAGGGTTTTAATATTTAGGTTAATTGACAGACCTTATCAAATTATCATGTTTTAACCAGAAACACATTTTTCCTGGCCTCATTCAAAAAGAACATGTGTAACTGAAAAAAAAATACTTGGAATATAGAATTTAATTATATTGTATTAATGTGAGAAAACAAAATTACCTTGTATAGTTTCCTTACCTTTATAATAACCTAAAATTTCAAATAATAAAGTTAACTCCTACTTAAAAAGACAACAATACCATTAATGAAAATTAGTATAGCGCAGAACACACTTAAGTTTTATATATTAGGCAAAGCTAAAACTTGTACAATGCTGTTCTCAATACATGTACAGTTGTTCTACATTCATATCAATATATATGAATAATATCTATAAAGGCTTCCAAGGAACCCTGTGTCTCACCTGCTATTTCCGCTGTAAGAGTAAAAGTGTAATGTTTAATGGGGACTGCCAAAAATTCAATACATTTATCAGTAATATACAGAGAAAAAAATTTTGCTCAGGTTGCTATCTCTTGATTTATAGAAGATAATCTGTCCATGTCTTGTAAAATTCCATGGAGGTTTGACTAAGTTATTCAATTCTTGTTTAGAAATTCCAATAGGGAACACATTTTACATTACTGTGGATTCATTATTATTCATTGGATACTAATGTTAGAGGATTTCGTGGGTACATGAGAACCACTAAATTAAGTGTTCAACGGATTACAAATTTTCTATAAGGTTATATGCAGACTTTGGCAAAACCACGAAATCAAATATCCACGAAAAATTCAAGATTTCCTCAATCCACGAAAATTGATACCCACGAAAATAAATGAATCCACAGTATTGTAGTAATAAATCAATTTTTTTTAAATGTTTTCAGCCACTGGCCTTCTTCAGTTGCTTTATAATCCTTCTAACCTACATTGTAGACATGTCACTATCACATTCATTTAAAGGGACAGACATTTATAAAGCAGTATGACCCCTCTCCTTTGGAGCAAGGGTATAATAAATATCAACATAGATCAAATAGATACATAGTGCAGACAAATGTGGTCCTTATTTATAGTTTCATGAGCACAAAAAGTAAAAAAAAAATATATGTTTTATTATACAGATTCACAGAAAATGCTCCATGAATGCTTCAATGAAAAGCCTAAGCAGTGATTAACAATATCTATCAGGAAAAGAGTGTCTAGAAGTTTGCTGCAATTAAGCAAAAAAAAAAGATCTGCCGTCAAAATACTTTAAAATGATCTGTCTTTTCAAATATATGGAAAAAGTATTCATGATAGCAAACAAGAGTACACATGCTGAAATGTGTTGTCTGCTTCAATAACCACACTTGATTTTATATTTAAAGTCTTAAAGATGAAGTTTTTATTATTTTATATTTAAAGTCTTAAAGATGAAGGTTTTATTATAAGTATCATATAAACTAAACATTATCAAAGAGGTCAAGGTCAGATAAACCCTGCCAGACAGACATTCTTACCTTACAATCATTCCATACACCAAATATAGTTTATATATTGCTTATATCTAAGTAACAGACTGAACCAGGATAACTTAACATTGACCAATGAACTATGAAAATTAGGTCAAGGTCAGATGAACCCTGCCAGACAGATATGGACACCTTACAATCATTCCATACACCATATATTGTTGACTTATTGCTTATAGTATGTCAAAGATGATCAAGTCCTACAGAAACTTAACATTTACCAATAAACCATGAAAATGAGGACACAGACAGACATGTATACTTTACAATCATTCCATACACCACATACAGTTGATCGTTTGCTTATAGCATCTGAAAACACACCAAAACACAAAAACTTAGGATTGACCATGAACCATGAAAATGAGGTCAAGGTAAGATGAAACCAGCCAAACTGACATGTTCACCTGACAATCATACCATACACCACATATAGCTGAACTACTGCTTATAGTATCTGATAAACAGACCTTATTATCACACATCTTTAACCTTAATCACTGACCAATGAAGGTCAAAATCAGGTGAACCCTTTCTGTCGGACATTTAGAGCTTGCAATGAACCCATTTACCAGTTTAAATACCTTATTACTCATTATAAGTGGGAAATTCACATAACAACAAAAACGTTTTATTTTTAAAGCAGTCACTGAACCACGAAATTGAGACAGGACAATGGACATATGCAGACAGAGACTTCATAACTTAAGACATCTGTATAAAGGTATGAAGCATCCAGGTCATCTACCCTCTGAAATATAAGGCTTCATACAAATAGTTTAGGCCGCCACTGCTGTCGCCTTAGCAGCTGGATTGTAGTCCCTTTGTCTTGCATTCTGCAACTTAAGTCGAAGGCAAGACAATAAAATATTATTCAAGATTTTCTTTTATTTATTCCATCTTATGGAACAAAATTATGTAGAATAAGCAGTTCATCATTTCAGGAAATATTTCATGTGTAATATTGCTGCATATATACCAAGAACCAAAATTGTGCAACAGCTACAATATTATCAACATTTTATTTTGGTTCATTGGTCAAAGTTAAAGTGTGGACCTCCATGACAATATAATACTGGTAACTTTTTTGTTGGTCAACTCTTCCATGGAAAGAAAATTTGTGATTGATTCTAATTGTAATATTTCTGAAAAGTAGTTATATTATATGGTGAACCAACAACTGGAGTGGTGATTATACGGTAGGGTAATAAACCAGTGGATACCTATAGGTATTCACAGTTGTCTTTGAAAAAGTAAGAAATAATCGATATGAAAGACAACAACTCTCGTAAAATATTTCTGAAATGGTGGAGAGCAAACAGTATGTTAGATGTTAAATCATGCAAAAGATCTGAAGTGGCTCACATATAACAACTTATGAATTCATTCAGTGACTTTCCACTGAAACGGAACTTTACTACAATAGTACTGTAACCATGTTTCCAGTCACTGTGTATTCATCATTATTGTAGAGTATTCATTTTTGTGGATTTTGTTGGTATGAGTGGACTACTAATTCAAAAGAGATAAATGAAATACTAATTTCCTATAGGCTTGCATGCAGAATTTGTCAAAACCACAAAATCTGGTACCAACAAAAATACAATTTTTCCTCAATCCATAAAAATTGGTACTCATGAAAATAAATAAATGAATCCAAGTAACTTTAAATTTCATATTGGTTTGATTTTTTGGGAGTAATTTCTATTGTCCAGATTTATACATAAAAGGTGCATAAAACCTATTTTTTATAATTGTTCCAACTACTTCAAATTCTGAAAAATCCCTGCTAAAAGCAAGTTCATCTGGATGCAAACAATTGTTCCAATAACAAGAAACTTAAAAAATAAAAAACTTGTCAGTGAATATTGAAAATAAGATGTATTTTACGTTAAAAATGTTAGTGTTATGCTCACCCTGAGAAAAATTAAAAGTTGACGTACTTGGCTGATAGCTCAACAATCTTCTCACAACATCTGTGTGTCCATACAGTGATGCCAGGTAAAATGGAGAGTTCTCTGAGAATATCGGATCTTCTTCTGTCTCCAGAATAGCTCCATTCTCTAAGAGAATGTTAATCAACTGGTAATTACCGTTTCTAGAAATAATTTGTAATGGAGTGCCCTGGAACATAAACATTCTTATCTTTAAGACAGACTGACAATTCAGAAAAAAAGTTACAAGAGTATTTTAATGTATACAATGTGACAGACAGAAAATGGCACTATTCTAAATTTGCATTGAGTAATTTCCAATGCAACATAAAGATTCAGGAATAACATTAATTTCTCTCAAAACTATTCTTTGTATTAAAGATTCTGAATAATAAATGCATGCATTAACTTCTGAATTAGCTACGCCATTCTGTGATCTTCATTCTTTTATTTTGACATCAGGCATTTATTTACTCTTTTTTTATTTTCCACAGTTACTCATTCTCAATAATATTGAATTAAGTGAATGCAAACTCATACCGAATACTACCTAAAGCTTATCTCCTTGAATGAATGACATTAAATTGCTATTATCTCCCTTTGAAAATGTGTTCCCTAATAAAAAATATCAAATGTTTCCATAGTTTCAGGGTTTAATGTAAATATTTCATTTTCCCAATTATGACTTAAATAGTTCTTTTATTTATCAATCAAATCATTAATAATTTCAAAAAATCTACATTTCAAATAAGGAAATATTTTTTGTCACGTTTGTGTATAATCTCAAGTTTGAGGTTAAAAAGGATGATGAGTTATTTCCTTTTGTTATGATTACATCCTAATAACATCGTCTGTGATATAAATAGCATCTATATATATATTTTCTGAAAGACAGATCAATGTATAGGATTTTGGAAGTATACATACAAGAATAGATATACATCTGTGTATTTAAATGCCCTTTATGTATAACATCAATTTGTAGGTCAATAAACCCTAAAATGTAGGCCAATTTAAGATACCCATCTACCATCTATACTCCATTTACACTAATAAATCTAAATATAAAATATTGTTGACATTTTGTTTATAGTTCCTATCATAAAACAAGAGTGTACATTTGACATCAAGGGATGTTGATTTATTTGTAGATCTTGTCTCCTGATCATTTTTGCTGATTACAGTTTCTCTCTATATTATAGTTTTAAAGATATTTCCCTAAAATCCCAGAAAAGGTCAAAATTGTTATTCAAGGGAATAACTATCAGGATATACAAGGGCAACAACTCCCATGAGGAGTCGATTGAAAATGATGGTCATGTTGCCTACTTTGTAGATCTTAAATCACTGATAATTATTTTCTCTTTACAGTTTATCTCTATCTAGTTTTCAAGTTAATAACCAAAAACACAAAAAGGGTAAAAAATTGCCATTTAGTAGATTTTAATATCTGACCATTTCTGATATATTTAATATGGTTTTCAAGATATTGAAAAATTACATCCATTTTATCCTTATGTTTTATTTTTAGCCATGGCAGCCATCTTGGTAGATTGGCAGAAACAGAAAAAAACATCAACTTTATACAGGAGATTTGTTTAAGAAGATTCTTTGAGTTTTCTTTAACATACAGTTTATTCCTTTTCTTTTCAAAATGCACAATGAAAGCCATTTTGTATCAAAACATTAGCTTATATGACATGGTCTGTTGTATTGTGCAGTTTTTTGGCAATTCCAGTCATTCCTTTTTTATCTTATCATGTTCATTGTTTAAATAAAATAATTATACTCTTACTGTTTTACTTATGACTATGGAAAATATTGCATTTATCTTTTTGGTGAATATTTTATTCTGGAGTATTTTCTTTTAGCACTTTTATAACCAAAATGTGACTACTAGCAAAATGTCCCAATTTACAGTACATCTAACATAAAATCCACATATCTGTCTGGTACTGTTGCTGAGGACCAGAGGTCCCTCATAAAAGAATGATAGCATATCCAATGGAACATGACGATGAGATCAAGGCCATTAGGCAATAAGTCAGATTGAAATATATACTATAAATTAAAAACAAATTGTGATGTTTTTATTATTGCCAAAATTGAGACAGGATAGGTTTCAGAAAATAAACACCTTCATTTTAAATTTGTATACCGGTAGTATTATTTGTATGTAGTATCTCCTGAAATCACAATAATAAATCTTGATTTTTTATCTGTTGTTCAATTGCAATAATAAATGCATGTAAAAATTTCTGAATTTACAGTACTCCGTACAACAAACCCATATATATATATATATAACTCTATACATCAAACCCATATATACCAAATATCGCTGGCCTGTTATGTATAGTTACCCTGGTAGATAAAATCGCCAAAAAACCGTGACCTTATAAGTGGAGTGTAAAACTTGGTTTGAGGCCATGTCGGACACAGACAAGATTCTTTACCATACACCAAATACTGTTGACCATATGATTAATAAGATACTGGAAACTATTCTTGATTTCTCGGAAAATTTAGAAGCTTCAACAAATCTCTTTAAACTTACAAGGATAATTCTTTGAAGAAAACATAAAGCTGAATTAAATAATTATTATGTAGGGTACTGTCCATTTAGCCATTGTTAACCTATTTTATTTTTACATCAAATTTGAATAAAAAACATAGGTACAGAATCTCATGTACACATGAAATACAACAAATATCAGACTTCAAAAATGTCAAAATGTAGTTTATGTGGCTTTTTAGCATCTTATACCTTGGATAGGACAAATTTTGTCAATTTTCAGACTTTTTTGCCAGAGACAACAGAAAAAAACAAAACAAACTATAGTTGACACACAAAAACATCTCACCAGCTGCTATATTAAGATTATATCAAAAAGGTAAAACAAACTGCACTCGAGATCAAATGAACCCTCTAGTGCAGAGTCAGGTGTGCGTACATTCAACAATATTCTAAATACAAAATTTAAATTCAACAAATTACAGATCTAATCCTGAAGTCTTAACATAACAATTGGAGTTGGAAAAGTGTGTCATGTCAGACAAACAAATATACTAACAACCAATCATCATGTCTACACATTGATTTTTAAAGTTTACATAGAATAGAACCCAAAAAGTTGCAATTTCCCACACTGACTCTTTGTAAATAATTTTGTAGTGCAACTGACAATGAGACACCAAAATCAATAACAAGAGGCCCCATGAGATTGATTCACTCACCTGTCATAATTTACCACATGAAAACATTAAGCAACAATGGCAGCTATCTACCAAAATAATCAATTAAGAGAGAATGGAATGAAAAATTCAGCAATTTTTTCATTTGTTATGGGGTATATAACTTAAGAATGGTAAAAAAGTGACGCCACCCAAATTCAAATTTAATCTGTATTTTGTGGTAATAAGCATTGTGTAAAAGTTTCATTACATTTGGTTTAGGCAAACTAAAGAATGGAAACCAATTTCAGGACGTACATACATACGGACGTACAAACATACGGACAGGTGTACAGACAGACAAGGGTGATACTTAATACCCCCTTGGCTGCTGCGGGGGCATAAAAAGGGTAAAGTCATTGCAATTTACTATTTCTATCACTTGATTTTCTTTAGATCTATAGTATAGCATAACACTTTTGCTCTTTTCATTTTATTTCTAGTTTGTATAGTTTTCAAGGTAATACCCAAACCATCCCCTAAAAAATTGGTAAAGGTAGGCATTTAGGGACAATATCTCCTATAAGTGGTCAACTGTCAATTTAAACAATACTGAATTGTTTGTAGATCTTTTAGGTTTCTCTGTCTATGTCTCTCTATCTATTATAGTAGTCTCTCCATCTATTAAAGTTGTCTCTCCATCTTATATAGATGTCTCTCTGTCTTTTATAGGTGTCTCTATGTCTATTATAGATATCTCTCTGTCTATTATAGGTGTCTCTCTGTCTATTATAGGTGTCTGTCTAAAATAGGTGTCTCTCTGACTATTATAGTTGTCTCTCTGTCTATTATATGTATCTCTGTCTATTATAGGTGTCTCTCTGTCTATTATAGTTGTCTCTGTCTATTATATGTGTCTCTCTGTCTATTATAGGTGTTTCTTGGTCTATAATAGTGGTCTCTGTCTATTATACTTATCTATCTATTATAGCTTTCTCCATCTATTAAAGGTGTATCTCTGTCTATTATAGTTGTCTCTGTCTATTATAGGTGTCTCTCTGTCTATTATAGTTGTCTCTCTGTCTATTATAGGTGTCTCTCTGTCTATTATATGTGTCTCACTGTCTATAATAGGTGTTTCTCAGTCTAAAATAGTGGACTCTCTGTCTATTATACTTATCTATCTATTATAGCTTTCTCTGTCTATTAAAGGTGTCTCTCTGTCTATAAACGGTGTCTCTCTGTCTATTATAGGTGTCTCTCTGTCTATAACAGGTGTCTCTCTGACTATTATAGGTGCCTCTCTGTCTATTATAGCTGTCTCTCTGTCTATTATAGGTGTCTCTGTCTATAATAGGTGTCTCTCTGACTATTATAGTTGTCTCTGTCTATTATATGTGTCTCTCTGTCTATTATAGGTGTCTCTCTGTCTATTACATATAAATAAGAAGATGTGGTATGAGTGCCAACTATATATCCATCCAAGTCACAATGTGTAAAAAGTAAACAATTATAGGTCAAAGTACGGCCTTCAACACAGAGCCTTGGCTCACACCGAACAAGCAAGCTATAAAGGGCCCCAAAAAGACTAGTGTAAAACAATTCAAACAGGAAAACCTCTCTCCATCTATTACAGTTGTCTTTGTCTATTACCGTATAGCGGGTTATTTTCGCGGGTGTAAAATTTCGCGATTTAAGGGCAACAAAGTATACGAAAAATTTTGGCGGTTTTAATTTTGGTGGATTCTTTAATCCCAATTAAATATTTTGGCGGATACTGAAATGGTTGCAGTTAAAAAGTTGTAAAACTTGACAAACAAGGGTCCATTGTTATTGTTAAATGATTGTTTTACCTGCATGACGTCTTATCTATTGATTATATTTTGATAAATTAATCAATAGAATATCGGTACATAGTTATTTTTCACAGGTGTACAAACATCTTGTAAATGTAACGGTTGATTAGTTACGAAATTGACCGGACCTTTGATGTACTTATGAGATTATAAAATTATCATGAGTGACTTGCAACTCGAATATAATTTGACACTAATTAATAAGGATAAAATACCTGACAGAGTACCTTACACTCTTATATTATTACTTATTTCATTATGTAACCAATAAACTAATTAAGACAGCCAGTGAACAATGGCCTTTGGCATTTATGTTGTTTAAATTAACATAAACCGTTATTGATCCGTCGAACTCGAAAAAATAGATAGTTTACAAAACGCTTTAGCTATTAAAAAGAATCGAACGTATGCATACGTTTTCGCGGAATTTATTTCCGCAATTTCCCCCCACTCGCCAAAATAAGCAAAAATAAACACCCTGCGAAAATAACCCGCTATACGGTATATTTGTCTCTCTGTCTATTATAGGTGTCTCTCTTTCTATTATATGTGTCTCTCTGTCTATCATAGTTTTCTTTCTGTCTATTATAGTTGTCTCTAAGCCTATTATAGTTATCCCTCTGTCTATTATAGTTGTCTCTACGCCTATTATAGGTGTCTCTCTGTCTATTATAGTTGTCTCTCCTTTTATTATAGTTGTCTCTCTGTCTATTATAGTTGTCTCTCCTTTTATTATAGTTGTCTCTCTGTCTATTATTGTTTTGGATTTGTCTATTATAGTTGTCTCTCTGTCTATCATTGTTTTCGCTCTGTCTATTATAGCTGTCTCTCTGTCAATCATTGTTTTAGCTCTGTCTATCATAGTTGTCTCTCTGTCTATCATTGTTTTTGCTCTGTCTATTATAGTTGTCTCTCTGTCTATCATTGTTTTCTCTCTGTTTATTTTAGTTTTCGAGATAATAGCAGAAGAATAAAATGCACAAAAAAGGGTAATAATTGTCATTTTAAGTGCAATCACTCTAATAGAGGACCCCAGTGTTGACTTTGGTCTTGCAGATATTACGCAGATCTTGGTTTGGTGATTATATTTGATGCATATTGTTTCTCCCTATTCAGTATAGTTTCAAGATGATTGCCAAAAATGCAAAAATGGAAAAAAATGATCATTTAAAAGCACTCACGCCTATAAGGATTTCATTGACAAGTTTCTTAATGTTTGTTATAATTTTGAATTGAGGCTCCCTGACCTTGTTGTGCGTTTTGCCCTTAAATGACTATTTTTCTATTTTTTTTAGCTTTTATCTTGAAAAGCATAGTTGAAAAATAGACATATAAGCTGGAAAATTGATCAGCAAGACATGCATCTATAAAGACCAAACATGATAAAAACTATAAATCAACTCCTCATTTATAGGTGTTATTACAATTTTTTAATGGACTTTTTGGACGTGGTGATCTAGAAAGGCCATATGCCATGTAGGAAGTTCATCAGCATATATTTAATAGCAAAATAGGAGATTAAATTTCACTATTATATAATTCTTTCGAATATGAGTTATAACTGCCTCATTAGGAAGTGAATCAAGTACTATTTCTTATGTTTCAGGTCAAACATTTTGATACTTCAAAACTTCAAAACCAGTCTGATTTGATCAAACTCTGCCTAATAAGTCATCAGATGGCAAGCTTTTTTTTTCTCGGAAGAATGCATACTGTCAATAAAGATTTTTACATTGCAACCATTAGTAATTAAACAAATTACCTCCCTTGAATGCAAGTTTACATTGCAACCAATTAAATATAAACAAAATGAAGACTTGAATTCTTAAAAAAAATAAAAAATGTCTATTCAAATATAGATAATATGGATAACTTGGATAAATTGGTTTTATATCTTTCATGTCCGTCAGTTATGCGGTATGCTGCTCCATTTATTAAAAAGTCCTGGTCACTGAGGAGAGTGGATTCAGCAACTGCATGATATGTACATATATGAATTCATGTCTTTTTTTATTATTTTTGTGATGTATTATGTAATGTGTTATTTTGTTTTCATGTACATGATGTATGCCATCAACCCCACTGGGGTATAATAGTGCATTATTTTCAATAAATAAATTATACATAGAAAAAAGTACTATCCTTGGAAGCAAGTTTATCACAACCATTTACTCTATATATTAAACAGTTCACTTCATAATGAACATGTGTACAAAGTTTAAAGTTGATGTGATCACAAACTACCGTAGTTAAACCAAAACGTTGAACTACCTTAAATCAAAACTTTCACCTGATACAGGACAGATGTACTAAGGGACTAACGAAGGGAGGGATATACGGATGGACAGACAGATGGATGGACAGATGCACAGACCAGAACACATAATGCCCTTCTTCTATGGTTGGAGGGGCATAATAAATCAAATTACCTCTATGGAAGGCAAGTTTACATCACAACCATTAGAAATCAGCACAATCACAATATCAACACAAATATCGTCCAGGGTACAAGCATAATTAAGTAATGGTAAATCCTCAAATAACGGTACAGTTAGGATATCCCTGTCATCTCCACTTTCCTCCCATTCATCTAGTACACTGACCAGTCCATTTTCCAAGGTTTCAGCATTGCCAGAGTTGATCAACCTTATAATACCTGTCACATTCACCATATCTGTAATATACATTAATTGGTTTAAGTTTTGATAATTAATAAAATATTGATTTAAAATTAACAAAGTTATAAATACTGTGGATTCATTACAATTCGTTGGATACAAATTTTTGTGAATTTTGTTGGTACAGATGAACCACCAATTTTATTGTTCAATGAATTATAAATTTTCTGTAAGTTTTGCGCAGACTTTGGCAAAACAACGAAATCAAATATCCATGAAAATGCAAGTTTTCCTCAACCCATGAAAATTGGTACTCACGAAAATAAATGAATCTACAGTAGATGTATTACTAACAGTGTTTCAGAACAAAACCAGAGAGAGGAGTATCAAGTGTATGATTGAGTTTAAAATGTTTCCCATTGAATTTTATGTTATATTGTCTTAAAACTTTGAATCAAATATTTCTTTATTCATCAACTAGGCAACAATAACCATAACTGCTTTTCACATAGAATTCTATCACTGATGTCTTATTTGAGATTCACTATTAACTGTTTCAGAATCAAATGCATTCTGTGTAATATTTTAAAAGACGTACACCAAAATGTTGTGATTGGTTAAAAACATTCTAAACAATGGAATACCAACCAATGACATGACGATATTTTCATTTTGGGGTACGAACAAAGAAATTACCCACAATACTTTCGATTCTGAAACAGTGAATTGCCTTAAAGTACAACGTGCACACATAGCAAAATTATGTTCAACAAGAGTGCACAAGCTGAAATGGATCGCCTGTCTTACTTATCATTGAATTTATGTTGAAAGTCTGTAACATGAAGGTTTTACTAAAAGTATCACATAAACCTAACATTATCAATGTTCTACAATAATGAGGTCGTGGTCAGATGAACCAGGCCAGACAGACATGTACACTTTACATTCATTCCATACACCAAATATAGTTGACCTGTTGCTTATAGTATCTGATAATCTGACAAAATTACAAAACTTATCATTGACCAATGAACCATGAAAATGAGGTCAAGGTCAGATAATACCTGTCAGACAGACATGTACACCTTTCAATTGTCCCATATACCAAACATAGCTGACCTATTGCTATTAGTATTTGGAAAACCAACAAAATCACAAAAATCTAACATTGACCAAGGAACCATGAAAATGAGGTCAAGGTAAGATGATACTGGCTAAACCAAAATGTACACCTTACATTCATTCCATACACCAAATATAGTTGACCTATTGCTTATAGTACTCCAAAAACAGACCAAAACACAAAACTTAACATTGACCAATGAACCATGAACCATGAAAATGAGGTCAAGGTCAGATGAAACCTGCCAGACTGACATATATCCCTTACAATCATTCCATACACAACATATAGTAGACCTACTTCTTATAGTATCTGAGAAATGGACATAATCATGCAACTTTAACCGTGATCACTGATCCATGAAATAAGGTCATGGTCAGGTGAACCCTATCTGATGGACATGTAGGCGTTGCAAAGAACCCATATACCAAGAATAGTAATTCTACTACTCATAATAAGTGAGAAATTCTCATGACAAAAAAAACTGTAATTTTTTTTCAAGCAGTCGCTGAACCATGAAAATGAGATCAAGGACAATGGATATATGACGGACGGAAACTTCGTAATATAAGGTATCTGCATACAAGGTATGAAGCATCCGGGATTCTACCTTCTGAAATATAAAGCTTTATACAAATAGTTTACGCTGCTGCCGCTGCTGCCAAATAGTAATACTTATGTCTCTCATACTGGGACTTATCATCGCAGGCCAGACAAAAAACCTATAACTTTATATTTTATTAGATTTCAATTAATCATTTTCCTATAAACAACTTACTGTAATTTAAAATGTTAGTACCAGAATATATTTTCCAATATATTCATGAATTACAACTTTTGTTTGTTCCATGTGTATAGCAACCTTTTAACCCTGTACATGCTTCATGTCCTAGGCCACTCTAAACCTAATTACAAAGTAACTACTAATGCAAGAAATAAAGACAACCAAACACTTTCAGAAAATCACACATCATGATCAGCTAGGTCAGATTTCTGTGGCGGATTTTCCAATCAAACTCTAGCATATATACAAATGTACTGGATACAAATAAGATATGCAGAAAAAAAGTAGAATATATGAATAATTAATCTAAATGTTTGTTTTTATTTTACACACAATTTTTACACTAAGTATTTTCTTCTGTGGAATTCTAAAATTATGACCCAATTTAATACCATAAATTTCAAACTTAAATATTTTTTTTTATCTATCTCTTTCATAATTTACCGGGTAATCCTCAAAAATGCACATCTCTGAATGGAAATTATTATATAACATATCATATATGAAGATACACCCCAATAAAATGTAATATATCACATGTGTATATGTGTTTCCTTACAGTGCATTTTTACTGGACAATTGTCAGGACATAAAAATTTGACAACTATAACAGGTTTTATATATTGTGGTAATGAGGCCTTTTTAACAAATTTGTACTGAATTCACCTCTCCCTCTAGCTTATACACCATATTGTTTATGTATGTCACATTATTCTTAACTTATAAACATTATAAGTACTTTTAATACACAACTTCCTATAAGGCAATGGATATAGCAGCAACTAATTTAACTATCAGGAAGGGCAGGGACAGGATTTTCATAGACATCAATTAACACCCTCAGTAATTACTATTTCTTTCTTTTCCAAAATATTTCTTATCATTTTCAGTAAAAAGGCTTTCCAATAAGTGGCAATAAACTGCTTCGCCGAGCACAGCTGGATACGACCGCAGAGGTCCAAACCTGAACAGTTGGGGCAAAAATGGACACAAGATTCAAGCTTGATACAGGTCTGAATTTGGATTGTAATTAAATATTTGACACATTATAGGTTTCTGACACAGAATAAATGTAGTCAAAGAACTTGAAATTGGTTGTATGATTTGAATTTATATTCAATTGAAGATTTTTTGCTGTTGTGCAATACACTGTGCAATGAGAATTGTACCACGTGATAATAGTTTGAACTGGACTGGCTTGATATCATTAAAATCTTTAAAACACGGATATTATAAGTTGCCCGTCACAGAGTCCTTGTTTATAATCACTCTGATATTTCCGTAAAGTTGTCAGGCGGTCAAAATCAAAACAATGAACGCGAATTTAGTGAATTTTTCGTGTTTTCGTGAGTTTATTCTTCTTGAAATAGGGGCATTTTAACTTTACATGGGAACCTAGAGTTCAACGACTACAAATACAAGGTTTGGACTTGCTTATTCTTTGGATATTCAAGTTTCATCCCCGCAACCTGTTCTTGTAATGACCTTGTTAGCCAATTTCCAACAGTTAGTTGACGTTTCAGTCATTTTAGCCTGTATTTTATACTGCAATGTTAAAAGCCTCTTGCTTCAATTTTTAAAATAGCTCAGGAACCTTGATTTTTGCAACGACAGTCATTATGTTTCGTCTAAATGGTGTATATAGTTGTGTATATTTATTTTCTGTCCCCGCAACCTGTCTATCACTTAAACTAAAGTTAAAACAGACATTTTTTTTCAAAATTCCCTATCATTTCAATATAATTTCCATGACCCGTATCCGATTTCTTTAGTATAATATTCAAATAAGCAAAGTGGCGTTGATTTCTGGATATGTTGACCCCCCCCCCCCCCCCTCCCAAAAAAATTCCCCCCCCCCTCCCAAAAAAATAATATTAGAAGAGAATTTTCTTTTGAGGAAAAAAAAATTGCCCCCCCCCAAAAAAATTTTTTTTTTACCCCCCTCCCCCCTTCCAAAAAAAAGAAATTTTGAAGAAATTTTCTTTTTGTAAAATGTGGTACAAATTAAGAGACATCCATACACTTAAGGTAGATTCATGGTATACTGCCATCTTGGATTGTACAATCGCAGTACAAAATCGGTCTAATTATTTACCCAAATCTGCAAATTTGGAGACAGATTTGCAATTTAATGGTTAGACTGTTTATTTACGTAAAGAAAACTTGAGGATTTATTGTATTAATCAAAACATTTAAACAAATATCAAATTTTGTGTTTTTAGAATCATTTTTTTCAAATAAGCAATTTAAGGGGAGATAACTCCTTTAGTAAAAAATATATACTGGACTGATAGGGAAATTTTTAATTTTTACTTGTAGTAAGAAAACAAGTTCGGTGACACCATTTTTTCTTTTTATTTTCTTAAAACATATTATAAAACCTATCTTCTCACAATTTATTTCAAAATTCTATCTCATAGAATTTTTTTTATGCGCACAAATGTGTTTTTTCATGAACAATCTAACCAAATTTAGGCAATTTTCAACAACTCATAGCTTGGAAAATAGCAAGGTGACCCATACATTTTATTATATTTTTGAAAAAAGTATAGTAAAATCTTCATTTTGACAAAGTATAAGAAAATTCTATCTCAAAAAGTATATACTTATGATCTACCTTAAACACATACATGTTATTGTCTGAAAACTAGAAAAATGCTTGTTTTAGACCCTTTTTGGCCCCTAATTCCTGAACGGTTTGGGCAATTACCCCCAAAATGAATCCCAACCTTCTACTTGTAGTATTGAACCTTGTGGTACAATTTCAGAGCAATCAAAATACTTATACACAAGTTATTGTCCTGAAACTAGAAAAATGCTTGTTTTGGCCCCTAATTCCTAAACGGTTTGGACCATCACCCCCAAAAACAATCCCAACCTTCCTTTTGTGGTATTGAACCTTTTGATAAATTTCATAGAGATCCATACACTTAAACTCAAGTTATTGTCCGGAAACCAAATGTCTTCGGACGACGCTGACACCGACAATGAAGGAGACGACGATGTGATACCAATATACATTTTGCGATCGTATAAAAATGTATTCCAACAAATTTCATTTAAAGAATATATGTTCTGCTACTGACTTTCTTTAACATGCATCTAAATCCTGACAATTTAATCAAAGCATCGTCGATGTTGTGATGCAGCCATATTTATAGCTAGTCTGATATTCTTTCTGACCATACTTTTTTCAATATTTTCTTCTCTTTTCATTTTCAATCTTACTGTAAAATTTCCATGTTATTTTCCAAAGGAAATAAAAATATTAATGCAAATATTGATATATATATTGATATTTCAATTTAGACTCTGTCAGATTTTTTTTTTACAAGAATGGAAAGGGAAATTGTCAAATAAGTAATATATTTTTTTTTATTCCATTTATAATAACTGGCTTTATAATTTCCAGAAAGAGGCCTTAGAAATGCACTTTCTCAACAACAAAAATTAAAAAAAATAATAACTATTTTTTTATCTAAATTTGTGTTCATTCTTCATTAAGAAAAAATACATTTCCTGTATTCGAATTTAAATGTACAAATACCTAATGATGAGATATTTCCAATTACTGTTACATAGCAATATAATGGGATATAAATGTAGAACAAACAAATAAATTTTATTGCAGAAAATGCTCAGATAAGAGTTATGCAATTTTGTATATTATTTCAACCAAATTTCTGATAATTGCAACTAATTAATTTGAACTTGATTATTGGTTTATGTCAGATGATAATGACACTCTGATTTTACATGTGAAATAAAATTTGCTTGCATTTTTAATAAATACTTTTTTTTTTTATTTTTTGTCTTTTCTTTGAAAAAAAACACATCTGATTACTCATTCAGCTAGCTAGCAAAAATAACAGAATATTTTAGTGTAGATTAAAATAAATAAATACATTTTTAGGTTTACTATTGAGAATGTGTGTATTCAGTTAGGTGTGTAATTAATTGAGTCTATTCAATTATGTAACAGGTCATGAGATATTAACTGTGGTGAATTAAGCCTGGGGTCGTTTCCAATTAATACTTACACCTTTGATTGTAATTATTTGAAAATCATGACAGTTGATAATCATACTGACTCTTACTTGCCTATGGAAAGAATTGGAGTAATACCATTTCAAAAAAAGTGTGGGAATCAACTTAGATAAATTAATACATATGTTAACCTAAATTTCATTGAACAACAACTTACACAAGCATAAAATACTAATACAATACTTTCAAAATTCTTATCAACTGATTCAATTGATGTACAAATACTTTTTCAAATTAATTCATAAATAGTAAATCATTATAAATTTTGATTTACAAAGGAACTATATGCAAGTGTATATCTAAAATAAAAGGGTTGTTCGACCAATCTTTTCTTCATTTAAGGGCAAATAACTTGTCAAAAGTTGGAAGTTGATGATTTAAATGGTGTAAAAAGTTTCTGCAAGTCATAAAAACACATAATTAGTTTCATATCATGTCTGCAACTTAGTAGTCTTCACCATCTCCAAAAACAGAGTGATCGCATAGATCCAGCATGGCTGAATCAAAAACTAGTGATTTCTGAGCCTGACCTGTTTTTTTTATAATTTCAACCACTTTTGCTTCCTAAAACCTGATACTAAAAGATATGACTTTCAGGAAATGCATCCCAACCTTGACCAATTCAATGTGTGGTGTAGTGTTAATTGATAACAACTGAATGCTACAAGCATCTTAATACCCCATGTTCTATGATTCATATATCTATGCATTACCTACCTCAAATTTTTTAACTGAACTTACATAACATGATAAATAATAAATATAAAATATTGTGTGTTGTAAAAACATTCAAACAGCAAATTAAGCTAGTTTGAAACTTAATTTTCCATTCACGTGTGGCTTTAATGTAAGTTGTTTACAAGTTGATTGAATAAATTTGGATGCTATATCTTACTTACAATTTTTTAAATATGATTTTAAAACAGTAATATTAGAACATGTAACTATCAACAACAACAAAAATAGAATTTTTATACTTATTAAAAAAAAAAGTAATATATCATCATATTTCCGGAATACTTTATAATATTGGAAAATCTTATAATGTAATAATTATTAAGGTTATATATTCAAGGAATGTGCGGTGCAGTTTTCTCATATTTTGTTAAGTTTTCTCAAATATGTAATTTAAAAGAATAGTGGGTGACAAAACTTTAAATTTCAATATTATATATATTTTATATATAAAGTATCTTTTAACACTACATTATAACCTACTTTCAGGAAATGAAAATGTCAAATGAGGTCATTTATTCTGGTTTTCTTTGCTAGTATAACAAAGCAAATAAATTTTACATTTCAAAATGAACCAAAACAATCTAATAGTTTATATTTACAGAAAATTAAAAAAAAATTAAAATATCAATATTTCAATGACAAAATCATGCATTGTTTATTAAATCTTTTAAATTCCTGAACATTTCAGTAAAAAAGAGATGGAAAGTAACCAAGGGGATATTCAAATGCATAAGTGAAAGAGAAAATAACAACATGGCAAAAAAAAAAAAAAACGAGGAAAAGACAAACAAGTCAACAAAACATAGATAGAAAACTGCAGACGGCCTCAGCAACATGAACCCCATCAAAAACCGGGGTGAACTTATGTGCTCAATACCTACTCCACATAAGCACCCGTTGTGTTACACATGCAAGCTAGTACAAATCTGGTAAAAATCTACACATGCTACATGGATCAATACATATATATTTACTTTTATACTTCTGCATTAATTTTTTTAGAGTGCATAAGGTTTCCGAAACTGATCGATGTCTTCAAAATAAAGTCAAATTGTTTTTATATCATATAAACATCATAATAGTTAAACCGATATTTTTTTTTATCTATTTTAAAAACAAAGAGAATATACCACCCTCAGATAATAACTTAACATACCGTAGATCCACTGACTTGCTCTTTTAGTAAATTCTGCATATCTAGCCATTTTCTTTTGGGTAATTCAGTAAAAATATACATAAAAATTTACAACTTTAAAGAAATTTCTCACTTCAACCAAAACATGCAAAATGTCCTTCGCCACTTCAGAGAAAGTTTATCATGCAATTATTTAACTAGATTACAAACATAATGAGTTGATCCTGCATGCAAATGTTATTCAAACCTGTTTGCTAATAGAGGATGAATCTACTTTCCTTTCAACACACCACCCAATGGTTGGTCAGACATTTTATGTCTTGTTAATATTTTATCAAAAATTAAATATCATAAAATATTATCAGTGGTGTTTATGTCAACTGATTACACATATATCCCAGGCATATCTTAAGTCAAAGTCAAATTAAAAGTTCACATTGTCAGGCCAAGTCTTTGTAGATTAGGTCAACTAGTCACTTCATTAGTAATTATGGTATTATATATAAAACCGTGAAAGAGTCTTTCAATACATGAACATCTGTCTGTTTTAATACACATGTAGATCACATTTCATTATACACTTTTTAACTATTTCAATGTCTATATACCAGTATATTACTCAATAAACAATTTATTTTTCAAACAAACAAAACTGCTTATATAATTCCTTGATTGCTTTTAAATTCCATAGTCTGAACAGTGTTTTCATTTTCAGATGCTGTCCTAAAAGAATTTCTCTATAAGAAACAAGATCCATGCATCTGCAAACTTGAACTTGAAAACTTGAAAACTGTGTCTATATAAACCACATGTTCCTAAGATGTTATGATAATGTTGATTCACATAACACAATTTATTCCTTTGCAAAGAGTAAAAAGTTAACCTCAATACATAGAGCTGTCATTTACATTCTTTCTATAAATTAATATTTTAACAACCACATGCACAGGTTTTATATGTTCAAAATGACCTTTTTATAACAGCTATTAACAGAAATCAATGTGGTATGTGTGTACATTGTAGGAAGACATATATACTTCCTGGATGAGTTAAATACACATACCTAACAGTTGAAGTACTTTATTCAAAGATAGATTTAAATCCTTTCACCCACATAAAACGGGGAATTTTCTTTGTAATTTTTAGCCTTAATTAGTTTCACATTTAAAAGTGCATTGTGCATGTCCTAATTATTCAACACATAATGAATGTCCTAATTATTTTATGTGTCCGCTATTTACACATCAGCAATTAAGTTATCATAAAAAGTATATGATTTTTTTTAATTAAGTAAAATGTTTAGTTTTTAGGGATTTTTTTTATAATAACTGGTATATCATGTATATCAGCCTGTATAATTATAGTGTGGTCCTAAGATTTTCTACAAACATGTGAAAAACAAAAATATATATAAACATATCAAATGTCTGCCAATTATACCAAAATTATTCTAATACAAGAAAATGTAAATTATTGCTAATCATAGTTAGAATCATAACTTACTGCTTTGTATATTGTTAAGTGTTACTCTGAAAAATATATGATAAAATTCTGGTAGAGCAAGTTTGTTGGAAGTAATAAATTTAATTTAGATGATGTTAAAAATATTTTCCTGCATCAGTTTTCTGTAATTTTATATTTTGAAATTTAATTTGGTATACATATGAACTTAGTTATAAGAAAAATTGAATTTTCATATTTTTATTCATAGAAATGATTAATTCCATGAGGGTTATTTTTTTGTGGTTTTCATTCTGGGAAACTACTGTTCTTTATAAATTATTTTTCGTTAAGATTTTAATTTGATTTTACAGTATTTATTTTATGAGGTCAGAGTTCACTTCAAAATATACAGAGCAGTTGAAAAGCTATGAATCTGAAGATGTATCACACAGTATTGTATAACCTGCTCACTGAAAGCCTGATACCAAATTTCAGGAATCTTTGATTTTAAGTTCCTGAGAAAAAAGCGACAACTTTGAACAGCACCTATGTTCAGCAAACCCTTAAAACATTCCCAAATTACAAATGATTTGATGAAGGCCTCCTAAAGTTATTATCTGGAATACAAAAATTAGGCTATTTTCTGCTACATCAAGCGCCATAACTCTTGAAAGACAAAAGTAAATCAGTCAAATTCAAAAAGATTCTGTGGTGGACAAATTTCAATAGATTTGATAAAGCTTACTTTAATACTAATAGATTCTGCAGAAACAAACAAAAAATGGCTATTTTCCACTTTATCAAGGAACATTTCTCTGGAAACATAAAAGTGAAATCATTCAAATTTGAACTGGAACTGTATTAAGAGGTCCCTAATAATATTTTTGAAATTTCAAAGTATTTGGTATACAAGGAAAACAAAAATGTGTCTAGTTCCTGCTTTATAGCGCTTTATCAAGGGGGATAATCTTGAAAATCAAAAGTGAAATTAGTAAAATTCAAACTGGATCTATGTTTAATCGTTCATAACAACATTTTAAATAATTAAGTAGATGCCTTCTTAAGTTTATGTTTTGAAACCAATAAAATAGCTATTTTCTGTTTTATCGAGTTCTTAACAACATTAACCATTTTCAGTTGATTTGTTGGAGGTTTGTTACTGTCTGGAAACCCAAAATTTTGTTATTTTCCACTTTATCAAGGGACTTAACTCTTGAAAGACCAATGTGAAATTAGTCAAATTCAAACTTCATCTGTTTTTTCTGTTCCCTAGGAACACTGACAAACTTCAGTTAATTTAGTGGAGGCTTAAATATATATTACTCATGTTATTGTCTGGAAACCAAAAACTTTGATATTTTCTAAAATATATCAAGGGGCATAACTCAGGAAAGATATTTAATTAAATTTTATTAGTCAAATTTAAACTTGATCAGAGTTTGGTGGTCCCTAAGAATACTTTTGAAATTTTAAAAACTTTGGTGAAGGCTTACTCAAGTTGGAATTTAACTCTATTGTCTTTATCATGTTTGAAAGTATGTTTAAATCTTTAAAAAATAATATTAAGACAGCATTTCTGACCCTACATTTTTTTTGTACATGTACTTTTTATTGGAATGTTATAAATAGAGCTTATTAACATTGATAAAATGATACAAATATATCTAAAGTTGGAAAAGTTTATATATATCTGTCAACAAGGGCTATACATGTAGCTGTGGTATACTGATTTAGTTCAAATACACTTCCAGACTTGTAAACTGGTTTTACCAAACCATATTTGTACAAGTCCGGCTATCTGAACCATGTGTTGGTAGTTGTTTGTCATTGTATGTATTTTCTGGAGAAGTGTTAGTGGTTGTTGTAGTCTGTTTTATGTATGCAGATTCTAAAGTTTGGCTCAGCCAACAAATCATGGAAACGGTTTAGGGAACCTTAATTAAGATCACTAGCTTGTACAGAGTAGTAGTAATTTAATAATTTTGCTAAATAAGGGGGTGTGGTTCAGTCAACTCCTTCCCCTTTGAATACCCCCTTAGTCCAATTTTTTTGGAAAATCCCAGTATCCTTTGTTTGTCATGTTTGCACTAGAAATTAAGTTATTCACATTTTCTTTTTCCTTAAAGAATTTTTTTTTACTAATCTTTTTGTATACACTCATAAAATGAAGTAACCAAATGGCTGTTCAAGTTATTTGGTGGACAAAATCTCTGGCCCACTGCTTAATTAAATATAAGAGCTTAAAGATCAATTCAGTTCAGTTTCATGTGTTTTCCTCAAGTAATATTTGGGAGTATTAACTCATCATAAGGACGCTGAGACTATGTACACTTAGTCTTGTAACTTGAATAAAACAGAAAGTACCAAAATAAACAAAGTTGGGAAAGAAGTTTGAGATCAACTTCCCCATAGGTAATAATTGGAGTAAACTGTATTTATCGACGTGAATAGAGGGACAATAGATACCCGACAATAATTGTAGATTTAAACTGTGTCACTGAGTGGACCATATCAAGTGAAACTCCAACTGTTTGTTAATTTTATCATCTTCTGCAGAGACGAAAAAAGTGCACAACAAAATCCAGTTGTAAACATGGTAAAGTGCACAACAAAATCCAGTTTAGTTTTTTATTTTCTAAAACATGAAATGCATTTGAATTTTATTTATCTAGGGCATACTATGCCCTAGAACTTTTCCAGATACACAGGTTTGTCTGTACTAGATTAAATTTTGAGGTGAAAACGAAGCCATTTTAGCCAAAGGGTCCACGTGAACCTTCAAATGAAAAATGTCTATGTAAAACTAATGTGTTAACTAATTTTAAAGGTAATCAGCCTTTTTTTTTTAATTCAAACTGTACATTATGTTACAAAAAATTGTACATGTCATACAAATAAAAAAGTTTGATTATGACAGATAGGTGCTACCAGAAAATACATTATATATATGTCTCTTGTACTATATATACACTAAAAATTTAATAAAAACACATGTTGAGTGTACATATAAGTAGGTGGATGGATTTAAATAAAATCAGAACGTATATACATGTACAAATATGTACAAATAGTATATATACAAAACAACATACAACATATTATATATAATATATAAAGTCTTGATTTTTTTTAAATCCTACCAGTTTCAATTTATTTCACTCCCAGAAGTTGCAGAACAAACGACTCCAAGGATTAGAAAACCATCAACTTCATGATAACAGGTGTGTTATCAGGATCCGTTTTAATTTATCCATGGCATATAATAAAACTGATATCTTTATCTACTTCGATCTACTGGCTAATTCTGTGTTTACATTGTTAAAACAAGACCCGGAAGAACACGGTTTCAGTTTATACACGAGATCTGATTTATACAGATGGGGGTTTCCCTCATGTAAAGAGTATTACCTATTTGAACAGAATGGTTTTATCTGCGAGGGGGTTTCTTTTGTCAGTCTAGTGGGAATTATTCATGGTAAATATAGATGATGAAATAAATAATTTCTATTTCCCGCCAATTTTTCATATCTTTAAACCACACAGTTAAACAACTTATAGTAACACACCAAAATGTACGAAGTATAGTCAATGGACAATGTGTAAATGATAAATTATTAAGACCGGAATTTCGTTACCACAAATTAATTAAACAATTACCCAATTTTTTCAAAGAAACACAGATTTAGTGAGGAAATTTGGTTGTATCTGTAGATTTCTTATCAAAAACGGGATATCACATCCTAATTTTTATGGTGATTTTGTTTAAAAAGCCCATAAACTTAGATACGATCCGTGTAAACTAATTGATCCTTTGAATAAACTGAGTCGTAAAGGTTTTCAATTTAACACAGTAGTAAAATTTTCAAATATTGTTTTTATTGGTACTAACAGAGACATATAATACATGTATTATATGTCTCTGGTACTAACATATAGCTTTTGTTTTGGAAAAATTAAAACATAACTAGAACTTGATCTAAATTTATATTGCTATAGATGTACAGTTAATGAGAACTCATTATCCTACATATTGGCGATTCTGTTTATTTATGTTTTGGCATTCACGCGGCACAAGGTCATGCATTTCTCAGACTGTTAGTGACGTCTTTTCTCGTTTTTTATATAGATTAGACCGTTGGTTTTCCTGTTTGAATTGTTTTACACTGGTCATTTTGGGGCCCTTTATAGCTTGCTGTTCGGTGTGAGCCAAGGCTCCGTGTTGAAGGCCGTACTTTGGCGGTCTTTGACCTATAATTGTTTACTTTTTACACATTCAATTGTGACTTGGATGGAGAGTTGTCTCATTGTCACTCATACCACATCTTCTTATTTCTATAGATAAAACATATATAACTCATCATGGTTATCAGGCTATATCTGTAGACAATGCTTGAATTTTTTTTATTTAAACTTACTGTGGCTGTAAAAGGTATTTATCATTGGACTGTTCTGTCTGCCAAAGGGTTATAGTTCTTTCTGTTGTTATACAGATTTGTCTCCAGCTGCCAGGGTTAAAGTTCATACTTGTTATTGGTTCTGTAGAAACTTTTTTTTATGTCAGTTTAGTTCCATTTGTATAACTCCTATGAAATACATTTCAAATTTCATCAAATAGCTTGCTGTTC